ATTATTAAATATAATATAAAAATAAACTTTATATTCTTAAAATTTTATTTAAAAATATAAATAATAAAAATTAAATATAAATAAGTTTTTATAAAAATATATTAATTTATTAAGAAAGTTAAAAAATATTATTAAGCTTTTAAATAAGCATATAAAATTATATATATTAAATTATATAATAATATAAATAATAATATTATTTTATAAATAATTATAAAAGTTATTAATAAAATTATTAAATTAAATAAATTAATCTTTATACTTTTAATTTTTAATGCTTATTTATAAGTATTATATAAATTATTATTATTATTATTATTAATATAAAAATAAATAAAGATTATTTTAAAGATTATAAAAATATTATAAAAAATTATAATTAAATAATAAATATAAAATATATTAAATATTAAAGTTAAATTTATTTTTAATATAAAATATTTATTATAATATAAAGTTTATATATAAAGAGAAAAAAAAGGATAAAAAGATTTATATAAAATTATTATTATAAATAGCTATAATATAACCTTAAATATATTAAATAAAGTTATAATATTTAAGTTAATAATTATTTAATTATATTATTAAAATAATAATAAAGAAATATAATCTTTATAAATAAAAAACTTAATTATAAAACCTTAAATATAATTTATTATATAATTATTATTATTAAAAATAAAAGATTATATTATTATATTATATATTTTAAAGAAAAAAATAAAAATTATAATTTAATAATTAAATTAAAATAAAATAAAATAATTATAATATTAAGTTTATTATTTAAAGAATTTAATAAAATAAAAATTAATAACTTTATTATTAAAAATATTTTTTAAATTAAAAAATAGTTAATAAAATAATATAATAAATATTATTTTTTTAAATTTTATATAATATAAAAAGTAAAAAATAAAATTATAAAATTATATAAAAAATCTTAATTTATTATTTAAAGTTATAATAATAATAAAAAGGAATTAATTTTAATATAAAGCTTAATTATTTAAAAAATAAGTTAATAAATAATCTTTATATTTATTTTTTTATTAATTTAAAAAAAAGGTATAATTTTTATACTTTAAGATATTATTTAAGCTTACCTTTAAATAAAATTAAAATTATATAAAATAATTTTTATAAAATTATTAAAGGAATTAAAAAATAAATACTTTTTAAATATAATTATTTATATTATTTAATTTTTATATAATATAGTAAAATTTAATATTTATTAATTTAATATATATTAAAAATATTATTAATAAAAGCTTAAAATAAATTACTTTATATATAATTCTTATTTAATAATTATAAAGTTTATATAACTTTTTAAAATAATAAATATATAAATAAATAATATATTAATTTTATTTATATTAAAATTTTAAAATAAAAAAGAAATTAAAATAAAAGCTATAAAATTATAAAGAAAATTAAAATAAAAATTAATACTTAAAAATTTAATAAATTATAATAAAGCTTATATAATTATAAATATTATTAATTTAATTATTATTTAATAAAAAGAATAAATTAATAAACTTATCTTTATTAATATAATAATTAAAGATATTTTTTAAAAATATCTTAAATAAAAAGCTTAAAAAATATATATAGCTTTAATTTATTAATTAAAAGCTTTATATAATCTTTTAATAATTATATAAATATAAAACTTAAAAATAAAAAATTATAAAAGCTTAAATATATAATTATTATAATAAATAAATAACGTTATATAAATAATTAAGTATATATTTTTAAATTTTAAAATAATAAAACTTTTTATATTTATAAATAAATTATTTATAAATAATTAAAACTTAATATTTTAATTTAAATATATTATTATTTTTATAAATAAAACTTATAAAGAAATTAAGAAATTTATAATAATAAATAATATTTTTTATTAATTATTAATAAAGTATAAATATATTATTTAAAATATATTAATAAGTAAAATTTATAATATAATAAATAAAATAAATATTAAAATTTCCTTAATTATAATAATTAAAATAATTATAAAATAATTTTTATTATTAAATATATCTTTAATTATTTATATAAATTTATATAATTTATATAAATACCTTATAAAGCTAAAAATAAAAAAAGAAAATACTTTATAATTAATATTATATTATTATAAAAATTATATAAAATAAAAAAGATTATTAAAATAAAGTAAATAAATAAAAAAATAATTTTATTAATATAATAATAAAATTAACTTTAAATATTATATTATAAAATCTTATTAATAATAATAAGCTTTATATATAAATAAATAAATTAATTAAAAAACTTAAAATAGCTTTTTTTTATTAAAAAAGGAATAACTTATTATTAATATCTTTTTTTTTTAATTTTATTATTATTAATTATAAAACTTTATATTTTTTAAACTTAAATCCTTAATATAAACTTTAATTTTTTATATTTTAATTAAAATCTTTTTAATACTTTATTATATATAAGGATAACCTTATAATTATTAATATTATTACTTTTTATTATTATTTATTAATAATAATATTAAAATTAACTTTTATTAAATTTATTTATAATTTATTAACTTTTTTTATAATTAAAAAATAAATTAATAATTATTATATAATAATTATAAAGTTTTATATTATAAATATTTATTTTAATTATTAAATTTTTATAAAATCTTTTTTTTTTATTATAATAAAAAATATTAATAATAACTTATAAAAATTATTTAATATTTTTATTAATATACTTTATAAAAATAATAATAATAAATAAAATTATTTAATAAATATTATATTTATTATTTATATTAAAAATATATTTAATATAATTATTATTATAATTATTATTAATATAATTAATATTAAAGATAGCCTTATTATAATCCTTAAATAAAATTAAGATTTTTTTATAAATATTATAATTATAACTTTAATTAATAAAATAAATATTATAATTATAACCTTAATTAATAAAATAAATATTATAATTATATTTTTATTAAGTAATAAAATAAAGATTAAAATTATTATTAAGGCTATAAAAAGAATTAAAATTATTTTAATTAATAAGGATAAAGATAAGCTTATTAATTTTATTAATTCTTATAATAAAATTATTATTAATAATACTTATTTAATAAATATTAATAAGGATATTAATAATAATAACTTTTATTTATTTATTTATTTAATAAATATTAATAAAAATATTAATAATAATAACTTTTATTTATTTAATATTAATAATAATTTAATTATTATTAATAATAAAGATAATTAAAATTAAGTTAATAAAATCTTAATAAAAATTATAAAAATTACCTTTAACTTTATTTTTATATTAAATATTAAAAAAAGTAAGCTATTTATTAAAATAAATTTTTAAGAAATTATTAAAATTAATAAGCTAAAGGCTATAATTATAACTTAAATTAAAATATTTTTCTTAAATAATATTTTTATAATAATTATTATTTAAATTATTAATAACTTTTAATATTAAGATAAGTAAATATTTTTTAATAATATAATTAAAAAGCTATATATTTATATTAAAAGTATTAAAATTTTTAATATAAAATTATATAATATTTTTAATAATAAGAATTATTAAAATAATTATTATTTTAAATATTAAATTATTATAATTTTTATAATAAATAATTTAATAAAAGTTTTAATCTTAAGTATTTTTTATATATATTAAATTAAAAAGATTTAGCTATTAAAAAATTAAATTATTATATTAACTTAGCTTTAAAACTTTTTATATTAAATTATTAATAAGTATATATAAGGCTTATATATAAAGAAATTTATTAAAAAATATATATTATTATTTAAATAACTTAAATAAAAGATAATTATTAAGGAAATTAAAAAAATTAATAAAAAGTAAAAAAAAAACTTAATAAATAATTAAATTACTTATAATACTTAATTTTAAAAAAATAAAAAGTAATTAAAAAAGAATAATTTAAAGTAATATTAAGTATATTTTAATAATAAAAATAAAAATAAAATATATAATATTTATATTATAAAAATATATAATAAAAATAAATATAAATTAAAAAGTTTAGCATTAATTTTATAAGCATTAACTTTTTTTATAAAAAAAAAATTTAAAACTAAGGCCTTTATATAAAAATTAATAATTTTTATAAAAAAGTAATTTTAAAAGCTAAATATTAAAAATAATAAATATAATATTTAAAAAATAATATAATAATAATAATTATAAGTTTAAAAAATAATATAATAATAATAATTATAAATTTAAAAAATAATATAATAATAAAAATTATTAAAATTTATTTTAAAATTTATAAATTATAATTTTAAGCCTTTTTAATAATATTTTTTTATAATAAAGATTATATATACTTAATATATAATAAATTATAATTTTAAAGTTAATTATAATAAGAATTATTAATTATAATAAAAATTATATATATTTATTAAAAAAAAAAATTATAAATATTAATAAATATAACTTTTATACTTAAAAAGCTACTTTAATTATTTTCTTTAAGGTATATAGCCTTTTAAAACTTAAATAAAATAATATTAATATATAATTACTTCCTATATAATTATTATATATACGAGAGACCTACCAACAATCCTTGATCGATTCATTCTATGGGCCGGAAATATGGGAGCGTGGCATCCACCACACAGCCGCACGTCTCTGGATTCGAGGCTATCTAAAAGCCCAGAAGTCCGGCAACAAATATCTCAACTCCTCAAAGATCTCTATGAAGCTATACAAGACGGTAGGAGCCCTCCAATTTTGCCAGGGCTCGAGTTTCCGCTCATAAATCATAGTGAAAACGGCATGTTTCGAGGACGACAACAACAAGACCAGTGCCACCAATTCTATGCAGGATTTTGTTCTCACACCGGACGATCAAGAATTTCAGGATGAAGAAGAGGAGATCTCGAAGGATGAGCAAGTTGCGCTCCTTATAGATTGACATGATGAACGAGTGTATGAAGGCTCTGTTCCGAATAGGGATCCTGGTACGGAGAGACATAGCATATGACCGCTTTCAGCGGGCACTCCAACGGTCAAGGTTTTCCTTTCCTGAGCAGTTCGACACCGACTATGCGGAACAGAAGCATCCAAAGCCGAGAAGTAGGGGGAGGGGGCTGGCGACACGGCTCGGAAGGGCGAATGCGAAGCGGCGCCAATTCAGCAAGTATGGCAGGGACCACAGGACAAGACTCGAGATGGATGTGGATGTCCGTCAGGAGACTAAGCCTGAGCCCAAGCCCACGCTGTCCATCGATCTTGAAGCCCCGACGGAGCAACTTTCCAGCAAGGCTACCACGTTCGTTAAGCCGGCAGAAAATTGGATTTCCGAGTTCCTTGCGCCCCCTATTGAGGATCAAGACGACAGTGCCTTATTATTGACGGCCTCCACGACATTCGATTCAAAGAGAAGCCTCAAGTTAGTAAGTTTGGCATCTGAGATATAGGGCCCGAGGGAAAGCACTTCGAGTGTCCCCTCTGCTTTACTCTGCAATCTTTTCGTACTGAAAGGGCGTGGAGGTACGTACGTTGCGCACCTAGGTCACATACATGAGATTGATTAAAAACCTGATTCCACTTAGGAGCCACGCCTACCACGACCTCAAGGCATACATATGCACATACGGAGGAAAGCACTGCGACACCGAGATGTTTGTCGACCGGGCGACATGGTTCAACCATGAGTTGACAGTGCACAGGTCATTATTCACTTGCAAACTCTGCGGTGAGCAGATGGATGAGCAAGGAGACTTCCAAAACCATGTCCTCTCTGATCATGCGAACTTCCCCAGCGGACAGCTTTCGATTCTTTTGGAACAAGGCAGACTCGGGCCGTCACAACGACAAGTTTGATCTGATTTTCATGGATATCCAGATGCCTAGACTCAGTGGCCTGGCGAGTACTCAGCTAATCCGCACACTGGGGTGCGAGACACCCATTGTTGCGATGACACCGGCGTCATCCGACACGTGAACGAGGTCATGCTGAAACCGTTCCGGAAGTCAACCATCAGGAAGGTGCTTCAGAGGTTCGCGATCGTCGCCGGTGATGCGGGAAAGCCGAGTCTCGCGAGAGAGCTATACATGCACGACAGCTACCAGACACCGACTGTTGACGTCGAGAGCCTGATTTCCCCGCTGGGAAGCATTCCTGGCGACTGCGTCCTCCGGAGACATAGGCGAGAGAGCAGGGAATGACTCAGATATCAGCAGCGTGACAGCCCTCATTGCTGAGGCGCTCAGTGGTCCCGGCAAGGTCAAAACGGCCGGCTTGATTGATCTGTTGCCAAACCTCCACCACCATGAGATCATGAACCTGCGCACGGAATACAAGAGGCTGGTCAAGGTCGGTCCTGAGCGTAAAGGCGTCAACGTCGGGAAACATATCCGAGCACGGCTAAAAGACGACGACAATCGACTCATGACTGCTGCTTATGCAACGGCATTGGGTATGTGGGAGAGTGAAAGTTACTGGATCTCGTTGTCATTGACCATGGGCAACGAAGCACGCAAGGGCCAACAGCTTCTGATTGAGTCCCTCTTGGGGAGATCAAACACAGAAGCGCGCCTGATAGAGGATGGGTTCCGAATTCACTCTAACAAGCTTGAGCGCGAGCATGGCACAAGCTTGGAGACCTTTTTGGACCCGTATCTGCGACAAGGCGAGGCTTGGTTCAGAGAGGCTGTGAATGCAGTACTCTCCGGGCATAAGATGGAAGAGCGCGATCATTCCGGGCAGCCACAGCCTATAGACATGCAGCTGGTCGAGAAAGATGTAGACGAGCTGTTCGAGGCAGTCGCTGGTGACAGAGGAGCTGCAACCACTATATCGCAAATTGTTATCCTGCGCAGCGATGCGCATCTCAGGGAGGTCCTCACCATCTACCAGCGCAAGTACGAGAGCGACTTCATAGCCGATGCGCTTCGGGGGACTATGCAGTTAAGAGTATGTTTTCGTAAACCCATCCCCAATTGCCATCCTTTGTTCGCCGAGCTGGTCTTGCTAACTATTTGCCAAGGACTACGCTCTCTACCACGTTCTGTACGGCGTTCTGAACCGGCCAACTCGTGATGCGTGGCTGCTCCACCAAGCACTCACGCCGAGTGGAGACGATGGTATTCAGCATGAGGTTTTGACCAGTCGCCTTGTGCGTGCTCACTGGAATGGCCACTACCTCTCTGCAGTCAAGCAAGCCTACCGTGAACAATACGGTCAGCATCTGGTGGATGACATCGCCGCGGGAACATCAGGCGAATGGGGAGCTTTCTGTGTCGCGCTGGCTCAGTCAAATCTTCAATGGGACGAGAGACCTCGTGACAGGCATGCAACTATGTGAGCAGTGCAGAGAAGGACAGGGCCGCCCAGGATTTTGTCTAGCTCGTCACCGTGGGGGACACAAAAACTCCGGTCATTTGCGGCAATGGTTGCTGCTGGTAGTTTCATGTGACAAAATCTCGCTTTGGGATATACAGAGAAGATTGGGGCGCGCAAGATTTGATTACGAGGTATCGGAGGCCGAAAAATGCGCAACCTGAACGGGTGACCCAAGCTGCAGTGAGTACCGCTCAGTCTTTGGGGATCTCAACGGCTCATTCGCGGTCCGATTTGATGGCGACGACTAGCCACTAAGCAGGAATTTGCTTCACATATGCTCGTCGGTCATCCAGTGCCCGTCGCCAAAGAAGTTAATCTTCAGACCACGGTTCACTCGGGCGGAAGCCGTGGCCCGACTGTAAGAGTCCGACGACTATATTACAACATAGTGGACCCTATTCAACGTACTACGTCGTGTCTCAACTTCTTAACAAACCTCAACCAGCCGTCTTCATCTTCTGCGAAGGCCGCAACCATGGCCCTCGAGCGCCTCTCCAGATCATCCGAGGTTTCCAAGCTACCCGCCTTGACGTCTGCAGCGTCCCATCCATCAAGCCCGTGAAATAGGAAAGCCGTCACTGAGGATTTGAGCAGCGGTCCGGTCCTAGTCTTGAAGATAGTAGCAGCCAGGAGCAAGGCGGCCAGCACCACCTCTACTAATGGCAGCATCATCCATTGCCATCGGACCCGTATGTAGGTCTCCACTGCAAAGGCATCTCCACCAAACATAGTCAGGTTTTTGTTGTCCCCAGGCGACTTGCTACGCATTTGCGCGCTTATTCCATGGGCCAGATTCTCCGTCATACTTTCTAGATCCGTGATTTTGAGGTAATAGCCCAGAGCGAGGATGTCGTTGTTGCCGGAGTCGACGTACGAGGCATTTCCGTACAGGCCGAATCGGGTTTCCAGAGCTTTAGTAAGAAACCCATATTTTCGGTCCAAGGGGAAAGTGACGGTGGTGTATTCAAGGCCGGTTGAATCGGCACGGTACGTGATGATGTTTTCGTCGTAAAGGTATCCAGTCTTGCTAGCTGGTATGGTTCTGTTCCGGACAGGAACCAATGGCTCAGAACTGGCCTCCCCAGGCACAAGTGTTCCTGAATCGATAACTGCACCTTCATATGTATGTTGACAGAGGTACCAATTGGACTGGAGCATCTCTGTCGGTGGTGTCGGACCATCGCCTGACGGCGAGTCCTGGGTGTCTCGGACTCGGACGGAGGTCATTGAAAGAGACTTGCCACCAATTTCATCAGTACGGGTGGTAGTAGCCGATCGGAACCAGGTGAAGTCCGAGACACTCTGCTTTCCATCCCCATTTGGATCGGTGACGGCCCAGGTCATCTCAACCAGACTCTCGGATTGATTTCGCCCGGCATAGTCATAAATGCAGGTCAGGTTGGTAGGATCTATTCCGCCATTGCCTGAACTACAGTTATAGAAGGAAACATCGGTAAGGTTGCGGAATGATCCACACACGCCCATCGAGGAGAACTTTGGGAATGTACACGACGATGCTGGCCGTGGACAGGAGAAACTCGGCGCGTCGACTGTTCCGAATATTGCATTGAGGAGCTGTGACTCCAGGGTCAGTGTGTTCTGGTTCCAGTACTCTATCGGGAGCGCTGGAACGAGAGTCAGAGTGACCTTGACGAGAACAGGAGTGAGGTAAACAAACATATTCCAGATTTCTGTGGGTATAGATTTGTGTAGGCCAAAGACTCATACTCCATGGCCACGCCGATGTTCGCCGTAACATTTTCCAGCTTCGCCGTCCGGCTGGGGAATTCTAGAATTTGCTGGGCCGCAGGATCAATCGCCAAACCAACAATGGTAATGATGGCGAAAAGGAGGCCCAAAGCAGAACCAAATCGTAACTCCCAACGAAAATCAAAGACCCCCGTGGGCCGCGACTGGCGTCGTCGAAGACCTGCAAATGACTCAGGGGCCGCGGGCGGCCCTGGAAATGCCTCCATTTGAGCTGGCTGAGGCAGGCGCTCACAACCAACATCATGGATGCTTTGGAGACCATGGCAAGGATAGAGACGACGGTGTTTGGCTGGAATAAGAATGTCCACCATGCCAAGGCCCTGCCATTTGACTGTGCCAGAACGACCAGCATGGCGATCATGGCCGCGATGCTAACGGCCACCGCTACAATTTCTCCCCACCACCATGAACTGAATATCGCCCTTCGTTCCCTGGCAGAACCACGAGACTCCAAGTTCTGTGGACATTTGGTATACCCGGAATCCGAATCTTGCAGAATCTCATGGGGGCCTTGTAGGTATTCATCATATTCTGGCCCCATTGGCGAGATCACGTCGAAAGGTGTGTCGCTCGATTCCCTTGTCGAAAACACCGAAGATGTGGCTATGTCGTTCTTGGTCCAGGGTGAGGTTTCCTTTCATTCACCCCGGTGGAATTTGCTGGATGTAGGCATTGCTTGTGACCACGAAAGACAGAGATAGGCAAAAGAGAGAAGAGTTGAGAGGGAAAAGATTTTGACAAGACAAATCCTCGAGGGGCTGAAAGGTTGAAACCAAAAGTGGAAAGAAAAGAAGAAAATCACCCATACCTCAAATATCCGCTTCTGATCCTACCGAATACAGGCAATGCAGGCATCTAGACCCCAGACCCATGTTATTGCTTGACACGATACCATTTTGATTCGCCTACACTGCATTTTGACTTGCAAAACTTCGCTTAGTGCTTACTGTGGCAGAGTGTTATGCTTACTACAGTATGTCGATATTTAATGCTGCTTTTTATGGAGCCTTAGGCAGCTGTAACTCAAGCTTCAAGGGGACTACATACATAAACATTCTCATTTAATCTCTACGAGAGAAGGATGTTATGCTTGTCTCATATCTTAAGCTAAAATGTAGTGAAGAGCACCTTGTCCAGGCTCAGGTTAGTCTTTGCTACGTTTAATAAGTACATTGGTAAACATAGGCACTCACTATCCACAGCACTGTCAAAGAAGAGGAGGCATATGAGTTTAGGAGGTTATCCCAAAGGAGGTTATACCACAGGAGGCTTTTCTATAACTCGGGCTCAGTTGATGTTGAGGTCACGGGTCACTTGAGCGCAAGCGGCATTCCGATTGCGAGAGCTAGACGGCTATACCGGAAGGCCCTGCGTTGTGCACATTTCCTCCTATACGGGTAGATCTGGCCGGAAGTGCAGGTGATCTTGACGGTTGCTGGAGAAGATTGCCGAGGATTGCAATGTCACGAAAGGCCCACGGAAGTTGACAGGGTGCGAAATGGATAATAATGATTGTAAATATACATTTCTGAAACATCCAATATCCATCTCTCGAGGATTTACTTCCTCTCCTGCCATGCCTCTCCTATTGCACAGCCTTTGCCTTTTCCGCCTGCTGTGCTACCTATGATTTTTTGACCGATGTTATACCAGGAGAGGGGAAGAAGTGAAAACAAAACGCCAGCGTAGCCTCGAGCGAGAGTGTTTCCTCCATCGGTGGCCAGCATCCCAGACTGTGTCTCAAAAAACAAAATTCCCCGAGGCCAGGACTCCGGCTGTCCCGAGCAAACCCAAAAAGAACGCCATGCTTTGAAATGATTGGTGATGGTATACAGAAAATGCAAGACGCGTCTTAATAAAACGACGTCCTGTCGTCTCCCGTCAAACTCCCCGGGTCGGGGCAAGCCGGGTCACAGGCCTTCTTCCCTGGTCCTGCGCGTCAGGTCCATGATGCCTTTGACACCGTTGTTGCGCAAGCGCTCCAAGACAGCCCGCATGCCCTCGCGGCTCCTGCCTAGTTGATCCTGGGTCTTCCGGCTCGCAATGTTCTCGATGCTGCGTTGGATGATGGTCTTAGCCAGCCAGCCGCCTTGAGCATTGGCCTCCTCGGACTTTTGTCCAATGCGTTCCCGGATGCGCTCGCCGACCCTTGACCGGAATATGGTGGTTGTGGCGACATCAGTGCTTGTGGTGTTGGCCGCGGGCAAGGTAGGCGCCGTAAAATCCTGCTTCTCCACGACGGACAGCACGCCCACGAAGTCCAGGTTGCGGCTCTCCGTCTTCATCCATCCATTTTTGATGTCAACGACACTGGTCTCAAGGATATATGATTTCTTGTCACCACCGCCACCAGTGATGGAAGCGGGAAGAAGCTTGACGATGGCGGAGGGGATACGTGACTTCTTCAGGTGGATGCGGGTGGTGTGCAGCTGGCCTGTGGCCGGGTCGACGTGGCTGGAGATGGTGGTGCTGAGAACGTGGGCAGCGAAAGGGTTGACCTGCGGAGAGCAGTAACGGAGGAAGTAGGCGAGGGTGACGGTAGGGAAGGGGTGAGCATAGGTGTGGTTCTGGGTGTGGGTGAGAACCATTTTGGCGGTTGAAACAGGCTGTGAAAGCGGAGCCGTAGGGATTTGGAGGGGCAGGATCTGGCGTTTTTGGTGTCTTCAGATCTAATATTGCCTTCAAACAATGTTTTCAGGTGTGAAGGGCGTCCTCAAGAGGTATGATTTGCAACGTGGAATCTTGAGGTCGTGAGGCCGTACGGTTGTGCGGCACGTGAAGCCCGGCAGGGAGAGCTCGAGGTGGGGAGGGGGGGGCTGGGCTTTTTCTTGCGGGTGCCAATTCAAACGGAAGCTGCTCGCTCCATTCGGAGCCGGAGAGCTTGGATGTCGGCCAGTGCAGATAAGGTTTCAGGACGAGACGCAAGGGCTTGCGGGACGGATGCGGCTGTGAGGTGGTGATGTCGTCAGGTCAGTCGAGGAGGGGAGGCAAAGTTGCGGAGATGGTATGGCATCGAACGATGCACTGACAATCTGACAATCTGGGGTAGCGGGAGCTTGGGCGTTGATTTTCCTCTGCAGCAGGGGAGGGGGGCCGGCGCACTGGCTGCCAGCCAAATCAGAAGAGGCGAATTGTCACACGAGTCGGCAGGCTGCAGAGGGCCGTCGGAGCTTGCCAGAGCTGATCCGGGTGGCAGGGAGGGCGGAACGGGGGCGGCCAGATTACAGGTTAGTGTGCTACTGCCTCTGTGAGGGATAATGGCTGCGGTCATAGTGCTTAACTAACAGGCAGACTCGCTGCGGTCACATCCTGCCACGGTGGAATGCGGCCGCAGCGACGGGTGCTGCCCCAGCCTTGGGAGTTCGACTCGCAACACATTAGTGTGCGCGTGATCCCTGCGTAGACACCCTCATTTCGGACCTCAGCTGGAAGAGCAGGCACCTACTGCGGTAGAGTTTCTACTGTACAGAAACAAGGCCGTAATGAACACTCTAATAACGGCCGGGAGAAGGGAACGGCAGAACTGGCCACAAGTGAAAGTTGTTAGAAGTGACTGGAAGTGGCTGACATAAGCGGCCGCGCTAGAACAGCAAAAGGCCCCAATTTATCAGCCAGCCAGCCAGGCACTCTTGCTGCACCCTGCGTCAAGTTGTCCCTCTCGTTTCCCGCTCGCTCTTTCACATCTTCTTCCTGCGACACTCCACCTCCCCCGTCAATCACCGCTCCCTTTGACCACCTTCTTTCATCGCAACGACCATCGCAGCCCACTCCGCCCATCGAGCTGCTGCGCTTCTTTGATCGCGACCGCTCATTTGAGGTCGACACAGGGCGTCTGTCTGACACTGCGACCTTCGCGCGTTGCATCCGCGCACTACTCACCGGACTTGCTCACCCACAGTCTACCGCTCCCCGTGACAAGACAAGTCAAGACAAGACGCTCCCAGTTTCTGTTCCCCTCGACCCCGCCTCGCATGAGACGGCGATCCTTGTGCTGCTAGAGTTTTCGCCTGGGTCATTCTGGCAAACGGGAGGGCTTGGCCTTCGAGGAACTTGACACTTTTGGGCGACTGTTGAGGGAGGGTTTTGCTATTCAGCCGCTTCGTTTCGATTGATTTCGAAGACTGGGTGAATAGGCGGCCTGCTGGCAGATTGTAATAATTTTTCTATCCATTATCCGCTGGGCTCCCCATTCAACAAGTATTGTCCTTTCGAGTACAATCAGAATTGATATTTTCCCCGCTTTGCAAAGTCTGGTCAAGTTGAAGCAAAAAGAAGCGATTTTGAGAAGCCACTCGTCTTGAAAAAAGACCAGAAAAAGAAACAAGATCAAGAACACACACCAACTACCTTATTACGTTCTCCCTTGTCGTGCGACCATCCTCAAGACCCTTCAACCAACACCGCTGCTCTGCACAGCACCTAACTTCTAGTGCCTTTGAGTCTCTTGCGTTCTTCGCTCGTTTGCGGACTCGCACGCACTTGTGCTCAACAACACCACCAGACTGCATCATCTCAACCGACTTCCCCTCAAACCAGTAATCACAGGCCAAGATGACGTCCTCAGTCTTTGTCAAGTTTATGTCGCAGAAGGAGCCGCGACGAATAGAATTCGACGGCACCGGCATATCCGTCTTTGAGCTGAAGCGCGACATCATCGTCAAGAATGGCCTCGACAGGAGCGGAACAGATTTCGACCTTGCCCTCTACAATGAAGACGGAAGCGAAGGTGAGTACGGAGATAGATTCTTGATGGGAGCGGCCATGCTGACTTTCGTAGAATACGACGATGACACCACCGTCATTCCTCGTTCGACCACGGTGCTCGCTCGGCGTCTCCCCGCCATGAGGCCTGGTGCCGGACGTGCCGCTCGCTATGTCTCTGGGAAGATGCCCGCCAATGCAAAGAACGCTTCACGACGGGAACAGGCTACCAAAGCAGCAGCAGCAGCCAAGTCGCAATCCGATGCCATCGCCAAGATGGCCTCCGCTATGTCCGAAGAGGAGAAGGTAGCGGCCATGTTCGCAGCACAGGGAGCGGAATGGACTGCCCAACAGGAAGAGATGTCTCACCAGCAACCTGTCTACAAGCCAGGTTCCAAGAAGCCCGCCAACGTTCCCGATCACGAGCCTCCAAACGGCTACGTCTGCCACAGATGCGGCGAGAAGGGTCATTGGATTCAACAGTGCCCTACCAACGACAACCCCGAGTACGACAACCGCCCTCGCGTCAAGCGAACCACTGGCATCCCCAAGTCATTCCTGAAGACCGTGGATAAGGCAACCGTTCTCGCTCAAGGGGCGGACGGTGACGACTCCAAGACGCCTGCTGGAATCATGGTGAACGCGGACGGAGAGTTCGTGATCGCGGAGCCCGACAAGGCATCGTGGCAAAAGTTTCAGGCCAAAGCACAGGGCTCTGCCGAGGCAAAGAAGATTGCCGCACAGGGTGAGAAAGAGCTGCAGGAGAGGGGCTTGGAATGCGACATCGACAACAAAATGTTCATAGACCCAATGAAGACACCCTGTTGTGCGAAGACGTATTGCAATGACTGCATTACTAATGCGCTCATCGAGGGCGACCTGGTCTGTCCATCATGTCAGACGGAAGGTGTTCTCATCGACGACCTAAAGCCTGATGAGGAGGCGACGGCCAAGATCGAAGAGTATCTCAAGGAAAAGGAACAGGCCAAGAAGGAACGGTCCAAAACCCCCGAGGCAGCCAAGTCACCTGCTGCCGATGAGTCACAGGAGATTAAGAAGTCTGAGGAACCCGTCGACGGCACAGACGGCCTGCAAAAGGTCAAGGCCAAGTCACCCACTCCTCCCTCGGCGAAGTCGCCAGCTGGTGACGCGTCCTCCAAGTCAACACCAGTCAAGAAGGAGGACTCGCCCGCTGCCAACGGCAACCTGCCGAACTCCAAGAAGCGGCCGGCGGAGGAGCCCGCCGTAAATCAGCCGGACATCAAGATCCCCAAGGGCCCCAAGGCTATGATGCAGAAGCAACAGCAGACGCAGCCACAGCAGCAGATGAACGGCATGATGCCCGGTTTCATGAACATGAATGGAATGAACGGCTACTCGCCCATGGGTGGTATGCCGATGGGCATGAATGGAATGAACGGCATGCCGCCAATGGATATGTCGATGGGCATGAATGGAATGAACAGCTACCCACCCATGGGTATGCCGATGGGCATGATGAACGGGTACAATATGAACAACAACTACAATTCCATGATGAACACCCCCATGAACCCCATGATGATGAATGGCGGGTTCAACAGCAACAATGGTCCCGGCATGAACGACGGCGGCTTCCACACTGGTCCTAGCGCCATGAACGGTGCTGCGCCTAATCGCTTCAATGGCCCGATGAACGGTGGCGGTCCAGGTTTCAACCGCGGCGGTCCACCTACTGGGCCTAGACAGCCTAATTTCTCTCAGGCGGGCAACAGCGGCAACGGCAATGACGAAGACGCGTACTTCCGGAAGCCGCTCAACCCTCACCGTCACCAGAATCGTCAGCGCCGAGTCAGGCCCAGTGATTACCGTGAGCTCTAGGCGGGCGACGTGAAGGCGACACCTCCATTCCGGGGTTGCCGGCCACGTTAGGACATCACGACAACCACGATCGGCTGTACAGTATCTTCCCACTATTCATGTTTGCGACTGAGGCATACATTTCTCTGGCTTGTCGCCACGGGACAGCCACGGCGTTGATCAGGCGATGCGGTGTAGCATGACAGGCGTGCTATCTTCAGTCTCGCGGAAGGAGGGGGATCAGTACAATCTTCAAAACAAAACGACTTGCATACGGAGAGGCGTTGGCGTTTTCGGTCCAGCAGGAGCACTGCAAGTGCACCTAGGCTGATGGAATTGGAAGAAAAGGGCGCGATGCCTGCTGGTTGATTTTGACTCTACGCGACACGCACTTTCAGGAACGTCACGGCTTGTTCTCATCAAAATAAGTGCCGGCGTTGGACAGGACTCCCTGGATGGTTTCCGCCAGGGCAGGGTAACTGAAAGAAGAGGAGAATCGATTGCCCCAGATAGACGAGCACGCTCAACAATTTACGAGTTTCATGAATGCAATGACGGTTCTCCTCAACACTGTGTTCTACTTTTCGAGTGACATGTACCTCTTGGTGATCTTTAATGTGATACTGGTGACTCCGACGAACCTGATTCCGCCTAGATTCATGTATTCCAACGACAAGAGACTGGAATTCGATGGACTTGACCATCCGTAGAGACTGGAGCACAACATCGCCACATTGTGATTGAATGCTTTTGGTTTTCACGCTCATTATTATGGCTGTCGAGCGCCCGTGTTCTACCTGCACCCGAATGGCTGTCTATAATACATCCCACAGGCTGAACAACACGTTTCACACCCCTCCACCCATCCATCCACCCACACCGCCCCTATGAGGGTGGCACATATGGCTTGATCAGCATCTCGGAGAAGCGGTCGAGCTTCTCCTTGCCCCTGACCTCCTCGACGAGCAGGGGCATCTTGACGACGTTGAACTCGTCGTAGAGCTCCTCGATCTGGTCGAGGTACTTCTTCTGCATCTTGCGGCGGGCGTTGCACTGCTCGCACTCGCTGCCCGGCCTGGGGAAGAGCAGCTGGTTGACGACGATGGAGTGGGGTATCGATGCCGTACGAGGCGAGCTCCTGGATCATGCGCTCCGTCTCGTAGAGCGACAGGAACTCGGGGATGCAGACGCACACGAAGGTTGTGAGGGCCTCGTCCTTGAACTGGGTGTTGACCTCGGAGATGGTGGCGCGCAGCGACTCGAGCTTCTCCATCATCTCGCCCAGGTTCTGGCCGTTGGGGAGGGCGCCGCCCTGCGAGCCCAGGAAGCCGTTGAGGAGGGGCCCGTACTGCGACGACAGCTGCGAGACCTTTGCCAGGGCCTTCTCCAGCACCGAGGGGAACTGCAGGAAGCGCAGGGTGTGGCCCGTCGGGGCCGTGTCGAAGATGATGGTCTCGTACGACAGGCTCTTGACCTGCTTGAGCACCTCGGCGAAGCTCATGGCCTCGTCGATGCCCGGGATGGCGAAGGCGAGGTCCTGCATCATGCCGCCCATGCCGCCCATCGCGTCTTGCCCGGCGTCGCCGTCGGCGCCCTGGCCGGCGAGCAGGTCCTGGATGCTGCCGTTGGGGTCGATCTCCATGGCGGACAGGTTCGTGAAGCCGTCGATGAGGCGGGCCTCCTTGCCGAACTTTTGCGAGAAGGCATCGGACAGGTTGTGGGCTGGGTCGGTCGAGATGAGCAGGACGCTGCGGCGGACCTTTGCGAGCTGGATAGCGAGCGAGCACGAGGTGGTGGTCTTGCCCACGCCTCCCTTGCCGCCGACAAAGATCCAGCGGAGGGAGCGCTGGTCGAGTATGGACTGGAGGGTGGGCTCCAGCGCGTCGTCATCGACGTCGATTAGGGCGGTGGAAGACATGCTGGGTTTGGGTGTGGTGCGTGGCTCGTTGGGGGGGGGGGTCGATGCGGTGCGTTTCTGTCGACGTTTGACCGCCTGGCTGGTGGGGTCTCTGACTGACAGCTCTCTCGTGTAATGGGGTTGAGACAGTTGGCGCTGTATGGGTGGGGAGCTTCGTGCGAATCGACCGTTCTTGGGTGGCTAGAGAGAGGTGGCCAGGCTGTAGCTGTGGTGCCTTCTCGTGGCTTCTGGACTGGGAAAGAACCTGGTTCGGTGCGTGAGATGCGCTGGAGGGAGACCCTTGGCAACGTCACCGGCGGCGTGTCGTGGGATGGTGGGGTGGCGCGCAGCCGCTTCGGCTCCGAGCGGTGTCCCGCGATCTTGCACATGTCCGATCACTTTGAGCCAGATAAAAGTACCTATTTATTTAATGGATGTTCGACTCAGTACGAATATGCTTGGAAACTGCGAAATCTAGTCTATTCGACTCATCTGGGGCACGTTTTTGTGATTAACGGAGTATTACTCGTTCGCCAAGGCACAACGGCAGGTTCCTTACAGCTCTGGGGGCGGACAGCGGCGCAAGCTTGGCCTGCGAAGTTGGCAGAGTTGGGAGCTGGTCCCTATATAGCTTAGGTAGAGTTGGAGCACAGCAGCCCACCAGCCAATTCATCTCGACTTGGAAAAAAGGCGCTGTGATTTAATTGCCCAGGATATCAATATCGAGGCCAAAACCTTACTGCTAGAGCAAACCTCAGCCCAAACGAGACCACTCGCAATACAAGCACTGGCAAACAACCGAGCCCGTCCTGCTGGTCTCTCTACTCTGTGTGTGCTCTCTACCCCGCCAGAGCTGAGAATACTCCGTCACTTACACCGGAATCAAGACTACCAACCACCATCGCCAAACGACCAAAGCCTCCTCAACTCTGAAGCCCAACCACCCACAGCCTCTCACAATGGCGTCCGCCACCAAGGCCCCAATAACCTGCCACATCCTCGACACAACCGTGGGCGCCCCAGCCAGGAACGTGCGGGTGCGGCTACAGCTGACGTCGGACACGACCAGCGCCCCGCCCAGCAACGGCGCCAGCGGCAGCAGCAGCAACGGCGCCGCCACCAACAAGCACCCGTCGGGCCTGCCCATCGTCTTCGAGTCGTCGACCGACGACGACGGCCGCGTGCGCACCTGGCTGCCCTACAGCAGCCCGGAGACCCCCGGCGAGGTGCCCGTCTACATCCTCGAGGACGTGCTGGGCGACATCCGCGGGCCCAGCCGCTGGACCCTGCGCTTCGACACCGAGGGCTACTTCTCCGCCCAGGGCAAGGACACCTTCTTCCCCGAGGTCACCGTCGTCTTCGAGGTCAAGGAGGGCCAGCACTACCACGTGCCCCTGCTGCTGGCCCCCTATAGCTACAGCACCTACCGTGGCAGCTGATCAGGGGCTGGTGGGTTTTTCCGGGAGGGGAGGATTGCCGGCGGGGATGGCGGAGGACGAGGGGGGCCGCAGGCTATGGATTTAGGGGGACCTAGGCTGGTCGCGTGTGTTTAGTTGAGAACCGGATACGCATCGTCGGCCGTTGCATAGCAGTGAACCTCCTCCCCCTTTTTTTCACTTGGGCATCGCCGTCAGACGAATTCAGCATAGAACCAGGCACAATCAAAGTCGTCGTTGATTTCTAGTCATCTTGTTTCGGATTAACAAATAAAAGCTAGGCTATGCAGCGAGTGTGACGAAGAATAGCTAGGTAGTACTCTATAGACAACTATTTGTGTATGTCTCTCGAGTTTAGGTGATAGGGGTCTGACTCGCACACTGCACTCGTTTTCTCTCTCCTCCTCCATGTTCTGTATTGTTTGTTTTGTGCATGCGAGGTTCTGTTTATCCCACCCAACTGGTAAAAGAACATCGTCACTTCCTCGTCCGACCCTGCCCAATCCAAGCCTTCCCTTTTCCCAGATCATTCCGGTTTCCAAAAAAAAAAAAAAAAAAAAAAAAAAGTAAGTCAAATACCCAACTCCGTGCTATCGCTTTAGAAAATATCAATTTGCTGCCGAATACTTGGTGGCGTCCAAGTGTTTTTGTTGCAGGGGAAGCCTCTTCGTTCATCCTGTTCTTCTCCTACGGCAGGTAGGCGGTGTACCGCAGGATTCTTCGCTGCTCTAGGATCTGTGGTGTGAGATGCCCAGCCTCTGCATGAAACCCTTCTTCCTTGACTTGGCAGAGGAGTTGTCGCTCGATAACCGCGACCGGAAGTTGTTCTGATCGTGCTCCATCGACTTCCGGTTGTCACCCGTCGAGGTAGAAGCGAGACTAACGCCGCCATCCTTCGATGGTGGTCTGGCCATGTGTCCCACAGCTGGCGTCCCGGGGATGGTCGGCAGTCTGTCGAGGTCCTCCCTCGTGGGTGAGGATTCCGAATCGCTAGTCACAGCAACCATGTCGCTGTACATCTGCTCCATCTCGGGCGTGATAAGACCGTGGCTGATGGTGCGCTTGTTCTTGGCGCGGAAAGAGCGCCGTTGTCGGGATTCGACGCGGCTGATGGAGATGTCATCTTGCGAAATGCAGGCATTCGGGGACGTGTCTGCATCGGGGTGCGGCAGAGTCGTGTTGCGGCCTATCAGGCTGGTCAATATGACAATTGAAGATCCCACGGTTGGAACCGAAACTTACTGCCGCAGAAAGGCTCAGGAAAGCCGGTCTCTCGGCTCCGAGGCCGTGACGATGTGTCACTGTGGGGCATGGAAGTCATGCTGCTGGTCTCCAAGGTGCTCCAGCTGGAATGGCGAGGAGTTCGACGAGGCCTGCGGACAGAAACCATTTTTGTTCAGCTTGATGCCCACGTAGTAGTGATTCGTGAGAAGCGAGAAGCGAGTAGACAGCAATGCGTGTCTTTCCGCCACGTCAAGTCGGGCCCGTGAAATATCTCGACGGAAGACCGGGAAGAGGCACCACTCGGCTCTTATTGTCCCCTGCGTGTAGATTGCAATTGCGACCTGCGCACTTGTAAAGTCGGGTAATAAATGAAGAGGCGAAGACAGCTAAAGAAAGGATACAGTGGGTATTCTCATTTCACCACCACTCGGCAACTCAGGAAGGGTAGCGAAGAGGGGATCGATGCCACCAATAAGTGAGAATAGTGTAAGTGCCACGAAAGAGATTTGAGACGGGTCGGTGATGCTTTCAGCGGTCCGAAGATTCTGGAACAATTGTTGAATCTTGCAAAGAAGGCTTTTCAAGTGGGACAAGAAGGCCTATTATCAGAGAGGCTGCATTGAGGCTGCCGTGAGCCGTGTAGCCGTGAGCCGATCTCATTGTTGGGACCCATGCCAAACAATTTCAAGCACCCATGGGGCAATTTGAGAGGCGAGCCATCGGCCGACTGGGCCTGAATTCCCACCCTCAGGCGCCGGCTGCAGAGAGCCCAGCGCACTAGGGGAGCAAAGTTGAGTTCCAGGCCAACTTGTGTGGCCGTCGCAGGCCTTTCGAGCCATCCGCTTGGATGGGAGGGCGCGTCTCCAGATGCCTGCGCCGCTGTGGAAACGAGTGGTGTAGAGAAGAGGTCAGGAAGCATCGGAAGGCTGAGGCTCACCTAAAATGGTTTAGCGGGCAACCAAATGGTGGAGCCGCTGGTGGATGAACAACGAGTGGCGTGGCGGCCGTTTAACTGGGGCAGCCCTCGGGGCTTGGCGGACGGTGCACCGGCTGAACGGCACGGATGTCTTTTGGGTTGTCTGGGGTGGTCTGTCTGGTCCCTGGAACCGGCTTCGCACACGTCGACCTGGGTCTTGACCCACCCGGGCTGTTTCTGGCCTGTCACAGAGACGGGTTGGACTGTTTTGCGGTCAAGATGTTTGCGATGACTGGCTGTCTTTTCGGAGTCTGATGGACTGTCGAGAATCGGTTACGTGGCGTGGCCAGATAGCTGGTCCAGCAACGTGAGCAGGAAGAAAGTCGAGTTGTTACGTAGCGCTGACTCGTCTTTTGCGAGGACAGGTTTGAGGAGCCTGGGAAATGTTGAAGATCAGGCACAGGTCTGGCGGTCAGGCGGTCTTATAGGAACTAAAAAGCCGTCGAGTCGGCTCACGGGCTTAGGGCGATCTAAGGCGGCCCCAAAGCAAGAGGAAGCTTGGAAGGGATGGTGTCGATCCGGGGCAAGCTCATAGGCTGGCGCGGAGGAGAGATGCAGGCTACTGACAAGGTTGGGGTGACTCTCTGGACTAATAGATCAAGACACAGCCGCGTGATGGTTGCTGCCGGCGGAGGGGTAGTGAACAACGTGAACGCGAAGCAACTCTAGGCAGTCGGTCAGCACTGGGGCGACTGCAGGTGGCTCCTGGCTTGCTTATGAAGCTCAGCGAAGCCAGCGTGGGTGGAAGTTGCCCGCGAGCGACACTTTGCAAGCTTGAACCCTTCAAGCAGATCGGGCAGGGCATGAGAAAGTGTGAGAGCTTGATTCAAGGCGTTTCTTGTTTCTTCTGGCCAAGTATTGCTGCGGTGCCTGAGTGCCTGTGCACCGCAGCAGTGTTGCGTCAACCTGTGGCCCCCCAGCTTCCGACTTTGCTCAGATCTGACGGCAGTGGCAAGGACGAGGAGGGGAGGGGAGGGTATTTCTGGACAAGTCGGCCACTCTGAGACCTGCAGGAAGCCAGCCACCTGGGTTGTGGAAGCCGAGATGCCGCACTGCAGTATGCGGGACAACCTCTCTTATCAGTGCTGGTTGGTTCGAGCACAATAATATGCATAATGGCAGCATGTATTGTGTAGCCAGCATGCCCTGTCCAATGGACTGTGCGCCTTTTGATTCTCGCATGGCCTTAATTGTGCAGCGAAGCCGCGGCCCGGCGATTCGCGCGCGGCGGCGGGATGACGAGAAGCCAAATGACTCCTCGGGATGGGAGGTTCCATGGGATGAATGGGCTACGGTGACGCAATTGGTCCAGGACAGCTACTGTAGGCACTAGCCTTGCACTGCCCTTTCTGCCTTTTTGCTCACCGGCTCGCCCTGTTTCCGCCAAGACGAAACTGTCGCGGTGGAGTGCAAACCACGAGGTGTCAGGATGTCTGGCCTTGTGCTGCACTTTAGCCCCAGTCCAGCCATGACGGCCACCTGTAAGCAGGCCAGCGTAGAGGCAGCCAAGGAATCCAATAGTCCGCTCTGGACTGCTCCATGGGTCTCTTGACAGGCCAGACCAGGCCGCTCACACGTTTGACCAACGAGTCTACCCAAGCGTCCAGGTACAGTATTTGTCCAGGTCAGTTGCCAGCGTGCCTGGTTGTCGTCGAGGGAGACTCTTGTAAAATGCCTCGAGATGAGACCTTGCGACGAGTACAGCCAAGAAGCTGGCTGCCAATGCACAGTATCCCAGAGCACAAGGCCATACGCGGTAGGACCCCACGCTCACCGCCAGCTGTCTCAAGTTTGTTGAACGCACGTAAAGTTCGTCATTCCGACTCCCCGCTGGATGTTGGTCTCTTTCGGCATCTCTGCCTGGTGTTGTCGTCGCAGCCTAACAAGCAGACAAGATGGAGGAAAAGCTCTCAGCGGAGAATTTCGACAGTCGACAGGTCGACGATAAATGCCAAGAGATCCGGGGCAGCTTTGCAGTCGGGCACGTCCGATGAGGTCGGAGCTGTCATGTTGCCCTGCAAACTATCGTCGACGAACGCCCCGACGCGCCCCACCGGAAGTCAAAAGCCGGGACGCATGGGCAAGCAAGCTCCCTGCGTCTCCCTGCGTCTCCCAGCTTCACCTCTGTGGCGGTGCCCGTGCCCGCAGGCTCGAAGCTGTTGTTGAGGCAGACACTGCTGAGAGCCTGAGACTGCTGAGACAGACAGAGTGGGGCAATGAGCTCCGGAGCTCTGGTCCCTCGCCTGTCACAGGCAAGGAAGCGCTTTCCGAGCCCAAGGCAAGCCGAGCTTCCTGCCTCAATGCCCCCGGGACGGACCAATCACGAGCCCCAATTCGGCTTCAAACTTCAGATGAGGCAGGCATGAGCAACCCGCGGGTATGCGACCTCACCAACTCTCCAAAACGGAAACTGTTGTGAGGAGCTTGAACGGTGGACTGAACTCAGCTTCATCACCTGCGATTGCATATACTCACAAGCCATCTCATTATTCTCGCAAACGCAACCTAATCTGAACCATGATGGCGACAACCACAGTGGAGGACAACACTGCGCTTAGCAAGCAATATGAGACTCCACTTGGTCTCGCGCATGACACCATGCAAGCTCTCAAGGACAGGATCAAAACCCACTATGATCTGGCCAGCGAGTATTACCTGAGCCTGTGGTACGTCACGACGTGGATGCTCGAGTTGCCATTATCCAGGCTTTTCATCCATTGACGGTCGAGAAAGGCCTATCTCGGTTGCCACCGCATTGTGCTTTGGTCGACCAAGCCACCACGCTTGCTAACGACGCCCTCTACAACACAGGGGCACCCACATCCACCATGGCTACTGGCCGACGCCAGAGTCGAAGGCTAGTGAAACCAAAGAACAGGCACAGATCAATCTCATCCGCCTGCTGCTGGAGACCTCGCAAATAGCCGAGGGAAGCAAGGTCCTGGACGTAGGATGTGGAATCGGTGGCACGTCACGATACCTGGCGTCACAGCTGGGTTGCACGGTCACCGGCATAACCATTTCCAGTAAGCAGGTCGAGATGGCGACACGCCTAACCAAATCTGAGGCCGCCAAGGACGATGCCAGCCTGGCAGACCAAGAGGCAGATACAGAGGGGTTTCTCAAAATCGGCAAGGGCAAGGTCAAGTTTGTGGAGCTCGACGCCGAGAAGATGGGTGACGTCTTTGCCGCACAGTCCGAATCGTTTGACGCCGTCTGGATCTGCGAGGCACTGAGTCACTTCCCCAACAAACAGCTGTTCTTCCAGAACGCGCACAAGTCGCTGAAGCAGGGCGGCAAGCTGGCGCTCGCTGACTGGTTCAAGGCGGAGGGCCTGGGCGAGAAGGAGTTCACCGATGATATAAAACCGATCGAAGGTCTGTGAATCCCAGTGGAGGTCGCCGAAAGTCGTTGACCAATTGCCCCGGCCAAGAGGGTCTCGAAGATGGGGCTCGACGATGTTGACATGAGACCAGATGGCATGCTCCTCCCCCCTCTGTGCGCACAAGCCGACTATGTTAACTACGCTAAAGAGGCTGGTCTGAGTGTCTCCGGTGGGCCAAAGGACATATCCGAGGATGTCAAGGCGACCTGGTAAGTGCTTCGTGAAGCGAACCTCTCAGCAGCGTTCAACATGACCAGGCTAACAAGGGCTGCGCCTCAGGGACATCTCGTGGTCATTGGTCCAGAACCCATCTCTGTGGGCCTTCGCGCTCAGCCAGGGCAGGGATGGGATTGCTTTCCTGCAGGCTTTCCGTGCGATGCGAAGGGGGTATGCTAATGGTAGCTTCCGGTACGCTGTTGTGTCATTCCAGAAGTGAAAGAGGTCCATGTGCTGGCGGTGAGCAACCAGATTGACAGCAACCTGTCTCGATGACGGAGCATGGAGGGACCATGTGTCCAGGCTACCACAAAAATACAACGTGCCGCAAGGCAGGATCTGAGACAACTCGATGGGCCGAGATTCTCGACTGGATGGTGTTTAGATTCTGACGCAAGGTCACAAGTGTGATTGATCACGCAACCGAGACATTGATGTAGTACCCGGTTCAGTTATAGGAAATTCAGCTTTTCCCATAGCTGATCTACACCGATTCTCATCTTGTCGATAGCTGAATGTTATGAGACTGCCATACGAAGTTACACGAGCTGTCTGCGGATAAACCTTGGCTCCTGCAGACCTCTCCCGTCGACGCGGGGATTGCTGCTCGTGCTGGGCAAGGCCATTTTCCTAACATCAAGCCAGATACGGCATGTGCTGAGCCAGAGAATCCTGACAAATTGACTATGAGCAACATCTGTGCAGACTTTGGTGAGCAAGTCATTCCATGGTGCCTTGTGCACTCGCATTTTGGGAGTGGCAGGTGCATCTGAGGTTGTTGCCCAAATGGGCAACTGCAGTACCCCGAGGACAGAGTGCCTTCCCTTCCCTCAACTCACAGAGCACCACGTCCATCTCTATTTCTAGCAGTCATCATTAAATTCTCACCTTCCTTTTTAATCTAACAATTCTCGATTCTGGGCTGTTTTAAACTGTTGGAAATATCAGGCATCCTGTCCCGCACAAGTCGTCATTTCATTTCTCAGGGCATGGTTCCCTCGCGAATGGCTCAGGCGTCAAACCAGTCGACGACGCAAGGCACAAGCCACCAGCAGGATTATTCTGTGATTCTAACCCCTTACTAGGTTCCAAGTTCTGGGTTCAACATGTTTGGCAGCACAGGTAACTGGGGCCGATATGGCGTCAAGCGAGTCCGTCTTGATCCCTTGGACTCTTACAACCAACAAAACGGTAGTCGCAAAAGCCTGCTTGCTCGTCTCAATTCAGCAGGGGAAGAGAAGTCAAATGCGCCCGCCACCCTCTGCCCTGAAAAGCCTCGATACATCGACGTGACAGCCGCGTTCTTCGGCAAGCAGAGACGCCCTGCACAGGAAAGCCAGGGCCAGATACCACGGCCGTCTCCGACATCGCCTCGTCTAGTACAACAGCAGAAACCCTCACGTCCATTCCATCAAGAAAAGCAAAACCATGACAAAATGCGTCGGCCCGTTGTCAATGAATCGCCTGTCGCCAAAGAGCTGAGAGACGAGCTGGCAGGTGCGATGGCTTTCCTTATCCTCGTGCATTCGTAACCTAAATCGTGCCAGCCGCTCTGACACCCTCTTGTTGAACAGGCAGCTTCGCGACTGAGTCGAGCCAACTCCACAACAACGGGCTCACTCAGCTTCAAGACTTGTACGAAGCTTTGAAAGGTGTCATGGCTGACATGGAAGGCGAAGATGATCGCTTCCTCGCTCTTGTGGAGTCAAACCAAAAGAAAATGATCAAACCACCCTCTGAGACAGTCATTGCGGAAAGCTCCAGCGACGAACAGGGAAATACAACTCGTCGCGAGGTCTGCATCGGCGAGGAGGTTGCCGCGGTTGGTGACCTCATACAGATCCTTGAGACGGAAGTGAACCAGTTGTGGGACGCTTGGGAGGCCGCTGAACGGGAGGTCCAGGCCAGGCTCGCTGAACTGGGTGGCGAAATCAATCTCCCAGCGGGCAAGAATTACTCTGGCAAAGATGTGCGGCAGTCTCTGGCGGAAGACATGAAAGCCTTTGGCGCAGAAGCAGAGGACATCATCGAAGACTCGCATGAGGAAGCTCGGGCGTGCGAAAAGGTAGGCTTCCATGCCCATGATCTAGAGTCCATCCACGTCTGCTCACATCATCTATAGGAATTTGGCAAAAAGATACATGGTGCCATGTCCGCTCTTCTGCAGCAGTATCTGTTGGAAGACTAAGTAAGATTGAAAAGTGTGCCACAATCTTGGCAGCTTCCAATGTCTGGTGCAAACTCGTCCGACGAGGTGCTCTTCTAGTGAAGTTTGAGGTATTGTGGCCGGTCTGGTGCTGCTTCTGGTTGCTAAACCGACGGAGGAGATACTTCAACTTGCTGCCCTCGGGATGCTGGACTCTGGGATTGAGCCTGTGAGTACAGGCAATGTGGAAGCCGCTGTTGAGGACTCTGAACTTGAAGTCAAAAAGGTGTATCTGGTCGATATTGCTCATTTTGGCTTGAAATTGGTGGACCAGTCGTCCTTGACAGTCAGATCTATCGAAGAAACAAACGCCTCCGAGCCCCAAATACCAGAACGCCTACCTGTAATGCTTTGCTGACAGAAAATAAAAGGCAAGTATAGAAAGTTAGTTTAAACCTCCTCTTTCACAACGACACCCCATGCATGATCATCCCCGCCATACATGATGTCTTTCATCCACTTCTTGATGATCAGGGTATATTTCCCTCCCTCACCACCGCCCATACCAAACCCAATATCCTTTCCTCTATGGTGGATCAGAGAAACGGGGCAGACGAAGAACTGAAGGGTACCAAGGTTAGCAAAGCTTGATTTAATTGCCCAGGTGGTTTGAAAGAAGAAAGAAGCAAGGAAAGCTTACTGCTGTGCCCGCCGCGAATGACTCCATCATCCGTCCCTCGCTATCCGCCTCGAGGACCTCGTCGATCGTGTACTTTCTCTCCACGACGTCCACCTCATCGCCCAGCCTCTCTCGCACAAGCTGCAAGATGCTCCTCCTCGTGACGCCGTCGAGGATGAGCCTGTCGTCCAGCGGCGCCGTGATCAGCTGCGTCCTGCCGGTCTCCTTGCATTTCATCACGACGAAGAAGTTGGACGCACCAGCCTCGGTGCAGTAGCCCTCGGACCCGTACAGCCACAGGATCTGGCCGTAGCCCCTGTTCCTCGCCTCCTGGGTGGCGAGCAGGCTGGGCCCGTAGTTGGCGCCCAGCTTGGCGTAGCCGAAGCCGCCGACCCACGCGCGCACCATGTCCTCCGGGTTGGTGTGCAGCTTCATGCCGCCCAGGGGCTCGTCCATGCGCGGCATGAAGGAGACGGTGATGAACAGCAGGGCCTCCTTGGGCGCCCCGACGCCGAGCTGCGGCTGCGTGCCGATCATGGCGGGGCGGATGTACAGGAAGCTCCCCGGGCGGTCGCGCGGCAGCCACTTGGGCCCGTCGACCTCCATGAGCGCCAGGATGAGGCGCTCCAGCTCGGCGGGCGGGAACCCGGGGAGGCTGATCCGCGTGCTGGACATGAGGAACCGCTGGGCGTTGCAGTCGGGCCGGAAGAGCCTCAACTTGCCGTCGAAGCCCCGGTAGGCCTTGAGGCCCTCGAAGCACTCGGTCGCGTAGTGCAGGCACGAAGCCGTCGGCATCAGGCTCAGGGGCCCGTAGGGCTTGAGCTCAGGGGCGGCCCAGCCGTTGGATGCGGACCAGGTCGCGGTGATCATGTGGTCGGAGCATATTGTCTCTGTGCCGGCGTAGGCTGTTGCCTCATCAGGGACGGGGCGTGGGTTCTTGGTGAGGGTGTAGGTGAGCTTGGAGGCGTCCAGCTCGGCCAGCTTGGAGGGAGCGTTGATCTTCTCCAGCTTGTGCTCGATGGCCTTGGAGGTGAGGTCCACATCCGACGTGGATGTAGTGGGGGTGATCAAGCCGGGAGCCATGGTGGATATTATTCCTATGTGCCCCGGTGAGAATATGCGTGTGGTTGGCGTATCAAGGGGTCGACGATGGGGACTGGGGTGGTCAAGGACAACACGAAGAAAGCTTGACAAGTCACAGTGTGCTCATGGGTCACAATGGGAAGGAGTTGGTAGGTTGGATAAACAAAGAAACAGACTAGAAAATTCTAGCGAGGTCCCAATTGCTCTTATAAGCGTTCACTAGCTTCGAGGAAGGAGACGTTGGGACCGAGGTGGACTAACAAACGTTCATCCCGATCCAGGGGGGCAGGTGACTCATTGGCCAATGGCAGCTTGATTCATGATAGACAACAGACGGTGGAGTAGTCTGATAATGCAAACATCGATGCTAACAGGAAGAGGGCTCCGTGTTCCGGAACGGCTGCCCTTGCTGCGCATGTGCGCATGGAGGCCAGTCTGGGGTTGCTCAATGCAATGCTGCTGAGGCTCTAGGCTCGGCCTCTCGCTCCTGTGCTGAGATGGGAGGTGGTATGCCGGATCTAGGCGTGCTTGGTCTAGTTTTCCCCTTTCCTACCGCCTTCCTCATCTCGACAAGTTCGACGCTGTCTTTTTATTAGAACCCTGCATCGCCTTGCCGTGCTTCTCAACGTCCCAAATCACTAGGCGTCTGGGCATTGAGGGCTTCCGGTATCTGCAGCGCCCGGCAGTGGTTCTTTGACGTCCAGGCATGAGCTGGCTACGCGCCCATCGCGCCAGGAGAATAAGCTGTCTTTGAGTCAGATTCGGTTCGACTTAAGTCAGATTTCGATATGATTTCAAGCCAGATTCGGTTTGATCGTCTCCTAAGCTTTAAGATCGCCTTTGGTGTTGTGCCCGTCTGACATGTGTGCTATGCATATCAAGAGTCAGTCGTCCTCTTTATAGGTATCCCGTCCATCCCGCCGCCCACCGCCCGCATGTCGATATCAGAGCACTGCTCCTACACGTGTCGGCCTGCACCACGGCTGCACCGTGGCCCTGTGAAAGCTTATCCTTAAAAAACTGACCATCTCGATCGGTCAAGCCGTGATCGACCTGGATTTGTTTGAGATTTTCCTGCGGCAGAACATGCTAGAGGGCGACATGTCGTCCGTGGCGCAAAGATCTTGGAAGTTGGACTAGTGAGGTGGGAAATTGAGACGTGATGCCGCAGTTAACCGCTGGTAGACGCCAATTGCCGAGGGTCCTTGGAACATTTCTTATCACGAGGGCGGTTCTCTGACGCGGCTTTGCGTGCCCGGTCACCGCAATTGTCATCATCTGCACTTCAAGACGCCCTTGTTGTGTCCATTTTTGTGGATTTGTACTGCCGTGATCGGAAGACAAGACTTCGTGAGCTACATGCATGCCAAGATCCAATTTAATCTCTCGTACGCCCAAAACTGAAACAGTGTATGGAATCATTCAATGTTTGAGGCAGAATACGCGCATGTAATAAATGTTCAGTGAACTGCCTACCTAGATAGATAGTCAGACACGAGCTAGGTACGAGTCATATATATGATCTTGTCGGCTTACATGTCTTGTAATCTACCGGACGGTCCAAAATTGGCAAGTTTTGTGGCAGTTAGCCATGCAAGCGTTTAGATACAAAACACCTGCCAAATAAATACATGCAATGTATCTCATTCTGATACGTGGTAACGCATTTCAGTAGGTTTTAATGACACTGGGATTAAGTAAACATTTTGAAAGTTGAGTAAGGATGAATTCAGAATATGTAGTCCAATATACCTGCACTCGTTTGCTCACGGAGGCTTCAGGCATGACTTCAGTTACACTGCTAGCAATGTGGTCTTGAACGAGGATCCGGATGTGCTCCGCGAAGGCTGCGGGTAAATACGATCGCAATAATTTAAGGGAATCTATGTGACTCGCTGTAGTCCACGGGCCGGTTCCTTGACAAGAAGATGGCGAGGTGTTGTGTCATGAGTGCGTATCACACTTGAGTTACCCCTCTGTGCTGTACTATTACATCGTTCTCTTACCAGTACATGTCCTATAGACTAGAGTTGGTATACAATGGATGTCAATAAATACTCAGAGGTGTGAGCAAGACTTTGACCGCTTTTCAGTGCTTAACTCAACTGCGTGATGTTGTTAACTTGAACTCACCAGGCCCAGGCATGTCGTCCAGTTGAATACGAGTGGAGCTCTAGACGAAAATGTTCGATTGGACAGTAGCCAAGAGGGGGCCATAGGTACAGAATAAACTCGTGATTATGCAATTTGATGAGACGTTGGGAAGCAACAGTGTCTACGTCTTGCCCACATGTAAACCTGTGGCGGCCTTGATACCAGGCCAACACGCAAGGCATTGGCATCGAGGCAGGCATCTGGCAGTATGGATTAGATGAACTCCAACAGGTATTCCCAGAACAGAAAGAATCAGATAGATACAGAAGGACATCAACGGGTGGCACTGGAGAAGGGCGAGCAAGCAAAGAGCTGTAGCCGCCCATTGCTGGCGACCGACCGGCCCACTGGGTAGGCCAACGCAGCACAGTCATTTTCATCTCAGCTATATGATACTGCCAAACTTCCCTGCAGCCAGGAATCAGGCGAGCTAGCAATGGTCGGGCGGTTAACCTGAAGATACCTTGCATACATGCGAAATTGAAACAACCCTGCAGACACAGTGTCCACCGTACCAACGCCTAGGTGGGTAGCACTGCAAAGAAATGCGGACTCGCGAAAGCGCCGGGCGCAGTAGCAGCTAAAAGTTGGCTGGGCCTCATATTTTTGGATGATGCCTCCTTGATTCCGCAGCAACATCGCACTGTGCCGTCAGGACTTAAGATGGCGATGCGGGAGTCGAGGTTCAACTCCCGCCGGTGGTTCAACTTTTGGCCATCAATCGAGAAATTTGTTTGCCCGTCCGTGCCCTGGGGCTGTCTACCATTGAACAAGCAATGCTTGAGGCTCATGTTTGACTGAGACCTCGTCCTTGTTTGTTCAGTTTGATATGACCTGAGATTCAGAGATTGCTTGACCCCGACACCAATTAGCCTGGTACTGTCCACCCCCCCCCCAAGATGTATTGTTGTTATATCTCTCCTCCATACCCAGCCGTTGTACTCATGTGTCAACCAACCTTTGAGTACCATTTTGTTGTCTCATTTAATAGCCTTCACTCATCATTGGATCAATCACTTATGCACCCGGTCTCTTGAGCGTGTGATAAACTCTTACGCATCCCCTTCAAAAACCGTAGCAAGAATGGTGGGTCGGCTAGGACGAACGCATCAGAGAATTGATGTGTCCCTGTTATGTATTATAAGCATTTACTTTTTCGCCTCTCTATGAATCGCTGCCAGACTCCGTCGAGATACTGTTGAAGATCGTGCTCTCGCTCTATGATGTGATGAACCGTATGACTCGCCCAGCACGGACGCAATTATGCTGAGCTTTGTGCCTCTTTCTTTCTTTGCTCCTCCTCGAGTTGCTCCCTCAACTTCGCAGCTGCCTCGACATCTGCCTTCTCGCCCTTCCTCCTTTGCCTCTCCTCATACTGCTTGCGGCTCTTCATGATGCGGTCCACGATGTTGCCTGCGTTGACATCCTGGAAGCTGTGCTGGCCGATCTCCTGGTAGAGGCCGAGTTCCTTTGCCTCCGAGTAGGGGTCGTAGGTGAGAGGCATGAAGGAGGTGGGGCCGTGGTAGACGGCATCTGGGGTGCCCCAAGACCAGGACGTGAGGTAGTTCTTTGTGGGCGTGAAAGGGGCGCCGAAGATGACGCAGTTGACATACCGGCACTGCAACACGCACAGTCCTCTCTCGTAGATGTTCATGATGGGGTAGTTAACGCCCTTCCAGTGGTTGATGACCTCGTCGTCGTGAACGCCTGCGACGACATACACAGGCGAGTAGTCCTTGTTCCATCCCTTCTCGGCAGCCTTCGTCTCCTCCACCTCGACCACTAGGCGCAGGAACTCAATATGGCCGCTCGAGAATAGATCAAACCCGCCATCGACGTACACCACCCTCTGGTCAGGCTTCGGTGTTGGCCCTTCGAACAACTGCGTAAAAGTGCCATTGTCGTCGATGCCGTCGTGCCCCGTCTTGGCATGCAGCGAGCTCGTCTCCCAGAACCACACGCTTGCGCCGGGTTTCTTAGCCGTCTCATCGGTAGCATACAGTCTCATTCGCTCCGTCATGGCCGCTCCCTCGGTCTTGCGTTCCACATCGCTGCCATGACCGTCGCTACCCGCGAGCGTTCGGCGCAACGACTTGATAAAGTGGGTCCGGGTACAGAGCAGCATGCGGCCGACGAGGTCGGTGGTGGAGATGGAGGGGGTGCGCTTGACGACCTTGAAGCGGCCCGCCTCCTTGACGAACCGGTAGCAGTCCTCGCCACTACTGTCAGAGGTTATGTCGTCGCCATGCACGACGTAACGGCAGCCATAGTGAGTGATCCAGTCGAGCTGTGTCACATAGGGGGCGTGTGACACGGAGCGGGTCACCCAGCGGCAGGCGTCCACAGCAGCGAGTCTGTGATTTGCGTCAGAGATGGTATAATGTTATGGGACAGTATAGGAGCAGACAGCATGGGTGGCTCACCTCTCTTGAAGGTTCATGACGGTAGGACCCTTGTTCTCCAGGATGGACTCGTCCGAGTGCACGCCGACATAGAGTTCGTCGCCCAGCTGGCGGGCCTGGAGCATGGCACCGGCATGGCCGTGGTGGAAGAAGTCCCAGCATCCGTCGACCCAGATACGGCCATCCAGAACCTCTGGGGCAGGGTCCCCTGGGGGAGAGATGGGATCTGTGGCTGACATGGTCCAGGCTAGATAGTTGCAGGGCAGGGGAGACAGGACGGAGTGTGCGAGAGGACAGTATGTGTGTTCTCACCGGTCGACTGACTGAGTGATTAAGCTTCCTTTGGACTGTTTCGAGTGCTTTCGGTCTGGGCAAAGCATTAACCCGGACGCAAGATCACAAGACAAGCAACCAGTCACACCTGATCAGTGAGTGAGCGGTCCGTCTACAGTGTACAGTTGGTGTAGCAGAGTGGCTCGACTGCTGCATTGTCTGGGTTTGATGTCCCCCAGGCTATGAATTGGGTTAATTCCAGCGGAGGTGAGCGGACCCCTCAGTGGGCAAGCAATCGCCCGGGGAAGCACCGACCCCTGTGCCCCTGAGAATGCAACTCCCCATCTGAATCTGCCCGTGCCCAGATCTGGAGCGCTGCGAGGGCCGGCGACAGACAACATAAACTTTGCACATGGGCTGGACCACCACGTTTCCGACAAATCCAATCTGGTGGTTTCTCTCCTGTCCGAGCAGCAGATTGGCATTGGCATAGTACAACCCTGGGGCGAAGACCCCACCGGGCCAATCGCAAATGGCAATGTTGTCGGCTCGGGGCAAATGTTACGATAAATCCCATTTGCGCCCACTGTCCTGTCCACAGAGGCAGTTCCAGCGAGTGAACTCGGTCTTTCAACTCGGCTCTGGAACATGACAGGCCGTTTCAGGCGGACCAGACTTCCAGAAAGGCAATTCTCCTGTTGAAGACGTCCACACCAAGCCTGATCGTGCGTAGTGTGCGATGCGCGATACACGATGCACCGTGGTTCGCGGCGCCGGCTTGTGTCCTCTCCCTGTCCTGACTGACGGTCGATCATGCCACGATAAACAAACCAAGGTCGTGCGCTTTGATGTTGAGGGTGCAGCACCAGGTAAGTCACGCCAATGGCCGCCGGCACCGGGCGTGGAGGGGACCCGGGCAAGGGCTCCTCGACCAGCATCAGCAGTCTACGGGACCCAGTCCACGGTTCCAGAGCTGGCATGATCCGGATATCTGAGCTGGATCCTGGCTGGTTGGGTGGTTGGGTGGTTGGGTGGTTGAGTGGTAGGCTGTTGCCGCCTCTACCACACAATCCTGCCACAGCATGAGTCTGAGCGGAAGCTTGAGCAGTATTTCTTGGGCTGTCCAGGAGAACCAGGGGAACCAGGGAACCTGTTGCAGTTTTCTTTTTTGTTTCTATTTCTGTTCCTGCCTCCATTTCTGTCCGATGTTGCCCTCCGTCAAGTATACTAAACCATGGCCGAACCATCGCAATCCTCAAACCCCAAGAGCCAGCCTCAATCCCTCCTCTTCTGTCGTCCTTTGCGAATCCCACTCTGCTGCAGCCCCCGTCTTATAGGGCTGAATCGCTTCGTATAGCCCTGGGGGCCACAGTGGAGGACGCCCTGCAAATTTAGATTGGGCTGATCTGGGCAGCACCCGAGCTGCAGTTGGTGCGTGGGTAGTGGGGGTGCTGGTTGGAACGCCCGCTGGCTCGGCCGCGCCTGCGCTGCGCTGCTCGGCTCAGCACCGCTCCGCCATGCAGAGGACCAGGAGACGGTCCAGCGCCTCTGCGCCTGCACCTGCGCCTGGCCCCGGCGCCGCAAACGTCCCGCCAACTCCCACCGGCTTGGGCTTCAACTTCTCCTTCTTCAACAGTCCCAACGCCGCCACCACCGCTGCCAACACTAACAATACCGCCTCTTCCTCACGACCGCGACCAGGCACAAGCTCCGGCGCCCCTCCGATCTCAGCCGGCATTGGCGGCTTCGCCAGCACCACCACCAACGGCGACCCGTTCCAAGCACAGCCGGCTCTAGCACCGCCTGGCCCCAACCTCTTGCGCAAGAACTCGCTCCGCGGCAAGCAGTCTTTCGACAACCTCGTCTCGCACTCGTCGCAGCTACAGTCGCAGTCCATATTCAGGGGCCTGCGCCGTCGCGCCAACTCGAGCTCCTCGCTCCGGGACAGGGATGGCGTCGGCGCTGCGCTGGGCGTAGTAGCAACCGGTCAGAAGCCTGTCGTGACCAGCAGAGGGAACCCGCCCGCCCTGCCCGATTTTGCCCTTGCAGCGGCTGCGAGAACGAGCCGCGACACCGACGTCTTTGCTTCCCCGAACTCCGCTCCAAAGTCCTACATGGATATCTCCGGCGGCTATATTCAGACATCCAACTCCAGGATGCTGAGCCGGTCCGGCACCACCCCCGTCAACGGGTTCCCCTCGGGAGGGGGGATGATGCCGCCCCCCTCGGCAGGAGGTATGCAGAACGAGTCCAACATGGTGCATCAGCATATACACGAGATGGCCAACAAAAGGATATCCACGTTAGAATATTTACGGAAGGCGTACGTCCCAGTCCCAGTCCCCCTACGAACTCTCCAATCTCTAGGCTCCCAGAGACGCTGACTTGCCCTGCCAACACGCAGCCACGAAGGCCGTGTCTACTGGTTTAACACCCTCCTCTTCGATAAGCCCGATCTCGCGCGCATGCCCTACTTCGATGCCCGGCGACTTGCCCGCCGGGCCACAAACTACCTCCTCCTGGGCCTATCCCTCCCGACCGTCATCGACCTCAACTCCTCCACGCCCATGGAATTCCTGCGCGCATTCAACGTCTTACTAACAGAGTTCGATTCCTTCCAACAATTACACTCAGACTCAGGCTCAACCACCTCTTCTCTCTCCCGCGCGCGAATACCGCAGATGTTCAGGCGGGCCACACCCTCCTCAAAAGTAAGGCGGAGCAGCAATGCCAACAACGAGATATTATACGAGGCTGGCGACGGCGGGATCAGCAGCACAAATGGTGGCTCCATGTCCGGCCAGGCGGCATCGAACGGTGCATTCACGGTGGGGAACGGCCTCGGAGGCTCGGCCAGCGTGGTCAGCTTCGGCCAGAGCGAGGCGGACCTATTACCAGGGGAGGAGTACGTGCACTTGCTGACGCCATCCTTACCGTTCGACCCGGACTTCTTCGAGACGTTCGCGACATTGTGTGACGTTCTGATCGATGCTTACGCACGGCTATTGAGCCTGCTACCGACGCCCAGGGAGTGCAACGCTGCCGTGGCCGAGCTCTTCACGAAGGCGGACTCAAGGGTGCGCAAAATCATCGTGCAGGGCATCGTCAAGGAATTCGAGGACACCAGCAGGAACGGGGTCAAGACAGAGGTGGCCAACGTGGGGAAGATAGTGCTCGGAGGGCTGATGTGATGGATGCAAAGACGGCGCGGCTGGCATAATACGCAAGTGATGATGTTGCGGCAATCTCGGTGACATGATACCATTTTCTTATTCCTTCATCAGGCCGTTGTAGTTGCCGGGTTTGAGGCACTGGGAGATATCCATCGGTTTGGAGTCATATTGGGACAAGGGTCATTGTTTGGGCCTGGTCAAGCGGCATTGGGTCGGTGAGACTTTGAGGGTCAGGCGATCAAGGCTCACTCTGTTTTGGATCATGAAAGCGTCAAAAACTTCGCCAACAATCGAGATTCTGAAAGACAGGGCCTGCCGCAACTTGAGTTGTACAGGCCCGGGGTTTGAGCCTCTTTTGATCACTAACGTGCCTTATGTATTCTATCTGCAATTGTGAAAACGTGACGGTGAAAAATGAAGATGCAGAGCGAAAAAGGAATGAGTTCGTCAGAAACCATAACGCATTATTGTATCGTCAGCGGCAGTACCTCCATTTTAGGTAGGCACCGCCTCAGTGCTTGACTCTATAAATGGTGTTCATCATGTGAAACTCAAAGAGGTTGTGCTGTGTTGTATCCGATCCTCGACCGGCCAAGACGTCGTCGACAGGAAAAAGCCTCCCACGAGGCCCAGAAGTTTGGTTTGTCGACTCAGTCCCAGACAGACGAGAAACAAATACAAGCAACAAGCCTGTGTGGTGTGCGTGAAGTCCCCTCGCACCAAGAATGAGCCCCATCGAGTAAACCCAGCCAGGCAGAGCCTGGCATGGGGCAATCGCATACCTATGATATCTCGACAAAAACGTTCTCAAGCCCTCCCCACAGAGCGCCCCCAGCACTAGGCCGCACATCACGTCCGCCCCGCCATCGAACGGCCGCGCCGAGGAGCCCAAAACAGCCAGGACCTGGCTCTGCGCGTCGGACTCATATCTTCGTCCATGTGACACATCGAGACAGGCACCCCGGTGACTGAGACACCACGGACGCAAACCAGAAAGATGTAGCGGCGAGGCAGGGCAGGCAAGCCAGACAAGGGAACGGAGGAGAGCAGAGATCAGCCGCGTGGTGCTTCTATGGCGGCGCCTTTCGGCATTCTCCCTTCGTGAGAAGAAAGACTGTCCGGGGACTTTCTCCCGAAGCAAGTGTTTTGTGAGACACCCCGAAAGATGTCTCCGTTTGAAGCTTCGATGGCGATTTGTTGGGCGAGGGGACTTGAAAGAGAAGGGAAGAAGGAAAGAAGGCTTGCGGCTCTGCGACTGAGTTTTTGATGTAAAGTGGTCGTTAGTGGGGCCACGCTTCGGCCAATCAGATTTTGATTACGTACTCAGCGGAGGCTCGAGGCACTGCAGGGTTCTTGGGCCTTGGGACCCAGTTGGGACCATGGCTGGCAGGCCGATCGCGTCGAATTTCTTAGCAGGCCGCTGCCTACCAGCCCAGGCGTCTAACTCAAGGGAAACACTAAGGTTGGAAGACACAGCGACGGTCAACGGGATAACTTGCCTGCTGTCGCGTCTACCCCTTTTGGTCCCCCGCACGAAGTCTCTTCTCTCCTCCAACCGCAGGAAGGATTGCAGATCGCCAAAAATGTCTGGTCTCTTTGGTGGCCCGTCCGCTTCGGCAGCGTCTTCCAATACGGTTGGAGACTTGAAGCAGGATGTCGAGGTCCAGCAGCCACCCACCGACGGCATCACAGACCTCTCCTTCAACCCGAACCAAAGCTCCCAGCAGGACTTCCTCACAGTCGCCAGCTGGGATAAGAAAGTCCGTCTCTACGAGGTCACGCCGCAGGGCCAGGCACAACCACGACATGCCTACGACCACGAAGGTCCTGTCTTCAGTGTGGACTGGTTTAAGGTAAGCGCGCACTGCTGCGCAGCCCTCCTCCCTCCCGGCCTGTGGTCTACTTTGTTACGATGCTAACCGATCATCAACTACCAGGATGGCTCGAAAGTCGTCTCCGCATCCGCCGACAAGCAAGTTAAGCTATGCGATCTCGCGACGCAGCAAACGATGCAGGTGGCGGCGCACGAGCAGCCCATCCGTGTGGTGCGCTGCTTTGAGGCCAACGGCACGCCCATGATCGCGACAGGCTCGTGGGACAAGACCGTCAAGTACTGGGACTGCAGGCAAAGCTCCCCGGCAGCTACCCTACAGTGCCAAGAGCGCGTCTACACCATGGACGTGCGTAACAACCTGCTCGTCGTGGGCACCGCCGACCGCTACATCAACGTCGTCAACCTCGCCAGCCCCGACAAGTTCTACAAGACCCTACAGAGCCCCCTCAAGTGGCAGACGCGGGTTGTCAGCTGCTTTGCCGACGCGGCAGGCTTCGCGATCGGCAGTATCGAGGGAAGGTGTGCGATCCAATATGTGGAGGACAAGGACTCCGGGTACGTCAGATGCCACGATGCTTCTCCCTGCATGGGCTTGGTCTCATGGTCACATGCTAACAACCAAACAGCTCCAACTTCTCCTTCAAGTGCCACCGCGACCCACCGCAAGGGAACGTTACCAACGTCTACGCCGTCAACGACATCTCCTTCCACCCCGTCCACGGCACCTTCTCGACGGCCGGCTCGGACGGCACGTTCCACTTCTGGGACAAAGACGCCAAGCACAGACTCAAGGGCTACCCCAACGTCGGCGGCAGCATCACCGCGACCAACTTCAACAAGAACGGCAACATCTTCGCCTACGCCATAAGCTACGACTGGTCCAAGGGCTACCAGGGCAACACACAGACGCAGCCGATCAAGATCATGCTGCACCCTGTGCAGCAGGATGAGTGCAAGCCGAGGCCGAGTGTGAAGAAACGATAGATGACGGTTGAGGAAGGGAACTGAATATGGAAGACAATGGCGCTCGAAATGGACACTGGACTTGCGCCAAAGACTGTACCACTATGGGTGGAAGAGGGCCTGCTGGAAAGCTAAGCATTGACCTGCGCAAGACTTGAGGGGGATCGGGGCAAATTATTGCAACCAAGACAAACTCCGAGAGGTTAGGAGATATTGTCAGGCCTCATACGGGCGGACGGGTGTAGGTTGTGAGGGCGTCGCTCGGGCCCCCTACCAACGGGCATAGTGAGGGCACTCTCTAGTGTGGAGATATCAGGAGAAGTCGACCGCCGAGGACTAACGAAATGCTAGCCTAGAGTCAAGAGCGGACTCCTTTGTCGAATCTGGGGTGACAAGCGGACACGGCCTGAGAGATAGGGAGGGAGCCTCTAGATAGGGGGATAATACTACCAAAAAAAAAAAGTGAATTCCCAACTACTCCGGACAGTCAACGCAGGCCATCAACAAGCTGTTGATTCGAGACTCCGAAATACAATGGAGGATGGAGCTCTGATACCATCAACAGCTCTTGGGTTTTGATTACAATCTTAGGATAGCAAGCAGCATCTCGTAAACAATCTAACGAGTGACCACTGCATCAAAGTCATCAGCCCTTCCTTGGACCACTCATCGTGCCTTTTCCCTTTCTATGAAAATGCCCCAAAAGCAGTAAAAGACATGGAACCACAAAGACACAATCATCGCCTGACGGACCTCGCTGGTCCCGGTCTGTGCCAGTCAGTAATAAGAGCAAAAAACACCGTCATACACCTCGCCATCGCCGAAGCTTGGAGTCCATCGCAGAGCTGGGCGGGCATCCCTCTTGTCGCTTAACACACAACACAAAATGTCCTACAAAACGCTTTACAAGACAGGCTTAGCCTGGCCGTTGGGACCAAGGACGTCCTCCTTGAGCCCGGCCCACAGGTCCTTGAGCATGCCACCGGCATACCTCTCCTCCTGCGCGGCGCCACCACGGCCGCTACCGCCGCCAAAGGCGTGCGCGAAGCTCAGCTCCACGCCGTCGGGGGAGAAGGCCTCGACCTCGGTCAGGGCGGAGACGGCGTTGACGCTGGACGGATCGGCTGCCATGACGACAATCTCCGGGGCGCGCAGCGGGGCGTCGGCGGCCTCGGGCGCGAAGCTGCCCGGCACGGCGGCGCGGTTCGGGGTGAAGTTGTCGGGCAGCAGGGGCACGCGGACGCGGGAGAAGGCGTCGTTGCCCGGGGCGCCGCCGAACAGCTGTTCCCGTGAGGGGAGGACGGCGAAGTCGATGGTCGACACGTCGGCCTGGGCGTAGCGAGGCGCCTGGGTGGTGTGGAAGCCCTGCATCAGGGGGATTACCCTATGAGGATTTGGCGTGGGCCGAGTGTTGGTTGTGAGGGTGCGCTACGGGGTGGGTGTGTTAGTCGGGGATCAGATCGGTGATAGTTCGGTTTCGGTATTGGCCAGGCTGAGATGGGGATAAGGGAAACGGGTCTCGGGGACCGAGTTGGGGGGAAGGGGTTGTGTGTTTGGGTCAAGGCGTGGAGGTCGGACGTGGATGGACTAGGACGAGAGAGAAAACTGCCCGACTCACCTCTGAGGCCGGGACATCTGCTTTTGCAGCAGCATCGAGCTCCTTGCGGACTCGAGCAGATGCTGTCTTGGAGGAGTTGGCGATGAGCCTGCTGGGCGCAGGTGCAGCGGCCGTGGTGCTTATAGATCTCACAAGCTTGGCGATCTCACGGGGAGCTGTGACTCTGGTCATGGTGGCCGCGGTTACGGTGTGAATGAGTGAACAGGCAGGTGGACGATTGTTTATCTAAGGGATACAGCTGGCTGGCCGGCCGACAAGTGGTGACAGCAATTGGAGTGTGATGAGAGAGAGGTACAGTTCAAGCCGTTTAGACAGGATGAGGAGGATCAGAATCGTGAGAGGTTACCGGGACGGGAAGCAGATCTGTATATCTAGGTATGGGACGAGAGCTAATGTGGACTTTACTTTGACGGATGTCCGAGAGCGAGCTTGTTGCTGGCCTGCTGCTGGCTCGCCGATGTGGAATCCCCGGGGAGCCGTTGGACGTGGTTTGATGGGGAATGTCTAGTCAGGCAAGATCAGGTCAGATCCGCATGGGCATGGGAGGGCAGGCTTGCGGGTTGGCAGGAGGAAGTGGTGGTGGTCACTGGCCAGGGAGGAGTCTGGGAGTCTAGATCCAACCTGCCGTGCCTTCTCTTTGTCTCGGCTGGGCTGATCGACGAGCAAGTTGGGGGAGCACAGCAACGTCCGCCCATAGCCATCTGTGCATTGCATCGCTCGGTTGTCGCATCAGCCTCGCTTTCACTCAGCTGCCAGGGGCCATTGGCGCCAAGTCGCTCGTTCTCTTGTACCTGACCTGGATACGGACAGCACCAGAAGCTGGGCTGCAAGCAGTGCAAGCATGGCAGAGCATGGCAAAGCATGGCATGGCATGGCATGAATAGGGGATCGGGGACACAGGGAGCTGAGGTGAATGAAGCCCTCTCAACAACGTTGGAGATCCGTTGAGACAGGGGTGCGGGTGGTAGCGTAGGGGGAGCTCGCATCGCCGGGTGGCATGAGCTCGCCCAGGGCGGCAGGGCGGTCAATAGCTCATTACCCCATGCAGCCTAGCCGGCCAGCCAACAGAATTCCCGACAGAGTCGCTGACCTGCATGTGTAGGGCGGCAGTGACCCGCAAGCCCACACCCACACCACCACCTCGACCAGCCTCAGTCCGGCCATCCTCAGCCCACGTCCAATGGCTGATGATGGTCCATCATGGATGGTTTGTCATTGCATTGCATGGACACCCGGCTGCCTCTGTGTTTCTCTCCCTGACGGTTGACGCGTCAATGCCCCTCGTATCGATCCCGCTCACGACAACAAGCTCTGCCGTATCTCACTTACACCGCCACCAAGTGCTGGTAAGAGATACCTTGTACCTGTATTTGTTGATGCTCTGTTCCGTCCTTGGCTGTCATTTTCCTGTGGCTTGGTTGACAGGGAGGGACTACTGCCACCAGCCCTCCAGACGTCCAGTGCTTGACCCCATGAGTCAAGCCCGCACTTCACAATCTCTCGACTTGCTTCGCGGAATGTCCCGTCCAGGGTCATCGACTAGTTAGTTACTCTCGCTGGGCCACATCTCCCACACCAGTCGACGGCTGCCATCCCCGTGCACGCCAGATTGTCCAGCATAGTTCACGGATCTCAAAAACCAGATATCCATGGCGGCCGCCTCTACGGTCTTGTTCATGGATGGTTCTTGTTTGATACGGAGTCGAACCGTCAGGTGTGCGTATCTAATTAGTCACTCGCCGTGTGTAAGCGCTGTGGTCTACCCAAAAATGGCTCTTAGATCAACATCAGTGATAATGAACGAGATGGATCAATGTTATAATCCTCAAGTGAGGACAACAGCCCATGACATTTGTCACACAATTAACAGATGAATAAGTTCCAGCAGGAAAATGTCAATATTTTTGTGGGTCAATGTCTACTAGTAATGGATAACGTGCAACACACAGTAGCTATGGATGAGTACTATTACGTAGGTAGCTTGCCTGAGGTCGACCGTAATCATATCTAGATGCGTCTGTGAAACTAAAGAAGCACTCAAGTGGACAACAGCCGCCCACAGTACACCTTGATTATTCCAAAGAGAGCCTAGGGAGATAGTTCATGCCATACCAGCCATGCTGGACAGTTTCGGGCTTCTTCGCTAGATGCACACTCATAAGAATATCTACCAATTTCACACCAGTGGCGTAAGACTGTGGCAGTGAATGGGGGTCATATCCTACGTACGTCTTCATAAAGGATATCCTCTGGACGTCTTCTGCAATCAGAATTCTAACCATGCGCCCACTTCTAATACAAATATCGCAGAATTCGCCAGAACTATCGCTGCCTTTCACAAAACCCAGAGTTCCCAAAGCTCATCGGTTTCATTCTTACATCCCTCGTCACGGAAAGTGATAATACTCAAGTGCATACTTCCTATACGAATATATCCGTAACCTACAAGGGGTGAGACCTTTGTCTGAAATGGGATCCAGCAACATCATTGAATTTACCACTAAGGAAAAAAAGAAACCACATTGGAAAGCACAGCAGGGATCAGTAGGCAACAAATCTTCATCCAGACAAATGTCACTGAACTGAGTGCCTGCAGCTACCAGCCAAAATTTCGATCTCATCTCTCCATAAAATTCAAAAGCACCTGAGGTTTTGCAGGGAAACTAGGCCCCAAGATAGACACTGATGTAATGTGCTATAGCCAATATATAAGACTTCAGCATTCCACTCCACAACACATACAAATAATGGCACACTGTAGTTGCTAATAATATATTACTGCCCTTAATCATTAATGGCCATTAATTAGGTTTAGCGTGCCTCAAAAAAGAAGCTCCTGTAAGACTTCCAAAAAGAATCCCAAAATTATGTCCAACCCCTCATTTCCCGTCCCCCTAAAGAAAAAAGAAAACCCAAAAAAAGAAAAAGAAAAAAAAAAAAAACCCAAAAAAGCCCACCAAAAACCAACCGAGAGGCCGAAAAGCATAGCTCCACCTGTCTTGGTCATTCCTAAATTTCTGTGGTCTTCTTTTGGCCAGATCTCGTGCCTGGGAAGATCAAGCCAACTACCGGTGCGGGCCATCATCATCATGAATGGCGAACATTACCGTAGCCAGACGGACAAGGCCCAGAAGCATCGTTCAAATCTGGTGAACCTCCACTTATTTCCCCATTACCACCATATTACCCATACAATCCCATCTGTTGATGCTCTGGTCCTTGATGCTGAGGTAGGGGTTCCTAACTATGACTCGAGATCCGGAACCGGGTCACCGTCATCATCCCTCTTGAGATCCTTTCGACACAGCATGACCATATGCCGGTCGAAAATAAACGTGAGTTCTTGATTTTTTTTCAGAGTACATTTCCTGGGTTTGCTGTGACTGCAACTGTTGCTGGCGCGCCCAGTCCATGCCCTGCAACCTGTGTGTTGGGAATGGAGAGGGGCCGAAGTTCATCAATGGGCCCAGCCAATACTTCTCGAGAAGTTCACTAACATTGTCAGTATATTATGGAAGACCGAGAATAACGTAGGTTGTAAGATATGGATCCAATCCATTAGACGTTGGCGCGGGGATGCGGGAGAGGGCACGTAGACTTACTTGTCCAACTCGCCGTACGGCTCCACAGAATCCATGCGCGTGAGCACGACAGCAGGTGGTACCTTGGCGCCTTCCCAGCTAAATTCAACGTCTCTGCGAAACACTTCCGGGTTCCTGGTGACATCGTAGACGAGGCTGTTTTGGTTGATGTAGTCGGGTAAGCCGTCCCACACAAATGCGGTCGCTCCTAGGTCTCGAAGACGCGCCTTGGTATATTCGCTGAGATAACCCTCACAGACGTACAAACTGACTGCTCCATTCTGTGGGAAATTCAAGCGAATGTATTCCTGAATGTGCCGGGCGATTCCAAGTCGTGTTATGTTGACCCTCTGGGCGGTTTGTTGATCATCGGTCAGAGCCTGACCGTAATAGCTGGCTCGCTGTTCGCTGTGCGTTCCTGGATCTCTCAACCCAAACAAAATAATTTTGTTGATATCCCTCATCCGAAAATTGTACTGATCAAGTACGTATTCAAGTGCCGCTGAGTTGGTCGGATGCTCTTGAGAACCGCTCAATGAATATCTCCATTCATCAGTGTAGTGATGGAGAAATGCCCCGAAAATCTTGGCGGCTGTCATAAAGTCTGGCGGAAGTCTGGTCGGTCCCTGCATAGTGATAATTTGCAAAGGGTTGGAATGTTCTGGCTATACAATGGAGTCAATGAGGTGTTAGTTGGGATCCCGAGAGACGTAAGCTTGCAGATGGATTGATGGATGGTTTCGAGGAGAGCGGGAAGGTGAACAAAGTCAGGGGTTTTTGTAGTGAGAGAAGAGCTCCTGTATGAGAAAGTCCCCTCAGGGAATCACTGTTGCCATCTTCTGACGAAGGCTGGTGTATTTAGAATTGAGTCTCTGGGTCAAAAGCAGTCAGTCACTGAATCAAGCTGACACAGGGTACTTGGCTGCCACAGCACGGGAAACTGTGCCTCCTTCCAAGGCCAGTCTGAGTTGCTTCAAGTCGGTGAGAGTTTGGAAATGGCCGGGTAGCAGACGGTACGCTTTGTCAGTAAGCAACTCTCAAGGCAAAGCACTCACCGAGAGTAAATGACTTTCTTACAACCCTTGTTCTAGTCTTCAATCTGAGGGGATGCTCCATCACTCCGTGTTGTCACCAAACATCATACACACGTGGGTAGGGGTTGTCACAATGACCAAGTCACTACATATCCATACTGGGGCATAGGTAATGACCTCGATGGAGGTCAATGTCAACAAAGTCACAGCCTATAACACTTTTACGTTGTAAATTTTGATACCAGCCCATTGCAGTTGTGCTTATTCTTGGGAAGCTCTCATACTGGCAGCAACATCGGACTATTTGAGATGAAATAGCAGTTACTGTAGCTTGACTATAACAAAATAACCTCATTGGACTGAGCGAAATTGGCAACTATCAGCAGCTCTTTGAAATGCTCTAGAGTCACATACTGTTTGGTATGTCTTGCTGTGTGCATCCTTGCTCCTTTTGAATCAAGAAAAGATATTCACACCTGCAAAAACGGATGGTAGTACATCACCAGCACTCAATACCCATACCCAATTCACAGACCCAACAACTAGCACCCAGCACCCAGCACCCATACGCCTAGCACCCATATACTTAGCACCCCATTAATAATATAAATTAGGCATATAGGTGTTAGGTATGTAAGTATTAGGCATATAGATATTAGGCATGGAAATATATAGCTGTGGTGTTGGTGATGTACTAGTATATTATCCATTTCTATAGGTATGAATATCCATTCGCTTTGAATTACTCTAGAGTTGTAGATAGCGCAAATGGAGTTTGAGAGCTCCTTAATCAAGCTCCTTCAACAAGCCATTCACATGGCAAAGGGGCGATTCACAAGAGAAATTAGCTGTGGAATACCAAGAAGAGATCATTTTAAAACGGCGAGTAGGTAAGTCGCACTTCTGGGCGGAAACGACCCAGCAAATCATACAGAAACCAAAGCCACCATAATACAATGTGTCTATTGAATAGAAAAGAATGCACGAGTTGTTTATTTCTGTAGAAGGGGAGCCTACTTGGGCCTGTTTATATCTGGCCCTCTCGGCCGGAGGTGACGTGCATGGGATGCTGGGCGATATAGCCACTGCTCCAATGGGGTATAAAGGCTTCAGGGAACTGATTCCCTGTCCTCATCAATGTAATGGAAATTAATTCTGCACTATCTCCCAAAAGAAGATGATTGGTTCCATAGGGATGGTAGGTGAAGTCAATGAAGGCCCGGCAGGTGGGTGAATTGTGCTTAGGTACCTAGATCATCTGCCAATTATAAGCGGCTGCCCTGCATCCACTTGCCCAAAAGTACCTCCTCACAGCATCTCAATTTTCTCTTTCTGTGGATGCAAGTACCAAATGATTCTTATGCTAGAGCCTGGAAGGCTAGGGGTAGATTATCCTGTTGCCTTGCAAGGTTGCTGGGTTCTGTGGCTCCACTAACACCAGGCACGACGAAACTACTCGATGTGAAACATTGGCCTCATGTGACTTGTCCCTGCACTCCTCGAATGGTCGTACAAATAAAATGTGTCTTCAACATTGTGACTCTTATGAATCTGTCATTTTTCTACTCCAGGGCCCGGAAACGTGGCGAACACTGCCCCACCGCTTGCACGCTTAGGACACTGTCAGCGTTCCAGGCATCAGCTCCGCATTAAATCCTGCAATGCCCAGAATGAGCTCTCGTAGACTAGCGGGCCGCGAGGCTGAATTATATTTAAGATCAATTGCCCATACCTGCTTCATTTGTTTTCATGTCTTCCAAGATCTTTATAGCCTGATTTTGGACCTCATTCGCATAACACGAAATAGTGTTCACTTTATTCCCGTAGTCACAATGTTTGACTTCCTCAAAGAAAAAGTATACAACAGGTCGGACCCTCGGTCCGACAATGCCAGATCCCATGGCATACCCGAGGGCGAACCAGTCAGGATGCACTATGCATCGCGCGACGTCGCCGTCCCGGAAGATTTCCTCTCCCTCACGGCCCCTCCCCCGGACGCCCAGCCCGTGACCATATCGCCAGTCGACTGGGCCTCGAGCCCGCTCCCGGAGTACAACGGCCTGTTCGCCGTGGTGCTGGAAAACGTGCTCTCGCCGAGCGAGTGCCAGACCCTGATCGACCTCGCCGAGTCGAGCGTCGACGTGTCCCGGATGAACTCGACGGGCGACCACAACCCGTGGAAGCCGGCCATGGTCAACGCCGGGTCCGGGTTTGAGGTGCTCGACAGCGGGTACCGCAACTCAGACCGTATCGTCTGGGACCAGCAGGAGGTCGTCGACCGGATCTGGCGGCGGTGCCTGCAGGGTGAGGCGGCCGAGGCGCTGAGGAAGAGGCTGGACGTGATAGATGGCGACGAGCAGCTCGGGGCCTTCAGGAGAAGGGGCCCCAAGTGGACCGTGGAGAAGCAGAGGTGGGAGTTTAGGCGGCTGAACCAGAGGATGCGGTTTTTGAAGTATGGTGCGGGACAGTTCTTTCGGCGTAAGTCTATTCAACCTGGACACGGGCCCTCTTCATCCATACCGGGAGACAGGAGCTGGAAGCGGGCGACTCGGCATGCGTCAAGGCTAACGAGGCTGCAGCACATTGCGATGGTGCGTTCAGCGAGGAGGTTGATGGGAAGGTCTTCAAGACCTTCTTCACCCTTCACCTGTACCTCAATGACTCCGTGGCCGAAGCTGGGAAGAGCGCTGAATTGGTCGGAGGGGCGACGTCTTTCCTCTCAGGTGACAGCGAGAGGCGGGTCGACGTGGACCCAAAGGCGGGGAGGGTGTTGATCTTCCAGCATCGTCGGCTGTTCCACTGCGGCGACGACGTCGTGAAGGGCACGAAATACACGATGAGGACTGATATCATGTATGAGCTGATTAGGCGGAAGGAGACAGAGGAGAAAGAGGAGCAAGAGGAGAAGGCCACCGAAGATGACTAGGTGTTATGTGAAGATTCCATTTAGGGCCTTCAGGATCTTGCAGTCGCCTTTGTGCCCTCCCTCGTTCCACCCTTTTAGTTGACATTCCTGTACGGGACCATTAGCGATCATCTCTTGCAACTGACGTGAAAAGCCGAACCTCACCTTGCTGCAGTATCCAACCCTCTCACACCCAGTACAGCTTTTCAACCCGTCCTGCCCCTCTCCACCGCACGTCTCACACTTCGCGCCCTTCGCCTTCCCGCCCAGCGCAAGCACCCTCTCCAGGGGTCCGGGGACAGACCTCACGGATCGCGCATCGCTCTTCTCCACCCTCACGAAGCCCCGCTTCCCCTCGTCGGCGGGCTTGGTCCGCCAGGCGTAGGGGATGACGGCGGTGCAGCCCTTCTTGAAGCCCAGCCCCTTTAAGTCGAGGTCATCCCGGCCGAGCCCCTCCCAGACGAGGGCGAAGGGGTTGGCGCCCCGGTCGGTGAGGACGAGGGTTGGCTTGTTGATGGTCATATTGTCCTTGATCTGGGCGACGAGGTACCATGGTCCCTTTCCCGGCGGGAGCGCTGCCACCGACGGCGGTGCTGCCGGGTCTTGCTCTGGGACTGTGAGGAAGGTGGGGAAGAGGGCTATGTCTGTGAAGTCTGGTAAAGGGGCTGCCATCTTGAGTGCTGTGTGTGATGTACAAATGGAAGGGGAAAACGGTAGAAGAAGAAGGAGAAGAAGAGATGTTCGTGAGAATGGTTGGTGGAACACAATTATTGCTCCCGGTGAGACGTGGGTCGGGGTTGAAACAAGCCTGTGCTGGGACGTCTTGCACGAGAGGGATCCGGGCCCTTGGCCAACAAGTTCACCAGCTCCGAGTCGAGCCAACAATATTGTCACACAAAGAGCTCAACGCAATGCCAAATGACAGCAGGTGAAAAGAGTTGTACGAGTTGACAGAATGGTCTTTGTGAGATTCGTGCCGTTGGCGACGGATGATCCCGCAGGCACTCGGGCGAAAACACGCGGGGTTCAGGGGCAAGGGGGCCATCCCAAATCCACTCCGGCGTTACACTTTTGACGTGTACCGAGAAATATTGTACGCTCGGCATAACCATATACAGTCTTTCCAAAGCTGCACGTGTCGCAAGAGTCCAGCGCCAGTGAGATTTCTCAAACTTCTCTCAGATTCCGTACCATTACAACGCATCGCCGAGTCCAACCCCGTGCCCGCCGGCCCGAAGTCTTCAGTGGTTTGACCAACTGCAACGCCGGCACAATCAGGCATGTCGTTTCTCAAAGAACAGAGCTATAGAATGTCACGAATTCGCTGCGTTTTCAGCGGACTTCATGAATCCCATTTAAGAGCAGAAGCACAAAATTCCCACGGGAGTGGAGCACAAACAAGAGACGAAAATGCCCGCCTGACAGCCTGCTTACATCAACGAGGATCCGCCCTCCCAAAAACTCCACCCACGCTTACGACCGCGAGCGTAGATCATCTCGTTCCTCCCACGATGAGTACCCACCTTTTGCAGGTCGGGGCCCCGACCTAGAACTCATAGCTTATTTCAACCTCTATTGGACTTCTCGTACCTGCTTTGCCAGGCAATCGAGCTGTAGGTGAACGTCTGCAGTGACAAACCATCAAGGGTGCCCAGTGAAAGGCTGCATGGACGGCGGACGTCATTTCCTCGTGGGATCCATGTCACATCACACAGACAGCCCTCCCGCCTTGAAACGGCCCTAGGTGACAGCCCATGTGGACGTCGTCAGCAGCTTTCACAAGTCGCTCATCTGATGTTTGAGCGTCGATGACCTCATGGTTCGTGACGGTTTCGACTGCCCAGTGCGGCGAATCAACGAGTCTCACAACGTCTCCTCAGAGTTATGACAATACGATTTACTGTATGCTCTAGCTCATCCCGCAGCTGGCAGCGGGTATGTAGGACCCGCTGCATCTTCCCCCGCGGGCAGAGAGGCCAATTATATGCCACTTTAGCAGAAGCTTGTCCTATGAACAGATCGAGAAGCAAGATATCAACGCCCCTCCCATAGAGATCTTTCCCAGTAGTAATTGTGCAACCCTTCCGTGACGCCGTTGTCCAGCCGCTCTTCACATGGCTTGTGCTCTGAGCACATGCCCGTCGTGGCCCAGTCCTTGTAAACGTCGCCTCATCAAACCATTATCAATTCCAGGCAGCTACCGAGAGCGTAGACCAAGAAACGAATCCAGAACTGCGTGGTTGTGCAGGTCGGGTGTGATTATATGCCTGTCGACATCCATCCAAAGGTGCCCCCGGCAGCGACCAGGACCAGGATTGTGAGGATCGATGCACCGGCCTTGTCGCCAGTGGTTGGCGGTCTCGAGTCTCCCATGAAACTGTCAGACGAAGAACCGGCGTTGTTGTTGCCGACACTTGTGCCACCTGTGGCGTTGGTTACGGGTGCCTCGACTGATGCAACCAGCAGTGAAGAAACAGCGCCCAAGACGTTCATGGACTGCCCAGCGCCTACGCTGCCGTCGAACGAGCCACTGGACCACTGGAACCCGCACTGAGTGCCTGACGTACCCCCTGTGCACTGTTTGATGGCCGCCTGCGTCGAAGTTTCCAAGACATTCATGATCTGGTCGTGCGTGAAGGGTGCAATCTGGGTCATGGTAGCCAACCACCGGTGAACGTAGCCCTTGAAACTCAGCATGTCGGTCGTGCAAGTCATGTGCTCTTCGCAAGCCACTTCGTAGGCTATGTTGTCGGGGAAGAAGACTTTGATGGTGGCGTCAAGGAGTCCCTGCACACGCGACTTCCAGGTCTCGTCTCCGTTCGTCTATACACTTGTCAGCGGCTGGTGGCCACGGCGTTGTGAGGGAGGGATATACGCACGTAATTGTACATGTGAGCGGCACCGAGCAGGAAGACGCCGTTGTTGTAGGAAAACTGAGCCTTGTTTATGTCGGTGCAGTTAGTACCGACATGAGCACCATCGTAAATGTTGTAGTCAGCATCCATGAACCCGACACCTCGAACCCAGTCCCAAGTCTTCTCGGCCCAGTCGGCGTAGGTCTGATTGTTGGTGTAGCGAGCCAGCCGTGCACCGAGGTTGAAGAAGCAGCCGTTCGCAATGCCTGGATGATGTCAGTACGGAATGCAGCCGTGTCCGCCGCGAAAAGGTCACCTACTGTTCTTGTAATCGTATCCGTTATTCGACAGGGGAATCTGCCAGCGCAGACCACCGTTGCAGGTATTGTCATGTCTTATAGGATCTGCTTGTGTGTTGAAGACGGCTTGGGCGAGGGCAAGCCACTGAGGCTCGTCTGAGGGCGGATTGGGGAAGTTGTTTTCGGCGGCAGTCATGGCGGACATGCCCCAGAAGCCCTGTCCACGATGTTAACACTCCGGGTTTGGTAGGAGCGAGGAATGCTCGGGGCAGGACTCGCCTGATCGTCATTACCGAGCGATGCAGTGACGTTTGGGGGCATATAATCTTTATTTGGCCCGACTTGAAAGAGCATGGCATCCGTCACGACATCATTGTAGGTGCTGTCGCCGGTGAAGTGCCAGTAGTCGATCATTGCGCCCCACAGGGCACCGGCCTCCCACCAGTAGTAATCACCGGCAGGAGGAGGCCCGGGCAGGATACCAGGCGTCTGGCCCGAGGTGTTTCCCTTGTAGTAGCTCATGGTGTCATAAGCAAGTGATTTAGCAGTCGTCTTGATGTCGTCTGCGGATGACCTGTCAGAGCGATGCCACAATACCAAGGCGTACCAAGAGCTGGGCGCCAATGTAGCCAAGGCGGGACCTGAGGCGGGATCTGGGGCGGGAGGACCACATACCATTGCTTGCAATGGAATAAGCCGCATTGGCGACAGGAGCAAGGGCAGGAAGCGCCAAAGCGGCGCGCAAGGCGATAGACGGCATTTTTGCGGATCTGGCGATGGCAGAAAACGAGCGACGATGGTAAAAACGCTGGGTCGGGCGACGAAGAGGAGGTTTTGGGCCAGCTGGGCGTGCCGGGAAAGGGGCGAATACGAGGGATTGCGTGGGCTTTGGTCGCGAGTGCTAAACAACCGACGCCTCGTCAGAACGGCACGAGCGGTGCTAAATCGTGCTCATGGAACAGCCGATATGGATGTCGATGAATGCAGTACAGACGATAGCAGAGGCGCAGATCAGAATTGTGGGTCGATGACAACCGTGATGGCCTGGCCTGGGGTGAGGTTGTTGACGTGGTGGAGTCAGGTGTGAGGAGGGCAGAAAAGGAAGGGAGAGGGAGATTGAGGCTTGGAAAGTTGGACAGCCAAGTTACGAGAAAGGGGAACGACAGAGCCACACAGGTGACCAGAGTGCGTAACGGGACGGACGCTTGGATGTAACCAACCTTATTATTTTGGGCGCCACTCTACCCGAAGCGTACCCAGCAACAGCAGGACTCAAGGTTACCAGGAACCTCGGGGGAGGCCAGGGACGGAGGGAAGCTGACTGGGCACAGCAGTGGGCACCAGCCAGTGGCTGAGAATTTACCCCAAGCGCCAAAAAAGCCTGCCCTCCACCAGAGGTCCCTCATTCCAGCCGGCGTCATTTGTCTCGTGCTATCTAATCAGCAAATCACATCAAATCAAAGCGCCGTTGGGCTGTTTGTGCTTCACGTTTCCAAGTTGGCCATCCCTGCACGCTGGGTCCCCCGGCTTTCCCCAGCCGCCTCCCTGCCTCTCCCTGAACACGAAGGACAAACGGCAGAACACTCCGCATTGGGACACTCGCTATGCTCCATCAATCATGTCCATCACTACACTCCTGCCAGACATGCAGGAACCGCCAAGTATATGTATACCAAGCACCGTCAAAACGCTTGGACAAAAGGCCAACCACAGGTCAAGGAGCTAAGGACCTCCACTGTGGGCCCTGCTCACGGTCTGACAGTCTGGGGGTGGGGATGGGTCCATTAAACCCACACATTCCTCCTCCATCTAGGGCTTTCCTGTCCCTTCCGCCAAAACGTCCATGGCCCCTCACTCAACACCCTCGGGCTGATCAGTGCCTCTGTTGCGGCCATCCGTTGTGTCTTTAGTGCCACCCAGGCTTTGGTCGGTAGTCTTGGAGTCTCGAGTCGGCAAACGCAGTGATCTCGCACCCTACTCGGATGGGCGAGGTTTCCAATGAGGGCGCCACGTAGTGGTCCTCACTCCCAGCTTGTGCATTTCTCTCCAAACCATCCATCACCCACCTGCAACCGCCAGACTGGTGGGATTCTTCGGACTCCTGTTGTCCTACCGAACCCGGCCGTATTCGGTTGTGTATCCAGTTCGACGGGATTCAGGGGATCGGGTTGGAGAGCTACACAAGCTTCGTTGCCATGGTATAGCGGTGACAAATGGGAGAACCCCGTTCTCTGCGGCTGAATGGGAGCTCCTTCACCGGAAATTTTCGGCGAGGCTTTTGCCGACGATAGCTTCAGCCCTCAGGTGGTGCTCAGGTGGTGGACTCGTCTCCAGCTACCACAATGACCCTGCCGTGGTCGAAAGAGATGGACCCTTGTTGTCCGACGAAATCCTCCAATTTTCTCCCAGCTCGGGGGGCTTCTGGATAGCTTCCTGGGTAGAAGTAGATTTGGACTCACCGGCCTTCTGAAGGTTGTCTAGAGGCCTGGGATCTTGACCCTGACCCCTTCGTCATCCCAAGACCCAGGCGGGCCACCTGAATCCTCCAAATGCATGCCACGCTCACGTTCTCTAGGGAGCTCGATGTTCACCAGCCAGGGCGATTGGATCCAGTGGAGTTCGTCGTCGTTTCCATTTTCAGAGACGCCTTTTGAGAGAGACCAGACGGCATTGATGAAGAGCGTGTGCTTCAATTTCTGTACGAATTTCTCGTCTTGCATGAGGTCGGCCACTACCGGTTCATGGAGAGCCCTTCCCTCTCTGCATCTGGTAGGCCTCAATGTCGATATCTCGACGGGCTCGCACGATCGAGCCGAAAATATGCTTACAGCCCCGATACCCTTTCGGGCCGGGGTCCAGAATGCCTAACTGCAGCGTTCAAAGTTATTCAGGACATTTGAAACATGTTTTTCTCACGCAAGGAAATGGTCAAAGGGCACAATCTGTCAGTGTCCTACGCCGAAGTTGCACAGGAGCCTTCACTAAGTAGCGAGGCATCCAATGCTTGTGGCAAGGGCACATTTTCAATAGCTAGGCATAGTACAAATAATCTGAGGAGGCTGCTCACCAGCGGACCATGCGATAGATTCTTCAAAAAGGTCTGTCTTGATGCCATCAGCCTCTCATTTGATAGCAGGAAAGGCTGAGGAGGCCAATCTGCATACCAAAGCGTTCAGCACTTTTCTTGCATCTTGCGTACCGTTCCCAAAGTCGTGCCACTCCTGCCTCGGAATCTTCACACAGCCGCTTCAGCAGATGTGCCATTGCTTTTCATCATGCAGGGCTGGAGCGGAGCAGATGCGTCATGTATCTCCTCCTGCATTAGGATGGCTGTGAGCGGATGATTCCGCAAAACCTGAAAGTCGTAAGGCTCATTTATAGTAACCTGTACAAATGTTTTCCAATTACATATTGTTTGGACATGTTAACGGTGCTATGAATTTGTTGGACATTTACAATTTATTGTATATCCTGGTGTGAGCTATGCTGGTCATTTAGACCTGCCATGCTTCTGTGCGCAAGCCGATACGAATTGGGCTTGTGTTCGAACCTCTAACGATAGCCCCCCAACAGCCGTGAATTTGAGTTTTGTCTTCAGTATGTCGCATTTTAGACCATAACCGATTCGCCGGGGACCTGTTGGTCGTCCAGCACGGCCGAACACCGCCTTACGATCAGCACATACTCCGGTACCGAGTTTCACATGCCCGTGACTGCATCGGGGCCCTGTCTGTGTCAATGATTTGACTATTTGCGATACAGAATGGACTACTCCGTGCATGTTTTGAATTCAACTCTATCTGGTCCTCAACGCCGGGCCACATGTCTGCATGACCGTTGAGCCTCAGCGCAGGACAAAGCGAACACTACACGGTGCCCCTGCGAGGTTTCATCTTGGGCAGTTGGCGCAACCCGACGGCATGGCCAAAGAACATTGCTCTGCCTTTGTAAACTTTGGATTTGGTTGTGGCCCAGTATCCATATTTGAAATAACAATTCCAATTCAAGTTGAGCATTGAGTATTACACATGGTGCACTATCTGGAGCCGAGTGTCCTCTTGCCGAAAAAAAAGGGCCTAAAAATCTGATGACTTGATTGCCATGCCTGCCTTGAAATTTCTACGGGAGTTGTAAATGAAAAAGATGTTGGCAGCGTAGAGCCACATCGCGGTTGTGTTAAAAGGCAAAAGTTACGAGTTTAGGTACTGACAAGAGCCGGCCATTTGTCAATGATGTTTAATTGTGAGGGCAGGCGATTAAAGCGGCCCGTCCTTGAACCCCGACTGCCGAGAGCGAGTCTCGGAGGACCCCAGAACCTCGGCGAATGGGCCCTGACCGACCGCGGCAGATACCTAGGTAGAATGCGGTGGGTATTTCTGCGCCCGTTCGTCATCATCCAGGTCCATGACTAATACTGGAACAATACTTACTTTCGAGTCAGCCGGAAGGGCCAAGTCTCTTGCCCGCCGTCTGCTTCAGCATCTTCTAGCCTCTAGACTTTAGACTCTCAAGCAGCTTCTCACGATTCCCTAGACAAGCGAGCAATTATTCTCAACGCTTTCCCAAGACTTGCCAGCCTGCACAAGCCGTCCCGTGCCCCCCCCCCACCCAGGTCGGAGTAAAGCTCGCCGGCCGTTGCGACGACCCCTGAGCCGGTGCGTGCTTGCCCCACCGAACCGCACAATCCGATCGGCGCCAGTCCAACGGCGCATACTTGAACACGACGGCACGGAACGAACCCGACTTCCAGGTCCAGGAGGAGCTGCCCTCGGATCACAGCGTCGTTTTCAACGTTTCCGGATATGCCTGGCATTGAGGCGCCCGAGAAGTCCGGCCTGGAGGGCCAACGGCGGAATCAAGGCGACACAGCAGCAAGCAAGCTGCCCTCCTTCTACTCCCCACGGACAACTCCTCGCGATGGTGACAGCGACGTCGACGTTCCTGCCGCGGCGCTCGATGGCCAAGCGCCAGCAGCTCCTCAGACACAGCAGCCACCAACCTCCAACCCAGACCAGGACGAGGCCTTGATAGCCGAGCCACCGCCATCTCTCCTCAGCCCCTCCTTCACCCCTCCCTCGACGCCGGGCACTGCTACGCCGCTTACATCTGTCTCTTCCGTCACCGGCGCATCCATTGGGCCACCTTCCACCACTCTACGCCCAGCACGCGCTGTACCCGTCGACTCCACGCTACCCGACTCCACATCCGGCTGCGGCACCAAGCGCCCGCGCCTCGTCGAGCGCCTGCCACAGGTTGAGTGCATCGTCCGGGCACGCATACCCACTGTCGCCGGCACGGAGATGTTTTTGCACCTGTACTCGAACGATGTGGACAACAAGGAGCATCTGGCCATTGTGTTCGGGGAGAACATACGGAGCAAGAGCTTGGACGAGCCCCGGCCGGGGGAGACGGAGACCGACCGGATGGTGCGCGGGGCCTACGTAGGGAGGCTGTTCCCCGGCCGCACCAGTAGCGGCATGCCACATGGCCAGGCCGAGGGGGGCGACGCGGCCGTGTCACAAGGGAGCGGCGAAATCCCCCTCGTGCGCATACACAGCGAGTGCTACACAGGCGAGACGGCGTGGTCGGCGCGGTGCGACTGCGGCGAGCAACTGGACGAGGCGGCCCGGCTGATGTCGCTGCCGTCGAACAAGGCCGGCGGCATCATCATCTACCTGAGGCAGGAGGGGCGGGGCATCGGGCTCGGGGAGAAGCTCAAGGCGTACAACCTGCAGGACCTCGGCTCGGACACGGTCGAGGCGAACCTGCTGCTGAGGCACCCCGCGGACGCGCGGAGCTACGGGCTGGCCACGGCCATGCTGGCGGACCTGGGCCAGAGGGACATCAAGCTGCTGACCAACAACCCGGACAAGATCCGGGCGGTGGAAGGGCCTAACAGGGAGATCGTGGTCAGGGAGCGGGTTGAGATGGTGCCCCTAAGCTGGAGGGGCCGGGGCGGCTTCAGGAGCAAGGAAGTGGAGGGATATTTGAAGACCAAGGTACGTAATTTCTCCCCTCAGCCTTTTGGATACCAAGCTGACTCTGAATACAAGATCGAGAAGATGGGGCATATGCTCGACATGGACTCGGGCCCACAGTGATATACACACCAAAATAAAGACACATAAAACGGAGATGTTGAAGGCGTTAGTGTATCAATGTACATAACCCACATTTTCCTTGGGGAGCACAACTGCACAACTGCTCAGCATATACCCAGAAAATACTAGACAAATGACACTTGACTGGACACCTGGAAGAGGTTGGCTGTTGAAGGCACCCTCCTGGCGTATCCGAGTGAGACAGCCGTGGACACAATGCGGCCCGCCTCGCTTACCGAGTCACTACAGAGAGCTTCATACTAAAACAAAAGCCGATTTCTTGGCGAGCGACACCGACTCTGACTGCATCAGATGCCGTCATGGGAGGCCCGTATGGGGATGGAGCAGCGCAGGGCGCCTGGCCAAATGGGCACGACCATGGATTCGATTGAAACTCGGGTTCTTCTGCCCTTCCTTTGCACGATCAATGGCGGTATCAGAGCAAGTTGATCACATCCCCCCTCATCGATCGGCATATAGAAAGTGCTGTGTTCGCTGCTATGCCGCCCCGTGTACCCAGGTCTTGAATAGGAAGCCCCATGTGCGCCGCGTGACTTCATGCGACGCGACTTGGGTACTGGCTAAGAAAGGAAGGTCATAACTCACAATTCTGGGAGAGAACCTGGGCAGTGGGTGATACGACGCAGGATCCCGCAGCGCTACTGGCTGAATGGACGGGCCCGGGGCTGGGGGGCGACTTTGCCCAGCCAGTCCGGCAGGATCGCGGGTGGCAGCCTGGGCCACAAGCACTGCAGGGCCACGTTCTACTGCAACCTTAACTCACTCCACCCGAAGGCACTTGGGAACCCCTGCAGACCATGTTGTGCTGGTTGCACAAGTTGTGATCTTCGGTGAAGCATATGTATATATATGTGCGATCGACTTGAAGCTTCTTGGCCTCGTGATCCCGAGGAGCACCTCTTCTTACCCCTCTTCCTCGATGTCAAGCTGAAAACCCCATCTTGTATATTGGCTCAGTCCCATCATTCTGTGACCATTTAATCATACGCAAACCAGAACTTATTCAACCATGCATTTCCAGGCTGCGCTATCCATCGCCATCTTTGGCGCATCGGCCCTCGCCGATGGTAAGTCTCGCTCCAATCGCCACCAAGCCCCGTCTTATACCTACCCGGGTATCGGGCACTTTCAGCAATACCGACCACTGACAATCCTCACAGCCCCGCAACCCCGGCAAAACAGCTGCGTTATGTGCCCAGAGGTCATGCCCGAGTGCCCGGTCTGCCCCGCCAACGAGGATTGCGTCATCAGCAACCCGAGCGACTGCACCGAGTGCCCCCAGGCCTACTGTGCCACAAGGGCGGCCGACGGGACGCCGACGTCGACGCCGACGGGCATCATCGGCGGCTCCTCCACCAGCACCAGCACCACCGACGGCGGGTTCACCCTGCCCACCGTCTCTGAGAGCGAGACCTCTACCGGCACCGCGTCGTCCACGACGACGGCCACGGAGTCTTCGGGCTCGACTACCGCTACCGCGACCGCCTCTGAGGGGTCATCGACTGGTACGGCCAGTGCGCCGGGGGCGTCGTCGTCTGCGCCGAGCAGTAGTGCTGCCGGGCGGGGTGCCGACGTGGCTGGGGTGGTGGGAGTGGCGCTGTTGATGGCGGTGCCGGTCTTGGGCTTGCAGGGACTCTGGTAGGCTTGTCTGTGTAGGTTGCAGGTGGTGGACTGTGTTCTCGGGGAACGGTCTTTTGGTATTCTGCGAGTGGACACTCGTTTTAGACAAAATGTTTGCGTGTTCTGCAATGGGATGAATACACACAAAGTTTCGGATCGTCCGCTGATGGTGACGATGGAGTCTGTTGCGTTTGAATGTGCTGGGACGTCATTCGAGCTGGCGGGATAATCGGGTGATTGTGAGACTCGGGGCCAGATTATACGCGAATCTGAAGTTCAAAATACAATTGACACTCTCGCTCAGACATTTCGCGAGATACTACTAGTACTAGTATATCAAACTCAAAAGGCCCAAATAGTAACATCGGCAGTTCTCTGTGTAGACGAACGCGAGTGGTGTTATCACACTTGCTTTGGCCCTCATCTGACAGTTGACTGTTGATTCATCCGTGTCGATGAGGAACAACGTGAAACTTATCGAATAAAACGGGCCACAGAGCCAATTCTCGGGCCCGCACCTCCTAGTTTATTTGTTGAAACATCCGATGCTCCCTTATTTGAATCATCGAGATCGTAGATGAGCATTGATTTAAGTGCGTCTCATTCAATTGGGTGGCTGTCTGTGCTGATACACCGGCCCCTCCGGATCTATTGTATTATACACGCTGATTTACACGCTGTTCTCTGACTAGTTATTCACAGGTTCCCAACAAGTTCTTGCCACGGTCTAGGACTATCAATTGCTGTGAGGCCTGATTATAACTAGGCAGATAATGTGAAAAATATGATGTGCTTACATGAAGGTTATCGGTCGGTAGTAAAGTCTCTTGCATAAGACAGAAATCTTTCAGGCATGGTACGCGAGTAAATTAAATTTACATACTCAAAAGATTATCCACACCTCTTACTATTGCTTGCGTGAGGTGAGTCGGTGAATGAAAGTTCCACTCAATCTTTGTGTGGAAAAAAGTCGTACAGACCCAACCTGGATCGATCAATTTCCACATCCACACTCGGCGTTCGCCTCACAGTAGTAGCCGCAGGCGGCCGCCTTACTTTGCTCCGACCACGCTCATTAGGGTCGTCATACTCCTCATCGATAGTCTGCAGGCTCCTCCTCGATGCGGCGGACGACACCGACGGCCTCGTCTTGACGATGAGGAGCTCATCATCGGATAAGTTGCGTTCATGTGTGACCTCGATAGTAGTCGTGTGCAAGATGCCGCCCATCGGCGGAGTTTTGCTCTTCAATTCTATGGTTTGCGCGCCACGTTCGGTGGCGGCACCATAAGCTCCATAGACACCGTACGCCCCTGTACCGTTGTGTCCCTTGTGAATGGTTGTGGCAAGTCGACGTGGGATGATTTTGCTGATGAGCTGCCGGCACGGCGGCAGGTTCAGGCATATTACCGTGCTCAGTAACTCGATGAGAGACCAAGATATGGCCGGAGCTATGTCCCAAGACAGGTCGGCCGTGGGCGCGAACTTTCTGACATATCTTATACGGATCACACTAGTGAATAGCGAACTGAAACGAGATTGTTAGCAGCTGCTGGGATGCTAACACATGACGCGTTTCGCTGTCATAGGATGAACTCTGACGGAGTTCGCGGGTGGAGGTTGGGGGGGGGGGCTCACAAGGACCCTAGACTGAACACGAACGCCAGCATAATTCGTTTCCGTTTGGAAAGTTTCAGTTTCCATAACTCCGGTAATGGCATGACCAAGATGGCGAAGTGCTCCGCTATACCCAGTATAGCTCCCGCAAACCCGATCGCGTTTAGGTCTAGGCAACGACCTTTCTCGCGTATGTCCCAGGATGCGGAAACGGGCATACAACGTAGCAAGATGAGGAAGTAAAAGATGGTCTCTTGGACTACCATCACAACTATGCCGTAGCGAGCCGTGAGGCTGATCCAGCGTTTGGGAAACACCCGCAGGTACAGAGCGAGGAGCGAGATCTTGGTTAGCAGCTGATCGAGGATGTAGAGCTGCTGACTGATCCAGTAAAATCGCAATAGGGGAATGGCATTTCGGGGGTCAACGACCCATACGTGTACGCCGAAGCCGATGAATGAGCCTATTGTGACAATAAGAATACGTTCATAGATATGCCCATGGAGAGTCGAACTTACTTGCGAGCTGGACAGCACTGACAGCTAGCAAGGCGATTGTAGCCAGGAGGGCGAGGTAGTCGTCAACGCCCAGCGTGGAGGACTGGTATCTCGCATACCACCGCAGCCCGATGCTTGGGATAGCAAGAGCCATCGCCATGATAGCAAGGACCTTGAGGAACGTCGCTTGTGACTCCACAAATAGAGGAGCATCACGGCATATCTGACCCAGACCATTCTCGCCCACTGTGAGGATAGTAGATGTCGTCAGCGAGGGCCAGGCTTACACGGCTCAACAGCAGCAAAGGTAACTCACCGATCTGGTCAGGAACTTCGCATGCCAGTCGGGTACAGCCTGACAGCGTGGTGAGCAGTGTTACGTTTGAACAGATGCATGAGTTGAGTTGGTCGATGCTGGCGAGGCAGCTAGCATCCGGAAGGACGTCGAGGAAACATGACACCTAGTACGACTCAAGTCAGCCGGCTGCGACATAGTGGTAAAAGAGAGCGTGTCTTCTGTACTACTCACGGCGCATGTTGGAGTCTGCTGAAGAAGCTGGCCGACTGTCGTCTGCCCACTAACAAGGGCCGAGAAGCACAGCAGCCATGAGAAAGCTGTGATATGAATCCTGGATATCATTGCCCCGTCATCGGCGCAAACATGAGAGGATTTTTCGTTACCATTAACTCGTAGGAGCCTCGAAATTTCACCCGTACACTGAGTTCTGAAGGCAGGGTGGAAGGGGGGCTGGGGATCTTAAAGATCTGAATCCGGCAATGCCGTCAATGTGACTAAGAGGAGTATATGCACCCTACCGGCTATGATCCGAGGGGGATCTTGGTTGCCATTGTGATACGGATGCTCGGAAAGGTTTGGGAACAATTCAGCGATCCTAGGGCTACAATACCGTGGGAATTGTACAAGGGCTGAAGGTCCGGTTGGTCAGCGAGCAGCTGGGTTTCGGAGCTCGATCTGAAAGGAGTTGACAGCCGGGTAATCATATAAAATATGCTATGTTTCAGCGAGGACACCCTCCTGTTCGCCGCGATGCTGCATGGTTCGTGTGTTCGCTGGGAAGACGGGGTCCTGGGTCTACTGTGTGATCTTGTCCGGGATGCGCTATGCTAGGCAAGCCACCGAGCTATAGTGCATCTGGGCCAGCTCAGAAAATTGACCAGGAATCTCGGTAGATGGGAGCCGCCAATAGGGTGAACATCAACTTGGGATGTTGTGCATTGGTGAGACGTGTACCAAGATCCAGAAGGAGAAAGATCTTGGGAGGATGAAATCAGCTCGAGCTCCCTTTCGGGGGCTTGAGACAACACATGGGGTCCCAGAACAGGAACTTGGCGGTGGACGACACTTCCAGAACTGGAAGTTGGCGGCCGGCGAGGCAAGACGGCTTCAAAGCCGTCTTTTTGTTTTCTGTTGCAGCGAACGGTTCGGCCGTGACACCTCGGAGGCAAGGTGAGACCTGGAATGAGCGCCTCGATGTCAGGTTAGACTCACGCATGCGCATTGAGGGCGGCATGATCACAGGGCACCTCCAGATCTCGCAGTGTTTCAAGGAAGAACCCTATGGAAGCAATGCGTGTTGTGGCTGCTTGGGTGAGGGTGCAGTTGTAAGGAGTTGATGACCAGATCAAGACGCGGCATATCGCCATTGTCGGACCAAGGCGAGGTAAGGATGGCAGAACTGAAACCTGCTACACCACGCTTGCGTCCTGGCGATCATGCATTGAAATGATTGACAGGACATAGAATCGTGGTGCGGCAACTTTGAACCGAGCCATGGGAGACCCTTCAAGACAACGGGGACAGGGAACATGCTGTCCACGGACTACCAGGCACGGCAGTTGAGGCTCGGATGGCCGTTGAGTGAAGTGGTATAGCTGGGCCCTGTTATATAGCCATGTCCTGTGAGGCTCTGCTGTGGGCTTACAGATTTGTTGGGATGCAGGCAAGGGGCCCCGTTTGAGATGATCCTACTGGCCGGGGATGCTCGTTCCCGGTAGTATGGGCTTCCCCAGACGAGGGTGATCGCCAAAAGGAAGCACAGACGGTGCATCCCCTCCCGAGGTCCGTTGTGTGATCGGGTCCGCTAGACTGAAAGTCTGTATACACACAGTTGTTGAAGTTGTTCTAGAAGTTCCAAGGTGAGGCCCCAGCTGAAGGACGGGCCGCTGGACCCTAACCCTGCTACATCAGACCGGACTCGAGCAGCTGTGATCCTTGGACTTGCCGTGCCACCCATGCAGTACTAAATTGGCTGCCGCGTGACCCCGCGGACCTGTCGAGAGCTAGGCCTCGGACGCGGCGCTGTTGAACTTTATTTTCGTTACGCGACAGCGACAGCGACGGCGCCAGCGCCAGCAACAGTAAGAAGCTCCCGTCGCATCGCCACGGCAGCTGTAGGGGACGCAAACCTCAGCTGTGCGAACACACAACACCAGTTCCCCTGTATCTACAGCCCAATACAATGCTTGACGTTTCTGCATTCCATTTGAGCCCCAACCGGCTCTGTCACTGAATGTCACAATTCGCCTGCTGATCTCCCCGCGGGCCACCACCGCACATCCTTCGCACTTGCAAACACAGAAAATGGACCAAAGTTTGCGCCTCCGTCTTGTCGTTCGCCGCCATGGCCTACCAGAAGCCAGGATTCTCTTCAATGTACCCCTGGACAATGACCCAACCATTGCGCAGCTCGTCGAGCTCGTCAACGAGTCCATTCCGCTCGAGAGCGACGACTGGGGCCTCGATGACTACACCGTTGAGCTTCATGCCAAGGATGGCCATGCCTTCGAGTGTCTGCACTTCCAGTCTGTCGCGAGCATTCTCGAAAAGGACGATGAAATCTTGTGCGTTCCCTATTGCATGTCGACCGCCTTACGTCCAGATCAAGATCTAGTACTCACTGCCGTGATGTAGCATCCGACCCCTCCTGACCAACGACCTGAAGAAACGTCGGATCAGTGGTAGAGACCAGATCTCCAGCGGCGGCCAGCACCTGATCGACGGCGTACCTTTCGGCCGTCCACGGCTCAGAGCACCGAGAGGCCGGCCTGCGGTCCACATTGCCCCAAGAAAGCGGCGGAGGCTGACCTACGATGGGGACTTCGACAAAGATGAATTCGACGATGACGACCAAGTCGAGACTTTAGATGGGGAACTGGCCGACAAATACTACGAATCAAGGGACGATCAAGAGGAAGAGGAAGAGCAAGAGGAGGGGCCGCTCCTGCTGATGCAACACGGCGAGCCTGAAACGAGGAAGGACAGTCGGCGCGTCCACTTTCCCCGCAGCGTAACCGCGAGCGCCGAATTTGACGATACAGATGACCGTAGTGAATCGAGCGAAAACGAGGAAGACACCGAGGCAGAAGACGACCAGGAAGATCTGTTTGAGCCGGACGCAGAAGACCTATGCGAAGAGCTGAGGGGCCTTGCAGAGGAAGCAGCTGATAATCAACCTGCCGAGGACCGAGAAGACTCCGAATGCTCTCGCAGCCGAAATGATGGTGCTCATAAGAGACCCTCAGTCCGGGGGGAAGTTAATGACTTTGGCCCCTTCACTGAGGAAGACTCTGAGCCTGAATCCCATATGCGGTCTGGGCGAACAAATGCTGACTCTCGCAATCGATCCAGCCATGATATCTCGGACAAGGTCATTGCGGTCCGATCTGCTTTCCCGGCTGTGCCAGGTGACGTGTGCGAAAAACTTCTTGTTAAGCACAACCACGACGTGGGTAGCGTATGGAAGACGCTGGCTCAGCAGCTGAAGCCGCGACTGGACCTCGCACAAACCATGGTACTGAATACCCAGCTAGAGTTGCCAAAGGAGGTCATGGTTATTTCGTCGCCGCCCAGGAAACCCGCAGAAGCCCCTGGGGAAGTCAGCCGTATTGGAGACGAGGACGACGCAACGGATTCATCTTCCTCCGCTGAAGAGGATGAGGAAGAGGAAGACGACGAATCTGAAGCACACGCAACATCATCTGAAAGCGAAGACGACGAAAGTAGTGACAGCGAGGGCGATGCTAGCGCCGGAGACGATCCCGCTTCGAGACCTCCGTCTGCTGCAAACGGCGCTGACAGCTCCGACTCAAGCAGCGATGAAAGCGACTCGAGCGATGATGATAGTAGTGGTCCCGGAGACGACGCTGTAAATCACGGCAAGAAGGTTGAGGGTGGGAAACGGGCCAGCAGTAATGGAAATCAAAGCATCTCCGGCCCAAGGGCTGGTGTCAGAGCCGGCCTAAATAACCGGCGGCGGCGAAATGTCATCGAATCCTCGCCGGCCAGCAGCCCTGCTAAGAGTATAAAATCCAACGGCGCGAATGGCAATACCATGGTTCCCGCTAGAGTCGCTTCCTCATCAGACGTGACGGAAAGTTCATCGTCGGAAAGCGGTAGCGATAGCTCGAGCTCCGACGACAGCGACGAGGACAGCCAGGCAGATAGCTCGGACTCATCCTCGGACTCGTCATCAGGCAGCGACTCAAGCTCAGAGTCAGAGCCGGAGGCAGAAGTTGCCACGCCATCTAGGGGGACGAGGGCATCTCGGTCTCAGAACGCGACCACAGCAACGTCATCTTCCGTTAAGCCTGGCTCTACCTCCGCTGCATCCCAATCATCTGTTCAAACGCCTGTGGCTCCAGGTCAAGGCCTGACCAAGACTCAAAGACGCAACGCACGGAGGAGAATCCAAAAAGCAGCACAAAAGGCCTCCAGAAGTGTCGAGAGCCCGCAAGTCCCCACTGTGCAAGATGCCGACTTGATGGCGAAGAAACAGGCGTTGTTGCAGTCACTGGGTGTTCCCTCAGGTGTCTCAAAGGGCGGTGACAAGCCAGCTACAGACCCCAGTACGGGCACGCCTCTTGGAAACGCGCCAAGGGATCTGAGCAAGGGGAAAGAAGACACAGATGCTTGGAGAGAGAAAATCTCGTACCGTGCGGTAGAGTGCGTTAATGAAGGAGTAGCGCTGAGCGAGCCCCCGTTTCCATTCGTACAGCGTTGGGACTCATCACAGCGTCGTGGCAAGAGGAAGTCGCGAGACGACTCCCAATTCTATGACGGATCCAACCAAAGTCAAAAGAAGCGGAAATGCGGCAAGTCATCGAGACAGCTTGCAGACAGCTACAGGGAGGACACGACCATGTTTTCCTTGAATCAAGATGATGTGACCTTGAACTATGACGACGAACCCGTCGGTCTGGACCAAGGCAAAATGGAGTCCAAGAATACCGGCACTGGTCATACCCCAACGGTAGATGAGGATCTCCCAGCTCTGCCGGCGGACATGTCTTTGCTCCCTCAACTCTCGCTTGACGACATCCAGCCTGGACTAATTATTGCATGGAAGCAGCTTTTGCTCACCAAGGCCAATAATTGGCAACCGCAGTTGAGCAACTTCATGACCGCTGTTGTCACCGAAGTTGACGGCAGTGGAGACTTTCAAGTTCAACTAGCAAAGCGCGATAGAGATGTCGACAAGGACGAGAAGGAGTATGATGATGAAGGAGGGCGAATCTACGCAAAATTCGAAGTGCCAGATGACGAAGAGGAGGACGAGGAAGCAGACCTGGGTTTTAGAGACATTTCTTTCGCGGAGATGATTGATCCGCGCATGGTCCGGCGGCCTTCTCCATCTACCACTGAGAATAAAGCGACCCAACCACCGGAGCAAGACGTCGAGGTAGCGGACAGTCAGCCGATTCGCAAAGTCGAGACCAGCAATAAGTCAACCAGCTACAGTGATCAGTCGAAGACCATGGATATTGAGCAGGATGGACAAGGCGATAAGGTCAATGTGACGGATGTTGACAGCACCGATGGACCCATCACAGCAGGAGAGAGCTTTGTTTCTGAAACGAACCACGACATGATCGCTGACAATGAGACCGATGCTGGAGCCCAGCTTGAGGCCCTAGCTCAGGATGTGTCCATAAGCGAAGAACGCCGGTTTGAAATCAGCCAACTCATGGTGAGATCGTCTATTGACCAGCTCACACTCCTTCAATTTGGGAGTCCATCTCGCCAACTGGAAGAAGAAGCGTCCTCAATGCTACCTTCTCGTCAGTTGCAGTCGTCACAGCGAGTGTCATCAGAAGAAGCATCAGAAGAAGCGCCGTCTGAATACGGGTCCAAGGACCCCTCACAACAAGAAGCGCACCTGCCAGCTGTCGCGACTGCCCTGGATGATTTCCATTCAGCCCGTCAGTCCCCCAGTCAGCTAGGCGCGAACTCAGACAATACACATGAGAATGGAGGCGCATTTGGCCATACTCCCTCCAAGGGGAACGTAGAATATCCTAAGTTGGACGTCTCCTTCACAAGTCAGACAAGCGCCCGCAGTGGACGACAAATCGACCCAGACTTCATCACTCATTCAGACGACTTGGGACACGGGCTGCCGGACGACTCGGCTATAATGAATGGCTTTGACGACGATGACGCCGCTCAACGATTCGTACCCAGCGGATGAGCGAGGACAGGTTGATGGGGTCATTCATGAGCGAACTCCTACGCAGGAGGTTTACAATGACGACCTGCCACACGCTCAGGATGCAGCGGCACACCTCACGCCGTTCAAATCTACGCAGATTTCCCATGAAGCCAATGGCCGTCCGACCTCGGCCGGCTCAGCCTCGACTGGTTCTTCGAGTATCTTCGTTGACTTTGAGCTCATAGGTTCTCAGCCAGCCATGGCCAAGTTCAAAGAGCACATCAAAGAAGAGGCTGCTGGTTCCCAGACCAATGTCAAGGGCGAACAAGCCTCCCAGGCGCCTCAAGAGATGGCAGGAATTCCTGACATCAACGAAACCTCCTCCCCAGCGAATACAAGATCGAGGTCCCCGGAGAACGGCAGAAGCCAGAGCGTTAATGGCACTCCAGTATCTCAGCGAAGCCGTCATTTGACACGTTCGGTCAGGCAGAGCCCTCGGAATACCAACGACGAGGGAAGTGTTTCTCAGCGAATACGTCGGAGCAGTCGCCTGATGGATAGCAACTCAAGCCCGCCTGTGGCCAAAACGGGGGAAACTGCGAGGAAAGCAAGGAAGCACGGTACCAAGGGGTCGCCCACTCCTAATGGCAAACCCAAGTCCCTTATCGCCAGTTTCGACGGTCCTGTATCCCCGCCATCACTATCCAAGCTGCGCCAGAAGCCGGCCCACGCCCTCTCAAGCTCGCCAGGAGGTAGGGGGCAATCAACCACGTCGCCAAAGTCGGCTTTGCGCAAAACAGCCGAGCCGAGCAAGAGCCGGGCACAAAAAGGGGGCTCCTTCAAAATCCCAGCTGGATCGCAGGTTATGTCGCTCTTGACCAGTAGCCCAGGGCCACGAGTCGATGAGTCCCCGGCGGAAAGGGAGGATGGAGAGGATGAGGTACGGTTCGACTCGGACCACGACGACCCGTTTGCGGAGGCTCTGACGGAGAGGTACGCCGACGACGACATTGACGGTGACTACCATGACTCGGCCGCCGGCAGTGTCCCTGGTACCATCAACAAGCTGCGAGCAAGAAGATCGCCCTCGACGAGGGCAACGAGGGCAACGAGGGCAACGAGGGCAACGAGGGCAACGAGGGGTGCCAGTATGCCCGTCGCGGAGGTTGATGGGGCGGACGCCGGGGCGGATGGGGAATGGGCGCCGAGCACGTATCAAGAGCCTGGTGGAAGAAAGGCTTCAGCTGGCAAAGTCGGGGGGCGTTCGTCTGGTCACCGCTTCTAGGGGAACGCATGCTTGATCCAGTAGGACTAGGGCTTGGCGGCCTGGTGATATGAATTTGGTGGTTTGGATTCCGTTAGTATGGCCGGATTGAATGCGATGGCCGGTTGGTCTATGTTAGTTTTCTAAGCACTCATAGTGAGGATGCGAAAGGTGGCGACAACGACTTCTCCCAAGCTCAGGAGATCCACATATTAAGACGTTGACTATTGTCGTCCTCATGGCACGTTCACTTCCTTCTTGTCAGTGCATAGCAAGCTGTGAGACCACCATGTGGGAAGCGAGAGCTACCGGATGTTCCCAGTCCAACCCGCGAGCACAGAACTGCACTTGCATTCCTCGCAAATGCCGAATCTTGATCCTGCTCGAGGCGTTATGCTAGCTGCGAGTTGACGTCCCCGTCCTTGGCAAGTGCATATTATAGCTTGGTTTATAGGGCTTTGGAAAACATCTTTCCTGGTCAAAGTTTCTCTCTGGCAGGTTTCTAGATCCAACCGAGGAGGTGCGGTTGATTCGGTGGCAGCGACTTGATCTGGATCAGCCCGATCAATCAAAGCCCCTGCTTCCCCACAAGGGGTGTGCAGCTGCCGTACGGTCCTGGGAGACAGACAGCCAATCATTTTACACAGGCGCGTGCCCGCAGGGATGCGCCGCGGCGCCGGAGTCCTAGATCTACCGTGTAGAGTGCCATCTCGCTGGTAAAAACTTGAAACAATTCTAGAAAGTGACAAAACTTTATCGTCCAGTCTCGCGCCTGTCAGGCAGCATAGTTGCGGCGGTGCTGCGAGCTGCAGGGAGGGGCGCATGTCTAATGGGCGGGGATCCCCTCTGGTTGGGGGCTTTGTGGCCCGCGAGTGAGCTTGGGTGGACGCCGAGACGCGGTCACCTTGAAACGGATGCCCGTCAATCGCCTGGCTGCGGCGCACTGCCTGCTGCCCTCCCTATGCACTAGGCAGTTGAGCTGGAGGCTTCGATTGAGGGCGGTGCAAGGAAAAGAGACGGAAGGGGGGGGGGTGCGGCGAATGTGGGAGTCGTCACTGTCACACAGCCCATCACCATTGAGTGTATGTGTTTGCTCTTTATTAAGCTTTCGCCGGCGATTGTATCCGAGTCGCTGCCGCACAATGTTCCCAAAGAACCTTTTCTGTTCATTCATTCCCTTGTTCTTTGTTCGACGGGCTTGAGGCTCTCTTGTATTTCACTTCATTTAAATCAGTGGCTGTAAATCCGAGGTCCCAATTAGACGACACACACGCCCACAACAATCTCAGGCCACGATTTTGAATACCTGGGGTCAATCATCTGGTCACTGGATCTCGTCACACCACTCAATCCCCGTTCGGATACCCTCCCCGGCTCCTCTTTGTGCAACAAACAGCCGAGATGCTGGCCATCTCTCTCCTCACGGTCCTCCTGGCCCTGCCAGAACTGGCCACGGCCGGCCCATTCACATTCCCATCTCAGCCGAGCCTCAGACATGTCACCCTGACCGCCCAAGACGGCCATCCCCTGGTCCTCACCATCACACAAACACAGACGGCAACGACCACAACGACGCAGACACCAACCACTATCCCGGTGTCCTCGGGGCCGAGGAGAACAGGCCGGCCAGGCGAGGCCGAGCTGGAACTCAGGGACGACGTCTTCGCACCCACCACGCCCTCGGATCCATCGCCCGGCTCGCAATCAGACTCAGACTCGTCGACCTCCTCGTCATCATCTTCGACAGAGGAGGAAAGCGGCGAAGAACCCGCCGCGGCCGCGGTCGGAAGCGCCCCGGAGGCACCGGCGCAGGTTCAGACGGTGGCCAGGGCGCAGACCACGCCGCCTCCGCCAAAGAACGACCCGCAGGTGGCCTCTGCCCTCGCGCAGCAGGGTTACAGCCAGGTCACTTACTACACATGCAAGACGAGAGACGCTACGCTCACGCATTGTGGATGGCACGTGCCTGTTGTCAAGGCCAGCGGCGCTACCGGCTGGCGCCATGGCGGTGACATGGGAAGGATAGTGGGCGCTGTGTTGGCTGCGACGACCGGTGTCGTGCTTGGGAACCTGGTGATGTGAGGAGGGTGGGCGGCGGAATCGTGCTTTGTGTTCGAGGGAGGTTGGAGCTCGGGCTGTAGGGTCTTTCCCGTTGCTTAAGGAGCAGCGCAGAGGACGGCATGAGAGTTCCCCCCGTCCTCCGACTTCAAAATCCGGAGGCGCAACTTTTGGGGCTTTTGGAAAGCCATGATTAGATTAGTACAGGTCATTTGGGAGCCTGGAGCTGTCAGTATACCCGCCTCACTTGAGGCAACCTGAAAAATATTTTTTTTTTTTTTTTTTTTTTTTGGCTTTTTGCTTGGAAATGTCAAGACCAGATGCTCTGCAGTCTGACACGAGCCCACATGTAGTAGTGACTTTCCACACGTATGTATGCTGGAAGTTACTTAACCCTACCCCATATATCCTGGGTTCTTCGTAATACCATGGCATGTCTTTTTTTTTTTTCGTTTGGGGGGGGGGCAGGGGTGGTTGGGGGGTTTAGAGTAACTCTTTCCTTTCGAGCTCGTCTTCTGTTCAGAGAAGTTGATATTGTCTACACAATCTTACCCATTGAGAAAGCACTCAGAAGGCTTCCTTCCTCTTTCACTTAGATAAGGCACCCAGAAGTCAGCTATGTCGTCTTTGTGGACTCCGACAATTCCCTGTGGGATACCCTCTTGCGGCACACCTACCCTCTCGGACTATACCTACTGCCGGATTTTTGAGTCACTTACTGCTCAAATGAGACTCAAATAATGCAGAGTGGTCACTGAAACTACCTAGGTAGGTTGCAACAAGAGAATAAGGCATTGACCTGTGTGTTGTTCAACACCTGGTGACGCTACGTGGTGAGCCCAAGATGACTAAGCCCCTCAAGCTCTCTTTGAAAATCTGTGTGCCTCAATTGCAACCCTCATTCCACCAACAAGACCATCATATGTGCCACCATCACTGGCACGATTGTTTCTGGTTACATTTCCCACTCTTCCATTCTTCCACACAGTTCATGGTCCCACATTCGTCAATGGCGGAACCACAGGCAGCTCCAGACATTAGCTCATCAGAGCTTGGCAAAGCGGCCATAGACCGGTTCTGCTGCCAATACCTTCAACTAGAGGCGCATCTTGATTATCCCGACGGGCAAGCGTTGAAGCGACCAGAAGCCCAAGATGAAATCTTCGATCGTATCTTTGAGGGTTGCTCGCCTTCTTCCAAGAGCGCCAGGTTTCAATTGCGAGTATTGAAAGAGTTGGTAAAGAGAATCCAGGACAGCATAAGCGACAACGAAGCAGACGACTTTGTATGTGAAATTGACAAACGCCCATTTTCCAACAGCTACAAGAATCTGGTCTGACATGATCATGTTAGGAGGTTTCAGACAGGATAATGGACCGCCTGGGTGAGCTCATGTTCGAGCCTCTGATGTCTGAGGCAGATGAGGCCCAGCGCAAGTGTCTCGTCACGTACCGCTTATCCCTCGTCCAGCCCCCTGAGCACATTGATATCCTGGAAAACCGTGCTCTGCTAGCTGCCGGTGGCACCACCGGTCTCAGAACATGGGAAGCTGCCCTTCACCTCGGCCAATATCTGTCCATCAACAGCCATCTCGTTGCCGACAAACGAGTGCTAGAGCTGGGCGCAGGCACGGGTTACCTCTCGATCTTGTGCGCGAAAATGCTGGCTGCAACACATGTCACGTCGTCTGATGGGTCGGAGGAGGTTGTGGAGAAACTTGCCGACAACTTTGCGTTGAACGGCTTGGAATGGGACTACAACGTCTCGAGCTCTGCGCGCCTCAGCCCAAAACTCCTCAAGTGGGGCCACGCACTGGTCGGAACGGAAGAGCCGGAGTGGAACGGGGGCCAGAAGATCGATCTGGTCATCGGCGCCGATGTAACTTACGACCAGAAGGTTATCCCGTTTCTGGTATCGACGTTGACGGAGCTTGTGGAGCTTGACCCGGACACGGAGATAATTATTTCGGCCACCCAGAGAAATTCAGACACGTTGATGGTTTTCAGAGACAGCTGCGCCAAATCCGGTCTCCAGGTCAAGGAGGTGGAATTGTCAGTCAAGGACCAGCAGGATACCCTCATACGCCACGGCAGACCATATGGAACATTGACCCCATTTTACTCGACTCAGGTGCCTATACGGATCTTCCACATTCACGGAAGTAAAGGATAGTAGCTGAAATACCTAATGGGTTTTGTTGAGTAATGCATGGGGAAATGTCGAACCCGGCGTGCTACTTCTGAGGCGATTTCAGATTTAACTGAAGACAGTGGACACATTATCCGTGGGCAGGAAGCAAAGAGTCGATGCTCGCTAGGGAGCTCATGCTCAGACGCTCAAGCTCAGACGCTCGAGCGTAGCCCGACCTCCGATCAACTACGGACAGTACGTCAGAATAGTCCTCGGTGCCATATCCTCTCCTTTGCGGCGGGCCCGGCGACTCTAGATGGAGGTCACATCTCGAATTTCAGAGGGAATGGCCTCATAAAAATATGGCCACAGACGGATGAAAGAAGCCCCTTTGAAACATGTCGACGTTTCCAAGCGTCTGAAAGTTACCATTGATGGGTCACCACTCAATGCGGGCCTGCGGACACGAAGCTCTCAGCCAGTCTTCTCGAGGTCAAAGCCACATCAGTACATGAAAGTATAAGAAGGGCTACGGTGATCTCGGAGATCGACAGGAGATCTGCAAATGAGACAAGACATTCAATTCTTCAAACCTCCGTATACAACGGTCGCGGCGAGTGCACCGAGTGGGTCTTCGCAAGCAGTCGAGGCCCGTGACGCCAGATCAGCAGTGACACCTGGTACAACTTGTCCCAAGTCTCGCCCTTTGTCAAAGTCTGCTTGAAAATCTGTTTCTGTTTCTGATCCTGGCCGAGCGAGGTTGGTAGGCAAGTTCATCGCAGTCTCAAGGCGCTAGCATCTCCACCAGTTTAGTAATCCCCATACAATTCTGGAGAAAGCCTCTATATTTACATCAAGTGATAATAGTTTACAAGAATGTTATATCTGGAACCCGGGAGCGCAGGCCGAGATATTACGAAAGTAATACCTGTGAGCCGAAATATCGAAGCCACCGGTGCCCCCATTACACTCCTCGTTGTCAATGCCCTCGCACAAGACCATGTTATCCGAAGTCACCGACGAAGCCGGAACATATTTTCCATCCTCGACAGTAAGCCAATACTCAGGGCTGGTATGTCGATACCCACCCCCAAAGCTCCCAAAAAGCCCACCAAAGGGCTCATCGATAGGTGGTGTCCTGGGGACGGGGTCATCTGAATGGGTCACGCGGTACTCGCGCCCTTCTTGCGACGCTATGAACTGAACAAAGCCCTCGTTCCCCACCCGCGGGCTGCCGAACGTGTAGAGGTCGCAGGGGTAGCCGGCCTCCCTCAGGTGCACCGCCGCAATCGTCCCGACGGCCGCACCGAGGGAATGGCCGGCCACGACGAGGGTGTGGTTGGGATATGTCTGGAATGCGGACCAGATGGATTCGTAAATGTCGTCTGAGATATCCTCCCATGCGTCGTTGAAGCCGCTGTGAATCTCGCAGTCGGACACGGGCAGGCCAGTGTCGGAGCACTAAAGCAGTTCGAGTCAGCTTCCAAAGAGCTAGGAAGCCGAGAAGTCCGTGGAAGCTAGTGCTTACCGAAGTCTTGCTGAGTGTCAAATCTGCAATCCAGTTGCGAATCGATTCGCTGCCGCGAATGGCGAGGACAATCTCCGACCGGACAGGGTCGCGGCCTACGAAGCCCTCTAGGCTGGTGAAAGTCTTGTCACTAACATGGTAAGTATCAGCATTCCTGGCAACATGACTTCCTGAGAGAAGAAGACTGGATATGGAAGTCAATTATGCCTACCTGAAACTCGAGACTATCGTCGCGTTGTGGCTCTCGACATCCGGGCAGACGTCTAGCGAGCAGACAACGCTCTCGCCCGGCTCGGAATCGTCATTGCAGTACGCTGAGCCAGCCCATTGAGCGTAGAACTTGAAGTTGTCCACTTCTTGGTTGGTGACCTGCGAGTCTATGGCGAGCAGATTACCCTATTAGTAACTACTTTTCTCCATTGTTGGATGGTTTGTCTCCACTAACCCCGTGCTCGGACGATCCTGCCGTGGGAGTATTGGGAAGCCGCAACGAGACCGGCCGTCGCGAGGAATTGAAGGCCAAAGAACCTCATTGCTATTGCATGATGGCTGGCAGAATGTAGGATGAATGGACCTCTGGAGAAGGGTATACCCCTGGGCTAAGTTCGTGAGGCCGATACAGCGGTATAAATCCAAGCAACCCGTCCTGGATCTCGACCGGGAACCAGCTCCATTTTGAAGTTGTTTGTAGCTCCGCTTACAACCACAGGGACATGACTCGTCCTCTGCGGTAAGCGAAGAGTGGAAATTGATCTTCTGCAGTTCGATCTCGGTATCGCAGCTTGATAGGGCCTAGGTGAGCGGGTCATGCGCAGGAACCAGGGGAAAATCGAGCTGGACGAGCGATCTGGGTCTGCTGCCAAGGTGGACTAGATACTTGGACTTTTATGAAGTCCTGCCGCATATCCGAAAGGCGGGTAAAAGACCAACAACGCGTGCGGACAATGGCTTTCGACAAAGTTGAATGACTCGCCCTTTAGGCGTGGTGACCAAGGTCCTCCGAACGCACGTGGTGAAGTGGAACCATCATTGCAGGCTGGAGGAGATGAAACAGTGACAAGCCTCTATTTCTAGATCCACTTGCAGTATCAAACTCCGGTGTAATTGGTGCCTTGGGTGAGCTTTCCAAAAAAAAAAACCCTCGAGACTTGATCCCAAGCAGACAGCCTCAAGACGTATTTGAGCAGCATTGACGGAATAGGGAAGAAAAGACATTGCAGCGAAACTGAGTACTGTTCACATTCGTTTATGTTCCTATCATTCCTATCTGTTTCTCCTTCCGTTATGAAACAGTCTAAATGCCAAATTCCTGAGATTTTCATTATATCTCAGTCTCTTCGCCAGGCCTTCGCGAATGCTCTGGGACTTGACGCACAATCAGTCCTATCTTGGGACAATTGCACAATATTTTGACAAGTGGCACCTGGGCAACAAGTGAGTCAATCGGAATATCATTCACCTGGTTGTACCCACATACACGCCTTTAAGACGGTATTGCCTTAATACACGCTTGTAGATTGTCGAATCTTCGACAAAACAGACTGTCGAACATTGAGCGCAGTGGGTAAGTCAATGGGTAACGCACTTAATTACTCACCGAATTTACAACAGTGACCACGGTGCAAACCGTAATGAATGTCAAGATCAATTGTATCAAGATATTGTGTGCAGAGAACTCATCAACACAACGATAGGCGATGGGGAATACTGCCTACATCCTCAGTCTATTCGCAAAGTTTCGTGTCAGATCCCGGCGGCTCGTCAATGTTACAAAAGCGTGCATTCATCCTCTAGTAGGCATTTCATCAATCAAGAGACATGGCCCCAGGCCGAGTCAAGAAACAAAGGGGGGAAGGGTGGGGGAGAAAAGAAAAGACCTGCTGGCGAAAATGCGAGTAAAATAGTACATGACGGCCTCAGCTGTTCCGCTCTGAATCACGCTCTCCCCTCGAAGCTCGAGCGTCGGTGACAAAAAAAAAAATCAAAAAAAATCGACATGCTGCAATGCTGTTGAATGTGAGAGAGTTGTGCCCGCGGCCACGGTGGTATGGTATTCAATCCGTTCTCACAGGGTGACTTTTCAGTCAAGGTATCTGAGCAGCCATCAGGATACCCGTTCTGGTGTTATTACTAGATACACACAATATTGTGTTACTATGTGACAGGGCCAGCCAAAAGCCCCTGGTGCATTATACATTGGCCAAAGCGATATGCCATCAGCGTGCTCCGTGCTCGAAACTTTAGGTCATCGCGCCTCGTTCCTAACCTCCATTTGCTAAAGCAAATCAAAAATGCTGTGCCTGATGTTTGAACGCCTAAATAAGAAATGCCTCCTTTTGGTCCTGAACTCCATGCTCAAAAAGCCAATGGTAATGATGTGAAAAGCAGATTTCCTGGACCCAAACGCAACGCATTCATAACCACTCGCCATCCATAGCGTCAACTAACGGCCCTAGTCGAGCTCGATGACCTCTACCGGCGCCCTCTCGACCGAGCTTGATTTGCTTGGTCGCTTGCGCAAGGTCGCGACCGGACCCTTCGAAATGGGGCCGTCACCATCACTGCCAGCATCCTCGTCGTCAACTGGCTCGATAACGGGCCGCCATGTGCCGTCAGCTGCAACAAGTATGGACTTCGTGTCCAGTTTGTTTTGCTCCTCCAGTTGTCTTCGCACACTAAGCAAAAAGCTGTCGATGCGAAGACTCCTTGGCCTGGCATCTGCAAAACAGATGGGGCATTTCCACTTGTCGGGATCCGAAGGCTCGAGACGTTTCGGGCAAGTAAGAGCATGTTGGTGACAAGTCGCTTGCTTGATTGGGCGGGTGTTCAGCCACGTCTCGAGGTCGAAACATTCCATGTGAGTGCATGCTGAGCCGCGGGCTGGTATCGAAAATATGCTCGCGCTGAAGGGGTCGGTCAAGTCTATGGAGAGTTCTGACGCTGTGACACCACTTCGATCAATCACAGCAATTCCGTCCTCGTCTGGAACCGCATCGATTCTCTTCCTGACCTTCTCCAAGGTCTGCGCAGAATCAACAACACCTGTGGTCCAGACATGCTCTAGAATTGCCGAGTGGCTGAGAGTTTCCACGACTTCGACTGCTAAGTGGAACCGCCTGACTATCTTGTCGGCGGTCGGCCCGGCCTGCATGGTCGCTACCTTGAGCTTGTTGGTTCCTGGAACAACAAAATCCGTCAGCTCCACGGGGAGATCCTTTCCATGGTGGGTGCCTCGTCTGACGACGAGTTTTTCTTCATTGAAGTGTGGAAAAATGTAATCTGGCCAAGATGTCTCTCTCGTGACCCAGTCCGATTCTGTGACCGCCTTATCTGTATCGATCCGGCAACAACGAAGCCGGTACCGAAGTGAACCATTTGTATATTCGTGAACGGTAGAAACTGACGGCTGGCCATTGACACGCGGCAATCCTTTCATTTTGCAAAGCGACGAGTGAGTTTCAGGCGCCACTGTGAACTCGAGCTCATGAAAGTAGACTAGACGGAACGGTTCAATAGCGAAAGAGCGGACAGCCTGGTAGTGCCGCTCTGCCTCCTCGTCAGCACGCCGCGTCCGATCAGGGCTGCGAGCGTGAGCCTGATGCAAAGACATCATGAGAGACTTCCTGTCTTGGTGGGAATGTGGCCAATCACTTCGCTCGATCACTTGGCCCGGCCGTGGGACAAATGTTGTCGGAAGACGAGACCAGGTTGCTGCCGGTGGGACATTTGCCATCGCTTGTTGTGGTACCTGTGGTCGTGAGTTCGGGCCAGGTCCGTAAACAAATTGAGAAGAGCCCGCAAACTGCAACACTGGCATTTGCTGGCCGGTCGACTGGTACATCTCTCTGGGCCACTGTTGCTGCGCGGCAGCCTGATGTACGGAGGCCATATTCTGCGTATAAGGATTCATGTACTGGACGCTTTGCATGCTTTGAGTCGGGGCACGATGGTTACCAAAGCTGTACTGCTGATGGTTGAGCCCGCCCTGCGCATAGGCCTGAGGGCTTGGCATCGACTGTATCATCTGCGAGGTAGGCATGGCTGCGGTCGAGGAACTCTGCAGAACTAGTGCTGGGGGAACATGCCCTAGTTGACGCCCGGTAGCAGGCGGACTGAACATAGTCTGTGGGATGGGCGGACTGTTCATGGTGTGATATGTTGTACCCATCATTGGTGACGTTACGGGCCGCTGTGACGATGGATTCGGAGGATGTGCGGTCTGAAGCGAGGCTCTCCTGACTTGATCTGCTCGAGCCACTTGGTTCTGCTGCCACTCATACATGGTGTTGGGTAAGGGGTTGGTCTGGAACGTAGCTTGTCGCGGTGACTGTGTTTGTGCTTGCTGGTTTTGCAAATTCTGCTGTTGAAACACTAGTTGTTGCTGCCGCCGGGCTTTCTCTTGTTCGTGTTGTTTGGCTGACGAAATGAGTTGTTGGTATCGCTGGATAAGGGCCTGATTGCGCCGTTCGAGCTCGCCGGCCCCATCGGAAGACAGAAGGACTCGGAATTGGCCATCCAATATGTGTTCTTGCTGATCTTTGCGAAATAGTTGATCCATCTCTGTACCGAACTGGCCATCCAAAACACCAAGCCTCCGTCGCGATGCTGTGAACAGAATACCCTGCAGGACGATAGAGTAGCATTGCAGCTTGCCAATCATTTCGTCCATGAGATAGGGACAGACTCGATTGAAGGACCCCTCGTGGAGGGATGTCCAGTTGTTGGCTAGACAGACGAGAAACGTTGCCACGCTGTAGACAGTCGGACTACGAGGTAGGTCAACCCTCTGACATGGAAAGTTTGCGCACCATTCCAGATTGGACCTTGAAAACCCAGAGTTCTTCTTAAGAACGGAGTCCAAGATCTCGAAACCCACTGCAATGGTCCCCATATCACCAGGCAGCAAGTCAGGTACCGTTTGCGGGCTGACAGACCACAGACAGTAAAGCTGATGCAGGATGAGATAGAAGTAATCTTGCTTAACGCATGCGTCTCGTAGGATGTGAAAGCGAGGTTTCTCGACGGTAGGCTGTAGAGCCTGGTCACCACCTTCTTGGCCTACACGGTTGTCGATGAAAGTCGCCAAGCCTGCGAATGTCAAACCGGCCGCACCTGCTTGTGGGCTTGATGCAGCTGGACTGTGAGAAGAAGTCAATACAAGTCCATCGGCAAGAGACCGTGGATTTGCGCACTCAACACGTCTCCTCTTGCCGGCACGACCTTCCCCAGGAGCTGACGACGACGACTGCGCCGCTGGGCGTCCAGACATGACCACGGGCGAGCCAACATCATTTCTACCGTTTGCGACCTGGCCCGTCTGGTTCGGCTGAGGGAGATTCGGAGGGGCCATGGCGGGTGAGGTGCGTACACCCTCGGAGGACGTCTCGCTGGTCGCGTGCTCCAACGCAGCGGTCCATTCGACGGCCCCCGCAGCGGCGGCGGGGGCGGGGGCGGAGTGCGCAGGATGGGATGGCCGGGGAGCTCGGGGCGACAGGGAGTGTTGCACAGTCTGAGGTTGTCCGGTTGTCTGTTTCTGAGGGATAGTTGGTACGGGACGGGTACGAGGATTCGGACTGTCGTGAGGATTTGATAAAGCGGGACTCGGCTCGTCGCTCGGTGCTGGCGAGGGCAGCACATTCACATTCGCAGGGGTCCTGTCGGCATTCCATATTTTAGCAGTCTATTTCCAAGGAGGTTGACATCACGGAGAGCTAATATCATCCCATTTCCGGAGCGAGCGCCAGGGACGGGTGGCACCTGGTCACGGCCCGCGCTCGAAGCATCGAAGCGGCGGGGGATTTACCAAGGCGCGTGCGGGTGTCTTACGTTGGGAGCACTGGAGGGAGGCGCTGCTGGTTCTGTTGCGCTTGAGGTCGAGCAGGATGAGGCTGAGGGCGCGGACTTGGCTGGACAGGAGCAGCATTTGCCATCCATGCCTTTTGCTTCCCTCCGACAAAGGCATTGAGGGTAGAGTTGGCATGGACGACCTGCGCGCTGTAGGCGCCGTGTTGACCCGAGCCCGAGGTCTGAGGAGGGCCAGGCATGTTATATTGGAGGGCTCATGCAGAAGTCGAGTCCGTCGTCGTGGCGGGGTTTGCTTAACTGAGGCTGGTGATGCAGGAGCGAGCGGTTCAGTCGCGGGTTTTCCGACGAGACAGGCTTGCCGTGTTGGGGAGAAAGTAAACAGGCCATACCATGGAGACGGACCCAGTGGCAAAAGCTGAGGGAAAATCGCCCTTGGAGGAGACTAGAGATCTGTCTAGCAAGAGGTAGATAGGAAGGAACTCGAGTTGTCGTTGCGGTTGCGGTTGCGGCCGGTGGTGGGTGGGCGACTCTTCGACTTGCACCTGCCCTGGACAACTTAGTGTCGTGCCCGTATTTCGGCAGCAGCCAATTTTCAGGAAAGCGCGCCGTGATCCGCGACAGTCTGGCGAGGTGGAGCAGCAGGAGAGAGGGAGGAAGCAGCGAATTTGAATTTGAGTTTTAAGATGCAGAAAATGCTACAATGCTCAAGGAGGTTGAATTAAGAAGGCACCTATGGCGCCAGGACCTGGGTCCTTCCTGTGCTAGGTATGTAATGGGACCTGGTGGGAGGCCGGAGGTCGAAAATGAAAGCCCTGGGATTGCCTGGGAACAAGCACAGAGAGCAGTGCAGTGCAGGGCAAGGAGCGCAGACTGTCTTGTGCTGCGTTGTGCTGTGCTGTGCTTCCCTATGCAGTGATGCTGCAGTGCAACCAAGCAGAGGTTCACAGCCCCAGCTTGCGACTTCCTGGGTGGGTGGAAGCAGTCATGCTTCTTCGCTTCCCCTCTCGTCTTTGACCATGTGCTCACTTCTGCTCGGGTCGGGCTGGCTCGGAAGGAAAGGGTTGGGCCACAAACAGAGCAAGTCAAAGCACGCATTCAAACGGGCGGGAGCAAGAGGAGGGAAGAATCGGTCAAAGGTTGCGATTGATCAATGGGCCTAGTCTAGTTGGTCTGGCATGGTGCGTGTGCGTGTGTGGTTACGTTGCAAGGCCGAGGGGAGAGGCGGAGCTGATGGAAACCGGGTGGGAAGAGAGAGCCAGCCCCGGCCGATCAGTCAGACCGTGAATGATAGGCATTATGGACTAGGCTTGGAAGGCAGTGGCACTTCCCGAGGTCCCTGTCCAGCCGCCGTGGACCCTTGGGTGGGGCGTTTTCTGCTATTTGATATTGTTTTGCTGCCGTTTCCAATGTTCCATCTGCAGTTGGCTGCGGGAGGGAGGCGACCAACTGCACATTCTCCTCCGTTATTAGTTTGCTAGTGCGATGGAAAGGTGCACATCTCATAGTGAATAGTGACAGGTCACGGCGGCCGAAAAGAAAAAAAGCAATTTCCTGTCAAACGAAATGCAGCGTCAGATGAGCCGTCCCGGCCGCCAGACAGCACTCGTCTGCTCGTTTGGTCAACCGGTGAGGACAGACAAGGTACGGCACATTAAACCGCATAAGCAGCCACAGGCGGTCAGCCATGATGAGGAATCACAGTGATAAACAGGTCCTGGGGCCGTCATTGGGTCAGTACTGATACTCCTTGACGGTAAGCCTCAGACCTGACTTGGATACTTCAACACTTCAACACTCGAACAAAACGGACAGAAACAAAACCCATGTACCTGGATACCTAGGTGATTACTTTGGTGCCTACCTAGGTAGGTATGACGGGCACTTGCCGCAATAGTCACAACTGCCCAGGTGTGAAGTGCTGTAAACCATCAAAGAAGTGCGGCGGCATGTCTAGGTTCCCCACCCGTTTATCCTTCCCAAGTCGCTGGGTGCTACTTAGCAGCATCTGGCTTATCGACAGCACTAGCCAGTAAGATAGCATATCGATAAGCTCAGTGGGTCTCGAAAAGTTTCCTGGCCAAGACGATCTGCTTGTCCAATGCCTTCACCTACAGCTTCTGGACGGCAACGACCATCTGTTTTCCTGTCCACCAACCAATTCACCATTTTGCAAAGACAAGATGGCGGCAGAAGTCAGGCCACTCCAACAAATCAAGCTGCCCGCAGCCCCATCACCCATAACCGCCGAGCAGCGCTACTGGAAGACCTTCAAGAACCAAAAATCCCACACCTCAACCGCGTCCTGGCCCGTCGCCCACATCAGCTTCCCCTCCCCGTACAGCAACAGCACCTCATCCTCCTCGTCCACCACCGCCGCCAAGAACAATGACCTCTTCGCCGTCACCGCCGGCCCCCGCGTCGATGTCTACAGCATCCGCAAGCGCGAGCCCCTCAAGACCATCGGCCGCTTCGACAGCGTCGCCCGCAGCGGTGAGATCCGGTCCGACTCGCGCGTCCTCGTAGCCGGCGACGACAGCGGCAGGATGCAGGTATTTGACGTCGCGGGCGGCTCGAGGGCCGCCATTCTCAAGACATGGCACATCCACAAGCAGCCCGTCTGGGTGACCAAGTGGTCGCCCACCGACCTGACCATGCTGATGAGCGCCTCGGACGACAAGACGGTGCGCCTGTGGGACCTGCCCAGCTCCGAGCCCACGCGCCAGTTCGTCGGCCACCAGGACTATGTGCGCAGCGGCACTTTCATGCCCGGCGGCCTGGGCGCCAGCAGCAACATGCTCGTCACCGGATCCTACGACTCCACCGTGCGGATATGGGACTCACGAGTGCCCACCGGCTCCGTCCTGACCTTCAAGCACGCCGCCCCGGTCGAGGAGGTCCTGCCCCTCCCAGGCGGCACCACCGTTCTCGCAGCAGCCGACAACGCCATCTCCGTGCTGGACCTGGTAGCCGCCAAGCCACTGCGGGTCATCACCAACCACCAAAAGACAGTCACATCTCTCTGCCTCGCCTCCAACGGCAAGAGGGTCGTGTCGGGAGGATTAGACGGGCACGTCAAGGTCTTCGAGACGGGGTCGTGGAACGTCGTCTCGGGGATGAAATACCCGTCACCAGTGCTCTCCCTCAACGTCATCACCGCCGGCGCAAACGCCGCAGACCGACACCTGGCAGTAGGCATGCAGTCGGGCGTGCTGTCCCTCAAGACCCGGCTCACGGGCTCCAACGCCGAGAAGGAGCGCGAGCGCGCACGATTCGCGGCCGCCACTGATCTCAGCCAACTCGACGACGCCAAGTCGGCCAAGCGCAAGCGCAAGGAGGCCATGAACAAGTCGCTCTCCACCGTCCAGGACAACGTCGACTTTCTCATCGACAACGACAACGCGTCCGGCAGGCGCAAGAAGGAGCAGCCCTGGCAGTCCGATCTGCGCCACGGCAGGTACGCCGCGGCGCTGGACGGCGTCCTCGACACCTCGGCGCCCGACCACTCCAAGCTTAACGTGCTGACTCTGCTCGTGGCCCTGCGCCACCGCAGCGCCCTGCGGGCCGCCCTCGAGGGCCGCGACGAGGAGACGGTCGAGCCCGTGCTACACTGGATATGCAACCACATCATCGACCCACGGTACCGCGCTGCCTGCGTCGACGTCGGCCTGCACCTGCTTGACCTCTATGCCGAGCACGTCGGCAGCAGCGAGGAGCTGGCCGCCGGCTTCAAGACCCTGAGGAAGAGGGTCGGACAGGAGGTCGAGAAGGCCCAGGTTGCCGCACAGACGGGCGGCATGCTGGAGGCGTTGATGATCGCGGGCGAGTCCTAGTCGGGTGGGCGAGGCCGGCTGCAGTCTGGTCTGTTAAGTTTGTGTGGATGGTTGTATATTCTTTGATTGGCATGGCCCTGGCGTTTCGTGAGATTGGACACCGAAAAGTTGCAAAATGGAGGGACCGATGGCTGGCTCTGAGAAGAAAGGACTTTGTGTAATGATTTGATTTGATACCAAGCAATCCTCGTTGAAATTTCACCTCTGGCTTTGGGGTTTCATCACACAAAGCCGACAAGTTACCACTTCACAGTATCACTTTCAAAAATGCCTTGGGGCGAGACCGTGAATAATACTTTGTAATGACTTCTAATCTTTCGTAGCTGGGTATCTCAAACCTAGATGCCGATGTATAATGTGTGGATAATACAAAGAGTCCAAGTCGCTCGCTCTCGTGTACGCCTTGCGACTTGTGATCAGGAATTAGAAAACTTTGAGAATGCCGGAGCGTAAAGCTCTTGGATCGCAGACAAGCCAACTCGGCTCATCCTGTCCACAGCATGCAAGAAACGCCCGCCCATATATCGTAAAAGAAGACATGGAAGCGAATAGACCCCAATGACCACACAATTCCTTCCCTTCGATCTCCATTCCAACGCTCTTTGTTCCGTGTTCCTCCAATCTCGATTCGGTTTTTGCTACCCTGCGTCCCCTAACTCGACGCATTTCCATCACGTCTGCGAAATCTCATTCGCCCGAACACTTTCGTAGTTGAGGTTCGTCCATCCTAAGATCGACTTCTTTTTTCTTGTCCGGAATTTCTTTCATCTTCGTGCTCACTCGTCGGTACTTGGGAGTTTCCCCCTTCGGGCAGCTCCGGCAGATCAGGATACCTCTAATATCCCATTCTCTGGTGGTGGCGCCTTGCCCTGCCAGTACCAATATCAATCCGACTCATCTCTTCCATGAGTGAGTTCTCCCCTCCGAAATCGCCGTATCCGCCTCTGTGCATATGCATCGAGGAGCCTGGGCCGGCAGCCAGGGGGATCTTGGCCGGTATTGGAGGGGCTGAAGCGCTGTGATCTCGTGCATATGAGCCAGAGGATGTGTCGTACATCGGTGGCGGAGCGTGGTTCTCATAGTCATATGTACTTGCACGACCCAGAGGCCGAGGCGCGTAATTATCCTGGGCCTGTGGAAGTGGCGCCAGCGGGCCTGGGCCGGCGCCGTTCGCACCAGACATCATCACAGGCATGGCAGAAGAACGGTTAGTTTTTTTCTGCAGTCGATTGCGTCCTGTGTTCGGTGGCGGCAACTGCTGTCGACCCGATTCCGGAGAGATGTATGTTGCTGGTGGAAGAGCAGCCGTGGATGTGGGCCTAACTTCGCGGACTCGCAATGGCTTTCGTCCCGATGGTGGAATGGGCTGTGGGCCTGACAAGGCGGGTCTTGTGGTGGTAGAATCGGATGGTTTCTTGCCTTTGGGCTCAGGTTCCGGCGCCCATGTATCCATGGGCAGATGATCTGACGGGTCAATTTCTTTCCCATCATGAGTGATGATCTTGCCGTTGACCTCGTCATAGTCGGGTCTGATCGTTTCTTTTGGAGCTGAAGTAGACAGAACTGGATTCAGTGCATCGTATGAATCAGGACCAAAAGGAACGCCAGAGAGGCCGCGGCCTTCTTGTGGCGGGGCCGGACTGATCGACTTCCTCCTGATAGTATGCTGTCCATTGGGGCTAGGATTGGGCGAGAGCCCCCTCCTGTCCATCCCATGCTGTGATGGAGGCCTTGCAGAAGGACTGCGTTCGTAGGCATCATGTGAGCCATGCCTGGGCTGCGGTGCGCCGTAGCTCGGTGGCGGCCCAGTCATCTGACGCCCCCGGACCGAGGCCACAGCAAGGGCTGTAGGCTGGCTTCCAGGTGGAGGCTGACTATATCGTGCTTCGTGCCGCCTATCCTCGTTGATTCTTTGAGAGATCTCCATGGAGAGACCAGGGTCAACCCCGGGTACCAGCGAGGCTGGGATAGAGGGCAGGGCAAATCTCATAGAGCCATCAGGAGCGCGCACTTGAGTGTCTTCAAGCTCTTGTCCGCTACCACCACGATACGGTGTGTAGCCCCCGATCTGAGGCTGCGGATCATATGGTAATGGAGAAGCGGTGTAGGATGGACGATTTCTTGAAGATAAAGACGGATCAGACTGCATGTGGTCAATGGCCGCGCCCTGTTGGCGGGCACCCGAAGCAGGAGACCCGGAGTAGGGGGCAGGAGGTGCACTGCCGCGGCCTCTCAAGCTGAGGGGAGCAGGGCTAGGGTCCTGACGATATTCAGGCTCGCCATAATCTGGTAGGCCGGAGTTTGGGGAGTCCGGAACATCTTCTACAGTCGCTTGCATAGACTTGTGATGTGTGTCGTAGGAAGTATCATAAGAATGATGGCGAGGCGGAGAAACTTGATGAGCCCCGCCGAGATGAAGCTCGTTGCTTTGCGGAGATGGGGCAGAATCGTATGGTCGATATACCGGTCGCCCGGGATATGCACTTGACGATGCAGACTGACGATGAGCCTCATTCCGGAGCACATCCATCCTCATCGCGGGCGGTGTCTGGTTGTGAAGCATCGATTCGTGGCCGGGGCTGTGTCTTGGCTCGGACGCCGCACTGGGCGTGCTGCGATGGGCTGGTGGCGGGGGTGGCCTCTCATTGTCCATGTCTAGCTTGAACATCTGCTCGCTCGACTGCGCACCATAGGGAGCAGATGGCATGTATCTCTTATCCGGGGTGTGCCCGTGGTGGTCAGGCGACTCCATTCCGTCTTCAGGATACAGAGGATACCCTTCTGAAGGTGCATGTCGTGCATCAGAATGGTTTGACGGGGTGTGATATGCGCTGTTTGGTGCCGAAGAGTAGGGGTCGCCCTGCCGATGACGAAGGGATGAAGCATTGCTGTAGTGTCCTGAGTGCGAGGGCGTATGGTCCGGCGAATGGGACGGTGGTGGGTTTGGCTGTGCTCGGTGAGGAGGAGTCTGTACATGATCTGGAGTAGGGTAATCTCTTGCTGATCCTGGTTGCTGCCTTTGTGGAGCAGGAAGATGGCCTGGTACTGGCGGCGGAGGCTGCTGTGCGGGCGTCTGGCCGGTAAAAGGATCCGAAGGGAGAGGGCGTCTCTTGGGTGGTGCGGCCCTGAGCGAACCCGCAGGGGAATCCGTCTCTGAGGTTACTTGCTTGGGTTTGGCGGCTGGCTTCTCGGGCTTTGGACGAGTGTCGTAGTAGGTGAGCTCGATACGGATCTCACCAGCATACTTGCCCTTGCAAGTCAGGTTATGCCACAGGTCATTCTGGCCGCCGCCAGGGACAACAATGTCACGCAAGTCGACCCATGTCTCTCCTATCAAGTCGGTCTTCTTATCGTCGTTGAAGACCGAAATCTTGAGTTGGTAGTAGTCTGGGGAGTCGTGAACAGTGAAACGAATCTCTTGGTCCCTTGATGTTTGCAAGTGTCAGAGAAAGAGGCACATGAGCGTTGGTCTGGGCTGAGAGTGAAACTTGAGGCTTACCACCTGGGAGTTTGGCCTCCTCGGATATCTGTGGTCGTCTTCTTGGCCTCCTTGCCTAGCCTTGCAGCACAGTAAGGGTCCTGTTTCCCAATTGTCTTCCTGTTGGGCAGGTTCTTTGCACGGTCGACAATGATAACCAGGGTACCGATTACGGGGCCATCGAGGCTCATGTCGCAGAAGAGACCAGCCGTATGAGGCGCATTGAGAGGATGAGCCTTGACCATTTTGGCGTTCAGTGCCTACAAAAATCCCAGAGCGAGTCGGAGATGTTGTCGACGGTTCGCGCCGTGTTGCCTGGGCTGTGAAGTCCCCCAGGCTTGTGATTCATCTGCAAGATACAGGCGGGGCAGATTGGACGATGATACAGCCGTGCCGTTATCACATGAAATGGGAAGAAAAGTGTGAAGAGGGTATGAAAATATCGCACAAGACGTGGGGCCAAGGAAAAGACGAAGTCGACAGTGTGTAGCGTCCGCGTTACACAAATAAGAACGAACGGACCAACCTTGGGAGGGGATGGGTAGGAGGAGGAGGAGGAGCTGTGCGACTTGAAGATTGGAGGCGAGGTAATGTAAAGAAAACAAGACGAGACGAGACGAGGCGGAGAGGTAAGAAGAGAAGGAGAAAGAGTGGATTCTTTCTGGATTGGCCGTGGTGGTCTATTTGCTGACGGAGGACGAGGCTTTGCTGTGCGATGATGGATGGGGTGTTCCCAATGTTTTTCTTGGGCAAGCAAGCTGCGCAATGCACCACAGCGCAGAGCAGCAGAGCAAAGCACTACCCAGCTAGCTACGACATGCCCGGCGCAGCGAAAGTGGGTTAAGTGGTGGCTGGGGTACGACGTTGTTGTGTGTGCCGGCGCAGAGGCCGTATGTACCAGGCTACGTCCCCTGCCTGGCACGCCTGGACCAGCGGCCTAGTGCGGAAAACGGGGAGGCTGGGCCCAATTACAGGGCGCTGTTTGCATCGACTGTTGCGGGATCTCGACAGGGATGAGCTCGAGGACACTCAGGGAGACCAGGGGCCTAGCTGGGGAGCCAGGGCAGCTGAGGGCACGAGCCTGGCACTGCCTGGCCTGCCTGGCTCGAAACCTAAAACCTGCTGACAGGGGGATGAGCGAAGGCTGGCAGCGGCCGGAAGCGTCTGAGAAGCAGGTACGGTCGACTACCAACTTAGCGCAGCGGAAAAGCAAGTACCTGTCTCTCCCTCATTCTCTCCTGCCCTCTCTGCTCTCCGTATGCCTCTGTCTCTGCCTCGCCTCTATTTGGCCTGGCCGTAGCATGTGAAACAACCGCGTGAGGAGAGATGGTTGGAAGGTCCGATCCGACAAAGTGGATGCTTGTGCAGCTGAATCTGAAGTTGCCAAGCAAGGCTGAGGCAATGACTTGTTTCTACGGCACTGCAAGCAGGCAGAGGCACAGTAAGAGGCAGAGAGAATGATGAGCGACCGGATTGACACAAGATTGACGGTCATTATCCCCACCGCGCTCCCCACCAAACCCATATCCACCATGACGATGCGGATCACCCTCTGATGCGTGCGTGCAGGAGGACCCGTGCCACTTCACGATCTGCCATGCAGGCTCTGGTGGCCTCTACGATTTGCAGTGCAGCAGCCTTCTATGCTATGCAGTAGGCTGAAAACGCAGAATCTGACCATACTGCCGTGTGTTCATCACCACCGTTCTGGCCCAACGCCCAACGCCCCACAGCTGCGTGTTTATTTTTACCATGACAACCATCGACGGCGCGCATCGATCATCGATCCTGAATCAGACCACCCGCTAGAGGGCAGATTGGCTCTTTCCGGGGACGCGCACCACTTGACGATTTGCCCGACCCCGACTCAGCACCTACGATGCTGGTTTGCGATGGGGTGCTGCACAATATTGTGCATATGCACGATGCGGCATCCAGACTTGTCCCGGAAGTCAAAACAACCTCACCCAAAGCTTGTCACAGCTCAACCACCCAACGAAGCCCAACTCAATTCAATTTAGGTCAGCCTGCTGAGACTCGGCGCGACATCATGCCGCCCGTGCCGTCTTTTTGTTAATTGAAACAGAGCAAAGCTTACACTTACACTGCCACCCGTTTCGAGTCACGTTTCCCGCCTTCTAGAAGCCTTCCAAGGTTGTGCCGACCCGAAAGACTGGGGAAACACTGAGGCTCAGCCCGCGACTTGCGCCTGTCGTTGTCGTCAGCCATCTTGCACGGACCAGACCTACATGATTTACGAACACGACTGGCAGAAGGGAGGCACTCCAATATAAACGACGCTGCCAAGTCCTATGTTCTTGGTCCGTAAGCCTATGAGCGCCCTCCTCGACGACTTACCTACTTTAGCGCCCGCAAAGTGATTCCTAGATGACGACGCCTCGATACGAATCGAAAGAGTCTCCGGGTCATTATTTCCGGAGAGATCTGCAGGTACATTAGTGATGCGCAATGCTGACAGGCTGATTCACCATACACACACACACTGGGCATTTCCCCCTCTGTCCAAGCCACAGTGACCTGACAAATGCCCCGAATCACCCCGAACACACCGAAGCGCGAGCTTCATCGGCACCTCAGTCCCGACCTAAACTCAAGGGAAAGTCCTGTTCTAGAAATTTTACCAGGACGGGACACCGTTCTTTACGGTGACGCCGAGGGCAATCCCTTGAAAAGACAACGCAGAACATGGCATCGACATACTTCGGTAGATTATGGGGGAAGTCGTCTTCTGGAAGAGCACCAGATTGCCGATTCTGGAAATATTGTGACCAAGTACAACTGCTACCCTGAGCATGTCGTAATTATAGACGGTACTAAAGTGCACCGGCATCTAAAGGGCTCACGGGTGTCCCACCCCAGCGCTACAATGGACGGACTACCACAAAATGACCCGAAGACTTGTGATAAGCATAACTCTTGAGCATAACAAGGGTCTCGAGTTCTCCGACGTAAGACAAGCTGGCACCTCAGCCCTTGACAATGCATGGGATCTGCACGCGGGCCCGACCATCCCCACACCTACAGCGGACCGGAGCCGAGGGCGCGCTCAGCCCCACTCCCAACGTCACCCGGCCAGCTGCGCCGTTCTCCCCCCATTACGGGTACACGGGGCACGGCACACAACACGGCGAGGCTGAACGTCAAGCCAAACGTCAAGCCAGAGGCACACACTATCGAATCTCAGCAGCACCACTAGTCCAGCCTTCCATCCAGCCTCACCTAATCCGACAACCAGCGTTCACAGCTAGCTCATCTCCACTCCCGCCCAGCTGAGCGGAGCCCACGCTCGCCCAACCGCGCCCGACCACCACCAGGATCCCAGGCCGAGAAGGGGGTGGTTTGCCGGCGCGCCCGACCGGGCCAGAACAGAGGAACCATGACAGACGCCGACGAGCCGCAGCCCGGCCCGCTGAACTACGTCGTCGGCTTCACGCTGGTCGGCATCGCCTGGGGCCTCACGACGCCCTTCATCCGCCGCGCCGCGAAAGACCACCACCCGGCGCCGCACCCGGTGCTCGAGTCCGACGCCGTCAAGGCCAGCTGGCTCAGGTCCAAGGTGTACGGCACCTTCTTCGCCGTCGTCGACCTCCTGCGAAACCCGCGCTACGCCATCCCGCTGCTGCTGAACCTGACCGGCAGCGTGTGGTTCTTCTTGCTCATCGGGAAGGCTGGTGAGTCAACCCGGCCCTGGGCCTCTTGGGCCTCCCGCTGTGGGGCTTTGGGCCTTTATGGGCTGATATCGTGCTTGGGTGTGCTGACTGACTATGTTCACGTTCTCAGAATTGAGCCTAACTGTCCCCATCGTCAACACACTTGCATTCCTTTTCACTGTCATTGGTGACTGGTGGGTCGATGGGAAAGTTATTAGTCGGAGTAAGTCTTGACGCCCCATTCCCCCTTTCCTATGCCGCAAAAGAACCAAGCTTTGCATGAGGCTAACATTCATTCAGACACAATGGCTGGGTAACTCCTTCTTTCTTCTTCCCCATCCCTTTGCATAATGCCCCACTGCCCACTTGCATACTTCATGCCTGTGACACCCAACAAATGCCCTGCCACCAAAGTCCTGCGTGGTGCTACTCTCCGGTGCCAAACACAGGGGCTTTTCCCCATCTTGGGTGACTCCCCAGTTGCTCCCAGCATCCCAGCATCCCAACATCTGCCGTCTGATTTCTCATTTTTCTTTCACGTGTCATTGCCACGAAGCAAGATTTTACTGACAAAATGCGCAGCATGGTTTTGTCTCTGACAGGTATTGCATTGTGTGTGCATAGCAAGAACAAATAGACCGATTGGCATTGGCTCAACCCGCCTTCCCGTTACTGTCTTTGCACATATTCCTGCTGTCACTCAACATACCTGTGTTCTGATACTCGCACATAGAGAACCAGCATCTACACATGCCCCCCAAGTAATGTGCTTCTCTCAAGTCATTCAACTGGTTGCCTGGATAGGCAATACTTTTGAAGAATGATGGCCAGCCGCCCCGAGTATCCTGGCCCACATTGGTAATGAGGTGCTGGTTTTCTTTCCTCCCACTTTTGTCGTTTTCCAATGCAGCTCTTGTCTGCAGTGTGGAATTGCTCAAGTTCTTCAACCTCTCCTCGTAGCCATGCGGTATGAGAACAGGATGATGATGCAGCACAGCAGACGAGAAACCCAGAGGACCTGCCTCCCACTGGCCAGGAAGGCCATGATTTCGAGTATCATCTATGATCTTGTCAGTAAATCGATGGCCACTTCCATCAACGGGAGAGGAGTCTCCAGCCCCCGTTGTCTTGGGGACACCACACCGCAATTCTCAGCCAGGGACAAACAAAATCTCATTGAAAGTGTACTGACCACTATGGTCCTCTCGTGTACCACGAAATGTTCATGGGTCTCAAGGTTCCTGCAGATCAACCAGCCGTTTTGGTACTCGAACTCGAGTAGCAGTCCGCGACCCCCATTTGCAGCAGGGCGGGGAACGCGGTTGTGGGCATTGACCACAACATTCTGTCGGGGCTGGAGCTGGGGCTGGGGTTGGGCGTGGGAGGGCGGTGGGCGGATGGGGACACCGTTGACAACTGTGGTAGTTTGAGCCTCACCACGGCCAAGGCCCCTGGCACTTTGTCTGGGGTTTCGGTGAGTGTGAGTCCGAACCATGGGCTGCGACTGGTACTGGGTCTGAATCTGGGTACGTGCTTGATTGGGCACGTCCTGGTTGCTCTGTGGCTGGTCAGGCGTTGTGGGAGGCGCCATTTGCGCCTCTTCCACCAACGCCGTTTCATCTCGGCGCTGACGGAGGTATGCCTCGTACACTGCCCTGGCTTTCTCTACCCGGGTTCGAAAGACTGCATCATTGTCCAGTCTGTCTCAAGGTCAATTTTCAGCCGCCCTGACCAGGCAAGACACGATCGGTCGGAGGCCCTACTCACATGTGGAGAAGTTGGCCCCTGGACGGCGACTGGTCCAGAAGCGTGGCGGTGATCTTCCTCCTGTGCTTTCGCCCCAGAGCTTTAAGCCTGTAGTAGATCGCGTTTCCAAGGATAAACTTATGCCGTGACGACCGCGTGTTGTCGAGCAACGGGCGGATCATGTCGCTGGGCAGCAGACCAGCTGGGAGAGTGAGAGCAAATCGGTTGATGACATATGTTCTGCATATTTGGAGAAGACGCCCATGACTGCCACTATAGCCACTTGCACCGTTGTGCCGGTTCTGCCTCCGTGGATGGAGCATGATAAGATTGGTCAGTACCACAGATCTGGTCTCCACAAGGTGGTGGTGCACACAAGATGGCGGCCTGCAGAGCAGTAGTTTGTGACAAGATGGTACGCGATGTAATGGTTTGTGACGGGATGGATTCCAGTCTGACGACTTTCATAGTCTTTGGGAAGTGGTTGTCAGTGTGGTTGTGATCAATTGTGGGTGTGAACATGAAGATGGCTAGGAGCAACATTCAGGTCCAGGTATGACTGCAGAGTATAGTGCAGCTCAACGGACTACAGAAACAATCTTGAGATTGAATTTGTGATCCAAAGCCAGTACTTTTAGTCCAACCATCAAACAGTGCCTATTTCGGCGGACTGTTCTTCTACCTCTCTAGCCTTGGGTCTATGACAGGAGTTCAGGCCAGGCACTCTGTTGTTCCTGACTACTCTACACACCTAGCCGCAGGCCTTCACACCCATTTGACAAGGGGTGTACCTGTGCTATTTTTTGAAGAAGGCTATTGGGAGACCTAAATAAATGTCTGCTAGTTTCCTACCTAGGTCGTGGGGAGATGCCCAGGATTTAGTCTCTTTCTAGATGGCTCTAGGACACTGTAGTCCCCTAGCCTTGTTTTAACAAGGATGACTGTTTCATAGCGTTCAACGTCACAGCATACATCAGAATGGAAGACCTAGGTGCTGGTTAGGAGAGGTACTTGTCTTGTGCAGTCTCTTAGACAGCCAGATAATATATGATAGGTATCTGATGGTACATATTGGTAGAGACCAGCCTTCACACCCAAGGCTTCTTGTTCCGAACCATCACAACAACTCAGATCTTGTATTATTGGGACACATCCGGCACAAGTTCAAGTCAAGTGCTCAGAACCTCAAATGCTGTCGGAGGTCCATGCCATCATGCCAGCCGTGGTCCAAGTGGACTGGTGCTTGCCATGCAAGAGGCTTGAAGCCATTGTTATGAAAGAAATAGTAGACTCCTAATTGATTTTACAATTTTTCTTCCTCTTAGGGACAGATAGAAGGTAACCCAGTATCCAGGCATACTTGCTAGAAGTATATTCAGGCACCTGCCTATTATACACTTATGCTCAAAACTCAATAGCCTGTAATCCACAGCCAGCCTGCCCCATACAAGAACGAAACCTATGGGCTAAACCAAGCCACAAGCTTGGGTAATTTTAGAATCCAGGAAGCCACCATATAGAACCTCAAACTATGCTCAGGGGTGTGAGTGCATCCATTTTTCCTGCAGCCTACAAGTCAAGTGAACCATAAGACAATTACCTAGCAAGTACTGATTCATCTCCTCGGCTAGGCCTGTGGATTTTGTTCAGCCTTGTGGGTTGCTGCTGGGTTGCAAGTGCCCACTTAGAAAGCTACCTGCCACGTGGTAACCCTCATAGTAGCCTAGGGTGGATGTAGGGAAATTTATGCTCAACTATTAAAAATCATCCTGGCGTTCCTCGCCCTGCAAGTTGTTACATCTGATCCTGCCCCATATGAGTCCAGACTGCGCCAGGCAGTTAATCAAAGCCAGAAATCCCACCCAATCTTACAAAACACACAACCTTCCTCCTGGAGACGATACCTGTCGTTCTCAGTCCTCCCTCTATGAAATGAGACTCAAGCATAATGCAATGCACTCATCCAATCTGCAACCGTCGAAATCTTTTACATCGTTTTATATCCACACAACAAAAATTGAATCTGGGTATCCGCTATGTTTTGCACAAAAAGTCGGCCGTTGATCATTAATGTCGGGGAATGCTGATCCCGGGATCGGTCTATGGCTTCTATCGTCGAGTGCGAACCCAACGCTGTATACTGCGTAGGCTGGGGTCTTCGGCCGTCCAGCGGCCCACTGCAGAAGCGGTTCGAGTCAGCTATCAGATGCTCTGATGAAGTGGGTAGGGGAGATGATGATGCAAGTGGACACCTGACCGGAGTCTATCCCTTGAACTCCAACCAGGGGACGGCCTCCGAGAGACAGCTCGTTACAAGATCTGCGGCGGCAGCACCACTCCAAACATGGGTAGGAGGAAAACGAGTTGTGGAGGCTACTCACTGTTAATGTCAGATGATTGCAGCTCGGCGTAGATAGCCTCGTCTGTGATCATTTGGAGCTCCTGTGACAGTGCCCCGTCAGCTTCGGTCTCGATAGCAACAGCGAGGCGGTCTGGTCTGGAAAACATACTGCTCTGAGCTGTTGGTCGCACCGTCTCAGTTGGGACTGGCTCCCAGAGTGTGCCTTGAGACTAAGTTCCCGGTACTCGATCCACCGCTGCGCAGCAGCTTGGCGGAGATATATCTTCTGTGCCTCGTGTCGGCGTGCGAACGCATCGAGGAGAACTCTGCTCCGTGCGCAATGTTTCTGTCGTCAGCCTTCAGGTCCCGCAAAACGAAGCACCAACCATGGGGACTGACTGTTTCAACTCGGCCTTTGCCTGCTCGTCGGGCCCACCACTCGTTTCAGGAACGCTCGTATCCGCACCACAATTCAAAATCCGCTGGCCATCGAGGTTACATTGCCGTAGGGCAGCCCACCCTTCGGTGTAGTAGTCGTTCATATTCGGTGGGTCCACAGGTGCGGCCGCAATGAAGTACTGTATGCTCTGGAAGTCCGAGAGAACCTCGGCAACTCGCACTGTTCGAAAATCGTTTACTATGAGCAGGTTAGCATGGGCGCCGAGTCCACATACATGGTCGCCTCGAGGCCCGAGCCTCACCATGTCGGGCACCATCTTGCCCCAGGCATGAGTTGAATGCGAGTAAGGAGAAAGCCACTTACGTCCGTCCATTATTAACAAGTAAGCCTAAAAGCTCCGGTCCTAACGGGAAAGTATGTGAAAGGTAGGGATGGTGCTCATAAAGAAATTGAGCAATGCCAATGTAAGAGATCACAAGGCGCGGTTATGAAGGTCAATATGAATTCGCAAGTGGCCCCCGAATTAGGAAGATAAATAAAGTTGACAATATTGAGTAAAAGGGCCTAGATCGACAGACCTGAAAGTCAAGGCTGAATTGTGACAGGAGCACTATTGACAGGTCGTTGGCGCCGATGGTCTAGACGGCATCACGACGGGCTTGCCTTGGTTGGGGCGGCCACAAGCATGCCTGATATAACAGTGCATGTCGACATCGCGGAGGGTAAAAAAAACTCTGAATTGAGGACTCCGACGGCATCTCGGCTTCAAAAAAGTATAGAAGTTTCATGATATCAATGACCCGAGTAAAGGGTACCAGATCGGACAAGACTAATCGTCCAACCTGAGTCAACGAGAAAAGATGCACACAGGTGACAGCCCGTATTCCTCCTCCACCCCCCACTCCAAGGGCAGTGACAGGTGGGCTGCCACATGGCAGGCCGCAGGATACCTGGATACCTGGGATACCTATGCAGTGCAGCGATCATCAGGGGGAGCCATTGCGACGGTACTAGCGGCCCTCAATCAGCTGTCATCGTGGGAGGAGCTGCAAGAACTCAGATGTCGATATCCACGTCGTTTCTCAGCCCTCCCGACGAATCGGAGAGCAGGGCCGAGAGGGGCTCGGCGGAAGCACACACCCAGCGGGACGGAATGCACAAGCAGGGGGTGGCATCCAGAACCCTGTGCTGAGCGAGAACCCAGGCAGCTGTTTTGGGCGCCCTCTTCCCCACAAAGCGATCCGGGGACATCCCGACTGTAGAGCTACATTCCAAAATTAGAAGAACGGGGCGAACCCACGGGTCGACCGGAGAATATGAGCGTGACGAGCCTTTTGCTGGGGTCGATGTACATATGCACGGGCGTGCTAGACTTCAGGTCGACTCCATTGTGTTGCAACCTGAGCCGTGGGTGATGACCTCAAAGCCCACCCGTCAGGGGCCAGAGGGACAGAGGGAGGAGGAAAAGGGAAACTGGGAGGTCCATCGTGGGAGAAATGTTGCCGGATGTGTACCCATCAACCCCCGAATCGGAATGGCAGACGAGAGTTCAGCTGTCGCCACGCACGCACTAAGGCACGACAGCAGCCCCTTCTGGACCGGGACAGGGGGTCCTGCAGTCGGAGCGGCCTTGATAGGAGAGTTTTCACCTCTCGACAAAAGAACGAGACTGGCAGCCATTTGCGCCCCAGCGGCCAATGATGACATCAAGCAAGGCAAAGCTGACCTCGGCAAGCTTCACTCGTGCATTAGGCCGTCGACATAGTCGACATAGTCGGGCGGAAGAGGTGGTTGCCGTGACCCACGGCCACGTTTTTCAAGACGCCCCTCCGGGGGGGGGCGAGCTGAACCCTAATGCAGGTGAAGACCTCGGCACCAGGCTCGTCAAAAAAAAAAAAAAAAAAAGAGTCCCGTTCGAGGGGGGGAAGGGGGACTGACGGGCACCGTGGTGCGTGCATGCCGGCCAAAAAAAGCAACCTGGTCGCCGGGGACAAGCGCTCGAGTATAGGCGCGCTGGCGGGAACAAGCGGGAAAAATTGCACCTGGTGGTGCGAGGGTGAGCACGCGAGAGACGGGCAGACGGATGAGCCCGGCAGCGTCCAGGCCCAAGTCGGGTGACAATCATTACCTCCCAGAATCTCCTCCGTATTCGGTAATGAATGTGCTGGGCGTCGGGTTGTGGAGTTTGTGGGAACCAAGCCACAATTGAGGCTCTTCCATTCCGAGTTACGGTAGGCCTCCGAGATGGCCGCATCGTCAATCCCGCTCCATCGCCTCGGGAACTTAACCTAAACCTGGGGTCTCTTCTTGGGTGGTGTTGGGTGCTGCCCACCCAGGCGATTTACCTCGTGTCTTAGATCCTGCCGCACACGCCCTGGTCCGGCTGATAATGCCGCCAGATGGTGTGAGACAGCGATCTCGTGCACCCACACCACCCTCCAGCCTCGCCTTGCCCTCGCCTCACCTTGCCTTGCCCTGCCCTCCGCTCCGTCCGCCTTCTTCGGCGGAAACCTACTTGCTACAGGGCCGCCCGGAGCGGTGTGGGTTTTGCCTGCGCTGCGACCGCCGAATGCCGTGTCTTGCCAAGCCACCGGTTCTGTCATCTTCAGCTCATGCAGCACTGAGCTGAGCCCGTCTCCGATGCAACAGCGAGGTCCCGCCGGCTGATGTACAGTTCATGTCTTGATTCTAATCGTTTCTGCTGCAATATCTAGTAGCTTACAAAGGGCCTCAGCTTAGCGGGTGTTCGCCGCTCTGCAAATCCCTTCCTTCCGATGGCCCCCGCGCAGCCCTCGACTAGAGCATCCTGATGGCCTCCTATCAGGCTGCGTCTCGTCGTCAATGGTATCCTTCAGCTCAATCCTTCTCAGCGATAGCCTGGAGACGCTCGTCGATCTCCTCCTCAGTCAGCTTCCGAAAGCCAGGATCAGGGCCTTCCTTCCCGTCTGCGCGTGGGCCGCCAACGATCCCGATCTCAATCTCCGTCTTTTTGAAATCCATGCTGAGAACCGTGCTGAGGGTGGTGATGGCCAGCTCGACGACCTCCTCCCAGTTGCCCTCTGCATGATCCTTGTTCTTCAGCTTCTTCTCGAGGTGGTTCAGCGCCTCCTGCTGCTTGGGTCCTGCGGCCGTGCCCTTGTAGCCAATGTAGTAGCCTGCTGGGTCACACTTGAAGAGCTGTGGCCCAAGTTCCGAGTCAAGTGATATTAGTGTTGTCGCCACGCCGTAGGGTCGCATGTAGGCCTGTGTTCAATGCAAGTCAGCAATGTGGCCTCTCTAAGGATCTGTATATCGAAGAGCCGGGCGCCCCCTTACGCGCTGAGTGTAGACTTGGGAGATATTGGCCAGTCTCTTGGCAAGAACGTCGCTCGGCATCTCGTAGCCGTACTTGTATCTGAACTCGGCAGCCTCGCCCTGTGCGCGCTGGGCGAAGGCTCTGGCGTCGGCGATGGAGCCTGTCATAACACAGCCGACTGAGGGGGATATTTGGAAGATGTGCGACACGGACGCAGGGTCGATCAGCTTGTCCTGTGTATCGGGTCAGCGGTGCCTAGCGCGGGCGGGGACAAGTCAGGAGGAGCCAGAGTGACGTACTGGGACCTTCTTTTGCGACAGGATGACTCCACAATCCTTGCCCCGGACGCCTATGGCCATGATATTGGCGGCGGTGATGGCCTTGAAGGCATATTCTACGGAAGTCACAACATGTCAGCCCCCTGTCGCAGCATCAAGCCTCCGGTCTCTCGGGCAGGACTTCGCGCTTCTCCGTTTGTCCTTGTCGGTCGCTTGGGGAGGCGGGAAGAGAAGCGCATGCGGAGGAATGATCATACCGACTTGATAGAGCCGTCCCTGCTCAGAGAAGATGGTGATGTGCCTGTCGATGCCGGTGCCTGTTCATGGGTCTGGTGTCAGTCACGATGAGACGAAGGAGGAAGCCAGCCGTGGGATCGGCTGCAGCTGAGGACAAGACGTACTCGCCATCTTGAGGGCTTGGTTGGGGGGGTTGGCCTGGATGAGGGCTTCCACTTGGATTGTTCGCTCGAGGAAAGACTGTCGTCGAAATCGGTGGGAGAAAGAGTCGTAGTTGGGAGCAGTCGGATGTGTTGATGGCTGGTCAGGCTGGTTGGAGAGAGCTGTCGTCAATGAAGCTCTTGCCTGGGCTGGGTACGCGTTGGCCGTAGCTTGCCTGGAGCACCCGTCAGCGTCCAAGCTAGCGTTGGCCTGCCGCGGGCCCGAGCTCCAAGCTTATGTAAGTCAATCGCAGCCAGCTCACTTCCAGGTTCGGGTACAGGCGTACCCAGATTTCTAGTCGCTACCTACCTAGGTGCTGTAGCGCAGAACTGCTAGGCTACCTAGGTCCTGGGAGATCTGACCCCTGCCTATCGATTGCTGGGACCCTGTCTATCTGGCTGCCCCACCAGGAGCCAGAGAAAAAGTTCGAGGCAACAGATTGCTTTCCCTTCCTGCGGCACTCTGGCCAAGCAGCAGCACGAGTCTGTCTGCGGTTGGGCTTCAACACATGTACACCACACAGACACGGACACGCACATACACGCCGTTTGCTGTCACGCACTGAGCCCAACGCACGCCCTACCAAGCCCTCCGTCCAGTCGGCGCGTTTTGTCCCATGCAATCCCGACCCTGCGCATGAAGACTGCCGTCCTTGATCTTCGTCGAGCCTGCGATAGCTAGGCCGTTTTGACTTTGGTGCCTCTCCAGTCCTTCCACTACTGGAGCCAGTTCACCCTACCCCCCTTTCCCGAATCCGCTGCACAACCTGAACACACCCTCCCTTTTCTACCTGCTACCTGCCCATCATGTCGGCCGTGCCAGCCTGGAAGCGATTGGGCCTGAAGCTCAAGGGAGCCAGTTCGGACGGAAGCCCTGCTGCCACCGTTTCGCAACCCACGACCACAACAACCTCCGCCCCTCCCTCAGGCCGCTTCGCACACCACCAGCAGCGATCCAACTTCAATGCAGACGGACAGTACGGAACACCGGCCTTCAATAAGAGGAAGCAGTTCCCCTCCGGCTCGTACCCTGCATCAGACAACAAGCGCCCTAGGTGGAACGACTCTGATTTCACACCCTCCAAGAAGTCCGTCTCCTTCTCGCAGGACACCAAAAAGGCGGCTCCCAAGAAACCAAAGCCAGCCAAGAAGAAGAAGGCTTCCAAGCCACAGTCAAATCCACAGCCACATGATCTCACGCCCTCTCTCGAGTACCTCAGGACGTGGCACAAAGCCCGCGATGCCTGGAAGTTCAACAAGAACCACCAGACCTTGTTGTTAAAGTACATGTACAAGGCCGAAGCACTGCCGGCGGCGGACATTGACGCATTCTACCTATATATCAACGACATAAAAGGTGGCTCTAGGACCAGGCTGATTGAACAGGCAGAGGAGGTGAGGAAGAAGGACATGGAAGCCGGACCCAAGGGGTTCCCAGAGGGCACCAAGGGCGCGGAGGAGAAGCAAGGGCAGTACGAGGAGATGGTAGCCGAGCTCTTGAAGGAGAAGGACGAGGCGGAGGGTGGCAGCTCCACCGGAGCACCCAAGAGAAGTTTCGACGAGGTGGAATTCACCCTGCGGACGGTCGACAAAGATGTCCAGCAACGCCTCGTGAAGCGCATGCGTGCAGAAATGGTCGTCGACGTTCTTAAATCCTCAGGCGGCGAAGACGATGCCGCAGCACCTTCGGCCAGCACGACCAACGCCACATCTTCGAGGGTCAAGGTGCCTGTCCTAAATGGTGCCGACGCAAAAGCAACCGGCGCTGAGGGCACGAAACAGAAGACTAAGAGAAGGAAGAAGCTGCGCACGGCCGACACCGACAGCAGCAGTTCCGAATCAGAGTCATCTTCGGATTCAGACAGTGACTCAAGCTCTGATGGCTCTGAAGCTGAAGCCGAAGCCGAAGCCGATAATGCCAGTGATAGCAGCTCATCATCCTCGGACTCTAGCTCGGACGAGGAATCGGAAGTCCCAAATGGGCGCGCCAATGCCGAAACCTCTTCCTCGAGCAGCTCCTCTTCGGAGTCAGGGTCTGAGGATGAGTCGTCCGCCGGTGCAGCTGTTGCTGGGGACGATGACACGTCGGGAAGCGATGGTGACAGTGAGAGCAGTGACAGCGACAGCGACAGCGATGATGACGCTTAGAGAGCGTCTGCTAGGTCTTCCGAGAGTCAGTCTTTGAGAGACCCAGTCTTGGGTATCACAGTGGATGAAATACTCGCCAGGATAGATGGACGGCTCGGGAAGATGGACGGCTCGAGAAGATTGACTGGTTTCGCAATGCAAACTCAGACCTGGCGTCCAAAACAAGCGAATCTGCCCCAAATGGTGACGATAATTCCCAAGGAGACGGGTGGACGTCCAACATTGATCAAGGGAGTGTGGACGAAAACGACACAATCGATGAGGCTTTGGAAGCGGGCTTAGACGAAACGTCCCCAGTCTATTGGGGGCAAGTCTGCATTTTCACCGATTCTGTCCAGCGACGGGCTAGACTGGATTGAGGAGGATGACTCCTGGCTGAAAATGACCCTTTTGATATCACCCCGCAAAGAGTGGGCGTGCGGGCGTTGATAGCCGGACAAAATTGTTCATCGCACAAGAAACATAGATGTATTAGTCGGAATGATACGAGGCGAAGCTTGAGGAGCTACGAAAAGCTCCTGGTTCTGTCACGTTCTGACCATAATCCCACAATATACTCCGCATGTCCTAGGACCCTTTACTTTGCATGGTACTCGGGACTGACTGCTTGCCATCGCCAGACGACCTAGTCGGACAACAATCCTTATGTCTTACGTGCCCGACGTCTCCTATCCCGTGATTCAAGACCTCCGTACCCAGTAAAACCCCGGTGCTCCGGCTAAGGTGTATCTAGGTAGAGCTAAGGATGATTGTCTAAGAAAATGCTCCGTGTGCGATCTCCACGGTCAACAGGATAAGCCTGTTCCCCTCAGACTATACATACCGGGGCAACGCCGAACGGAGGCCTTCTAACCCACCAGTCGGGTTCTCATGGCCCATGTGTGTATCAACTCCCGATTAAACAGTCCTATTCTCACTGGGCTCGCTTTATAGATGAACGCCCAGACAATGCCTGCATGTTAGCAGCTTGACGGAAGAAGCTACGGTCATGTCGGATTGGATGTATTTTAACATCGCATCGCCTTGGTGTATTAGCATGCGATATCCCGAGATGGCGCATGTCCCAATATGTTCAGCGACCTGTTTCAAATTCTGCAACTGACGAGATTCTGGAGTCCACGAGAATCATGTTCACCTCACTCCTGGGTGCGTTGACTGTGCAGATCTGTGCAAACGGTACGAGGCGCTCCCCTAACTTCAGAACTTGACATTTCTCATGCATTGGTGAGTCCCAGGCTCGGCATGCACCGGTCTGCTTCTCTCCACGGCATCTACATTGTCGCTGAATTCAGTCCCAAAGGACCGTAACGGGGTTTGGACATAGTTCTTGAGCCATATTTGGATTTGCATAGGTACCTACTTCCTCGCCATCGGTGCTGCCAATAAGTAACTGTACACTGACGGTAACACTGCCCACGAAAGCCTTGCTGAGGATTACAGAGGTGTTGAGCCCCGTCCTCCAAGACATCTGTTTTTGCGTTGCCATTCACACTTCTACAGTAGTGTTGCTGGGTCCTTGCCACAAGCACAGGATACACACCGTTGGCAGCCTGGCAGGGAATGCAATTCGGTGCAGGACTAATAGTCTGTCCGCGAAAGTGGCATATGGTCTCGCTGTAGCGGTACGTCCACATTATTCCTGCACAAGCTATGCTTCAGCGCTGTCTTTGTTTATACCATTCTTGAAGGATCAGAAGTCGTGGCTACAGACTTGATTGCAGTAACGCTGAACACTAACGTAAACCGTGGTTGTGGGCCCTTTTTTTGGTTAAACCGTGGTATTAGATTTGCTATCTCTCTGTTGGGTTCTCGCTGAGAATTCAGTGTTGATTGGTGCCGTCGCTTGAAATGTGCTGTGCATAGTGGTAACGATCAGCAAAGCGGCGGGGCGAAGCGGGCAAAGAGCCGTATTCACCTAAATTTGGAAGGATGAACCACAGAAACTTTGCTGAAGATGTGATTGAACTGAGTCCACCGAGAAGAATTGCCTTGTTGCTCACATCTGCATCGCTCGACGGAATTGTCAAGGGACTAGTGTGATATAGCCGAACCCCTTGCTCCCATGTATCAAACACTCCCGCAGTGTACTGACTGATCTCAGCCCGAATCATTAGCTAGCCGAAATCGAGCAGATGTCACGAATGTCTCGAACATGTGAAGACTTCGAGAAATATATTATGGCACTGGATCCTAGGAACAGAGCGCAGTATGATAACTAAGTCAAAGTCCAAGAGCATGACCCAGACTCGCTGGTATCAAGGTGACACAGATTTTGGTCTCCGTCCTCCGACTAGGTGGTTTCACCCCCGTCTTGGTTCTATTGATGGTTCCCTTGGACCAAGCTTGCAAAAATAGGCCAAGGCCTCCCTAGGGAACTTCATTATGTGAGGCTACTGACTTGCTAAATTGATCTCGAGTTGCCGTCTGTGAGAAGTTTACTTGTAATCAATTTATCTGCAGTAATCAATGAACCGCGGTCTGTGAGATATTGGATGAGCCTGTTGAGCCGAAGAGTGCCAAGGGACAGCTTATTGTGATGTACGTACATTGTGTCAAGTGTCTATCACGACCCGTGCGTGCATGAAGTGAAATGAATTCGTAGTCATCGCCTCAAAGCTGCGTTGCGTCGACTGGTCACGCGAATCAGCCAAGAAGGGCGGCGAGTCTTCTATTTGCATAATCACGGACTGAAGCCAGCGAATTCTCGAGAGGAACCGAGTAAGCGAGCCGCGCAGATATTGCAATCCGCGAATCTAACCGTCGTTGAGATCTTGCTTAATCAATAATACATGGAGGCTTTCGCAGTCCTGCTTCGGGACGCGTACATGCTATGGTATTTTCCCAGAGAAACCCAGCCGAACCGTCTCTGTCCGGAGATAAACTCCCGCACCAAGGAGAAACAAGATCATGCGTTCGCTCGCAATTCTAATGAAGTCTGGTCTAGAGCCCGCGGACTCAAACTCAAGTCTTGCATATTTTGTTCCTTTCAATGAATGCCGCCCCGTGTAAACCCGTTTGAAAATAGAAGGAGCGAGTGATGTACGCTCATGCCAATGCCGCCTTACCCGCCAGTAACCAGAAACCATGTCCTTCAAAAAGTCCTCATTACTTCGTTCACAGTAGGTGTTCAGAGGGCCGCTTCCAGAACAGCAGACGCCTCCATCACACCCACGATTTCGCCCTCATCCAGCACCGCGACGATAGACTCCGGGTTGCAGACATCCTCGTCCTCAATCAAGTCGCGCGGCTTCTGCATGTTCGCGCGAAGCCACTCTCCAGCGTCCTTGAGCTGCGTCGCCGCGCCGAGTGAAATGAAGGCCGCCCGCGGGACGGCCAGCCACGGCATCTGCGCGACGCTCATGGCCAGCTCCGCAGAGCTCATCCGGCGTATCCTGCAGGGGCTGACGACGGCGTCCTCGCCCACGCGCAGCCAGCCGGTCTTGCAAACGTAGGCCGCCTTCAGGACGTCCCCGCCCACCTGGACTTGTGACCCTGACAGGCAAGTGATGTCTGCCAAGGGGACCATAACGTCCCTGACGGTCTGGGGCTTCTTGTACGTCGCGCCAATAGCGCCGCCGGGGTGATTGCTACCGAATATGGCGGCCACACCGCCAGCCATGGGATTGAGCTCCCGGGCGCACGTGAGAGCCAGCGCGTCGCCAACAGCCAGCGCCATGGTGGTGCTGGTGGTGGGAGCGGAGACGCCGAAGCTCACGGTCTCGCTCTCATGAATCGGCGCGGGCAGCAGGACTGTTGCCCCGGAGGCCTGCTTCTCTCTCTCGAGCACCACCGGAGCATCAAGAGTCTTTCCAGTCAAGACGACCAGGGGTAGCCGTGCGTCCAGGTGCGGCATGAGCAGGCTGAGCTCGGGCGTCTTGCCGGAGAAGGTGATGAGCATGAGGGTGTCGTCGGCGCCGATGTGGCCGAGGTCGCCATGGAGAGCCTCGGTAGGATGCAGGAAGGAGGCGTGAATGGAGAGGGAGTTGAATGTTGCGACGAGTTTGCGCGCGATGTGGCCGGATTTGCCGACGCCGATGATCACGAGCTTGCCACGTGACGCCCCTCTCTGCCGGGAAGTGATGATGTCGACTGCAGAATTGAATGCGACCCGGGCCACAGGATCACTGGAATAGAGGTGAGTGAGGGAGGCGAGAGAGGTAGCTTCGGTGTTCAGCACGTGAATTGCACTGGCGAGCCTGTCATCGAAAAGCTCTGAGGAGGAGGATTGATCGTCGAACTCGGGGGTTCTCGGGGTGGACGGTGTTTCCGGGAGAGGAGGCGAGGACGGGCCAGCAACGACGACATCGTTATCCAGACTAAGCTCTTCGATCGGCATGCACAGGTCGGGGCCGTTGCTGGGTGTGACGGGGGACGGAGGTGAGAGAGGAGGAACAACAGGGGCATGTTGCTCGTGTCCCATGATGAACACGGCGCTGTTGTGTACAGGGCCCGTCATTTTGAATGTCTGTGGAACTGACACTTCCTTTCTGTGCGTGTTCGATTCAGTTGATTCCAGGATTCTCGCGAGGCAAGGCCGGTATGGTGTTGTTATATCCCGTCAGATGCTGGCAGACCGGGGTCCTCTTTGATTAGTCTTTGAAATCCACAGCTCGTTCGCAGGCGCGATGCCCAGACGGTAGCTGAATGTGAGTATGAACGAGACAAGACAGGCCGAAGAATGTCTTATTTACGAGGGCGGGAATCCAAGGTGCGAGTAGAAGCACTAGATATTGTTGTTGCTCAGCTCCCCATGGTGGAAAGGGTGACGGAGCTTGACAAAAGATATTACATGTAGGAGATCTGATATCGGAAAATGCTGGATCTCTGCCGCGTCAGGTCGTACTTAGCGGGAGGACGGGCTGATGAATCATAGGGCGGCCGGGGGTCGAGATTGCCAGGGAAGGGCAGGGGCTCCAGAGGGACCAGGGGACCAAGACGGCGATGGATGGTATGGATGGGCTGGCGGGCTGGGAGAGGCGGTGGAGATTACGGAGAGTGCTGGGGAGATTGGGAGGTCAGATCGATGGCGTACTGCACTTTGCCTGGCCGTGTCTCGCTCGCGTCTTGAGTCAAGTTTGAGGATCCCAGGACAAAGACGAGGAGGGGCCTCCTTCCAGCTCCAGGCAGGGCAGGGCAAGGGCAGGGCAGAGGGGGAAGAAGGAGGAGAAGCGTGAGAGCAGCGGAGCCCCGATCACAATGTGGAATAGAGTTCGAAAAAGGAGGGCCGGAATGGAGGGACTGTGGAGGCCGAGGCCATGAACGCTGGTGGACCAGCGCGTGTGTCGTCCTGTCGTTTCCGTCGCACTCGAGAATTGCTGTGTGCGTGCAGAGATAAAAGCTCGATGCCGGGACCCTGAGCGACAAGGCGGTTCCACCGAGAGACTGGGCCTTGCATGGACTGTCCTCAAAGGAAGATGTACCGCCGAGGTGCCCTGATACAGCAGACACGGGTTGCAGCTAACCTGAAAAGTTACACAGGCACTCAGTACTCGGCCGCAATGCCCGGGGGTTGGTGCAGCCACAGGTGTTCCTCCTCCTCGAAAAACCTTGGAAGTCGCTCTTGCGTGATAATCGACCACCACCAAAAAGGCTACCAACGACTGAGGCTAGAAGGCACGACCCCTGCTAGGGCCGCCGGGTCTCTCGGCACAGGCCAACGGACAGGCTGCATTGAACAGCTTCTCTGGGACCTCGATAGGCCCCGGTCAATGCGCTGACTCTGGTTGTGCTGGGCTCCCCAGCGCGGCCGAGATATGTCAACGGCTTTGATGTGGGTGGGAAGGGGGCTCGGGGATGGGAGGACGGAGGCGCGCGTCGCGATCCCAGAGCCTACTATTCCCTGGCCATGTCCGGCGGGCAGACTGTATGAATCATGATGTTCCCAGGTTCCGCTTGTGGACGGATACGACCGTGCAGAAAGCCGCTTGGTGCATAGTTAGACTTATTAGCTGTCTAATACTTGGGTCCATGGTCCACTGTTCACCGTTCACGGTAGCTGACAAACCACGCGCCGGGAGGAGCCAGGCTGAAGCAAATAAGCTCTAGTCTTCCATCATCGAATCTTCGTCGAGGCTTCCGCCGTCGCCCGGAAGCCGGCCTGTTGCTTTGTTCCTCGCGAGCACTAGCACGGATTGGCCCTGGCGTCGAGGCGGACGCCCACCACAGGGGGAGGAGGGGTTGGCAGTCGGAGTTTAGCTTCGCAGGGCCGCTCGGCCTATTCCACATGCACGCAAGTGCCTGGGTGGACTAGATGTGCGTTGCACATGCATGCGAGAGCAGAATCCCCCCCGTGTCCGAACGCTGAGAAATCCGATTCCGTTGTCCACTAGCACTGGCCAGATGTGGATTCGCGATCCCGGGATCGGGCTTGCGTGATGGAAGATCTGACACCGCGAGTCGCTCACTATCAGTGAGAACCAAAAGTGACGGTCAGAGTTGTTAGGAAAGCACTTGGGAGAAATCTGGCCCTAGCAGCTTCCTGAGCCACTACCAGGCTTGCAGTTCCCACCCCCAGCCAGAGCCTCACGGCTTACTATACCACAAAGGTACCTGGGTACCCGATGACAGAGCCCAGGGGCCTCCAGTCCTCATCACACGTGCAAACGTGTTGGGCTATAATGACACCTGCAGGACATTTGTAGTCTGCCTACCTACCCAGGGTGGAAGTCGCGGGGTGCAGCTTCTGACAGGCTGACGGCAGGCACAGTCAGCTATCGCGTCCCAGGGACGGCTTGACCTTCCCTGTATGGCATGTTCCTGTTGAGCAAACTGCCCGGCAGTTGATTGTCGCATGGACAACGGAACGGGATGTGGCCTGGTGGCCACCATGCCGCCGTGAATGCCCGACTCACAACCTCGCAGCCCTCGTCAGCTAATAAACCACCCAGTCCGTGCAGGCGACGCAGGCCGTCCCTGCACGTGTGTTTCGAGCTGGCGGGCCCGTTCAGGCCTCATCCGTACCTCGAGTCCGTTCCGCCGTCCACCCCTGACCCGGCACCCTGGCGACGATCGGTCTGGCCCATCCCAGCCCGCTCACAAACCGCGGGTATTCATCCTGCGCTCCCTTCTGGCTTCTATTGTCAGATCGAACTAAGAGCTTTCCAAGACATGATCTTCTCTGCAGCGAAGATCGAAACGTTTTGAAGATAAAACATTGCATCGAGGTGCGCTCTACATGGAACTATCCGGTGCTCTGTCTAGTCTGTCACTATCATGCGTGCCCTTGGCTCGGACGAACTGGCTCATCCAGGCCCAACTGGTGTTCACGCCGTTGTCCGGGCCATGTGCCTGGATTAGATGCTTCCCCAGATTGCCTACGTCGGACCCGGAATTGAACAAATTGCTCATGCAAGCCAAGAGGAACCCCCCTCTTGTCAGAATCAAGAACCGAGAGTAAAGGATCGAGTTTGTTCTGACCCTATCGCTGCTACTGTCGCCAGCGCCTGGCCGCTCTGGACTCTCATCTTCAGGGGTGCCTACGAAGCCCCTCGTCATCGTGTAAGTGGTCTCGTTTTTAATCTGTACACACATGCTTCTTAAGCAATATGCATCCAGTCCCTTCATACAGTGATAAACGCTTAAACACATCATCGTGTAACGCTGCGGCGAGCCGCATAGTGAGGCTCCGCCCACTCAAAACCGCCAGGTGTAGCCAGCAATCAATCCATCACCAGAGGCTAGGGCAGTCGCGCCGGGTGGGCTCCGTTGCCAAGTCGGCACTGTTGATGAGCTGACGAAGGCTCATTCGTGCCATGACCCACCGCCCAGCCACGACCGCTCGCGCGCCCATCAGGACTAACGGCCAATCATAGCTCCGCGTTGCCCCTATGTCGAGGCTCATGCGAGGTGCAGCCGCGCTGGATAGGCGGTGGGAAGAGCCAACAATTACCACGTGCCTTCGCTCTCGCTCAGCACGGACTGGCCCAATCAAGCCCTGACAGACGACTCAAGCATCATTTCCAAAGTGTGATGTTGCTAAACACGAAATTCCATGGTGCTGTGTAAATCCAGCCTTGGTTGATGCTAAGAATATATCACACGAAAGCATGAGAATACCAGTCTTTCCCTGGCATGCCTTGTGAAACACACGGTATTGAATCTTGGGCTCAAATTCGGCGACGCTTTTGAAATCGCTTTCTGTTGCTGTGAATGGAGTTTTCGCCCATGAAGGCATAACTTCTCAGATCTTTTATTCATGACTTGCTGGCCTAAAAGATATTTGTAGATCATTGACATTCGGAGAGGCTACGTGACGAAGGGACATATGTAGTCAGCAAGGCTGACAGCATTTTTGTCGACTATACACATTCTTGCCATACAGGCACAATTCCTTGTTTTTTTACGTCTGAGATGCTAGGTCTGTGAAGGAGAGTCGATGTGCCTGTGTCAAGCAATGAGATCTGGTGGGTCTGTAATGAACGATGTTGCATTCCGTGATTGGGACAGCTGACCACCACAAAGTGCTTTGCTGGTGTGTCAGTCTTTACCATGGTTTCTCATCCCGAACCAAACCAATGGGGGGAAACAAGAGTGTTTTCCTGCTATTGAGTACCTCCGAGTAGTGTTATATCGTCCAGCTGGGTTGGTGGTGTTCGTGCTCATGCCAGCGACAGTCCTCTGCCACAGCCAGACCTGTCGATTTGCAGGCCTTTCACTCCTCAAACCTATTCTATACTTAATTAAAGGCTGTATATTAACTTTGAATAATTTCTTAGTATGTGGTCTCGTTTTTTATCTATCTATATATGCTTCTTAAGTAATATAACTACATTTAATCCCTTTATAAAATAATAAACACTTGAATACCCAGCGTTAGAAAAATATATAATGTTGATAATAGTAGGTTTTGAACATAATTATCTCTTGTGATGGCTAGAATGGACTCTAGTTTGAGGAAGTTAGCATTTATAAATGGTTCAAATTCTGCACAATATCCAATCCAGGCAACCAGAATTTGGAGAATCTCTAAAAGTAGAACAAGACATCTAAGGCAGAGCTGCATGAATAAATGCAAACCACTCATGTGGGAGATCACATTAGAACGTCAGGATCTGCTTGTCCCATTGGCCTCACTGCACAAAATGTAATATCTTCAAATAGGAATGCCACCTTTATCACCATCTTTCATCTTTCATCTGACATCTAATATCATTTTTTCTCATATGAGCTTTTCTGTTAGGAGATTTTCATGAAAATTGCTTTCCCAGCTGACTTTGTAGTAGCCAGCTCATTCCCAGAAAATTGCAATCTGCATCTGCCATCGCTTCCGTGTCTCATGCGGGATGGTCTCAAGGTGGAATTCACAAGTATCAGTGCTTTATAAAAAGCGAGATACTGGAACCATATATCTACAGACTCATCATGCTCCCAAGACTCAAACCCCCATCCCCCACATCCATTGCTAGGCTGGAGAATTCGTGAATGTAGAGTAGCCAACATGCACCAGACTGCTTACATAAGCTAACTTCTTACCACCACCAGTAATGCTGACAATGGAACATGGACTTATATCACGAAGCAAACAGTTGCAGTGTACTTGTCTGATTGAATAAGAGAGAGTGTGGCAATTTGTTGAGAGCAGGCAGACATCAAAGCTAGGAATCCCCCTGCTAGGATTTAAAGTCAGTTTTCTTCTGCATTCTCTCTAGACTAGGAGAACAGCGACAGGTCAAGGTTTGACGGTACAAACCATGGGCACGAGACACATGGAGACATAAGACGTATTTTGAGTAAAAGACATGTCATAGATGGAACACAATTCCCTTTCCTTCCCACTGACTTTGGTGACCTTGGCGAGGAACATGGTAGCCAAGAGTGCCTACGAATTGAGAAAGGCACACAACTAGCAGGAGCGCTACTAACCAGCCCTACTGGACAAAATACTGCAAAAGTTATTTACAGCTTTTCGATATCAATTCAGCATTCCAACTTTTTTTTCTGCTGTCGGCTTGACAGAGAAAACACAGTGCCGGTAAGTCGGGAAGGCACAAGAAGAAGCGCCGTTAGCAGACCTGCGGGCACAAACTCGCAACACCTTTCAACCTTTTAGTCCAACGCAACGGGTCCCCTAAATTTCCTTTGGGCTGGGACATGTATCAGCAGAAAAAGAATCGAGTTATTGAAAGAGCCACGTTAAAAAAAAAGTTGAGCCTCGAGACAGCACACACCTGGATGGAAGAAGCACCGGAGGATACAAAACCGCAACACCTTTCGACCTTCAGATCTCCAGACCTTTTGAACTCCAAGCATTCAAAGTTTCGGACTTTTTGAGATCAGCACAGACTTACTCACAAACTTGGATTGGTCAGAACATGGACCAGTAGCAACAAATCCAGCGATGGAAGAGCCATGTCAACCTTATTGACTGTAGACCTCGACACAATCTCGCTGCCAGCTAAACGCAACCTGATTTTTGCCAACCCTCTGCAACGGTTCATCTGATACAACTTGACAACACAAGCACTTCAAGTGAGCCCAGAAATTGTGGGCTTCAACGTCAAGGACTTTCAGACATTCTAGGCTTCACGGCGACATGGAGACGTCCAAGCCCGACGACAGGAGCAAAATGGATAACAGAAGCACAACAAGTGGAAGGCAGACCCTGAATACTGACCCAAAGAGCAAAGCATCGGCTGCACAAGAGAGGTCAAAAAGGGAGGCAGGCGCTGGATGCCGCGAATATGAAGCAAACCCTGCCACTGATCTTGACGCGCGGATCCAAGGCATAGCGATGGCGGGACGTATACTTAACGACCCCGAAAATGAAATCGCCAAGAGCATTGTACACTGTCCGTACATTGTGGACCAGAGATGCCAGATGGTTTGAACAATGCTCACCGATGAGAAGGCGGACAAGGATGCGGCCATCATGACACACACTAAAGGGAAGGCAGGTACGGATGTGGTCTTCATCATCGCGACGTGGTGCATGTTTGGTGGAAACACAGCAAGCACGTGGGCAGAGCGTGAGAATGGTCAAAAGCTTGGTGAGAAGAGGGCTTTCACGGACTGGGGCAACAAGATGGCCACAGAACTGGTGAATCTTGGGAAAAACGCCCACTTCAACTTCGACTTTTGCAAACCCTATATCACAGGAAAACTTCACAAGAAATCCTACAACTACGATGCGGCTTTCTGGTGCTATTACAATCGCTTATGGAGCCCCGGCAGGGCGGGCGCCGCGAAACACGCGGCAGTTCTCTCGCCTGAGGATCCGGGCCCAGCGAAACGGCAAAAGACAACTGGTTTGAGCAGACAAAATCAGCAGCAGACAGATTTCCAAACTGCGAACGAGGCGCAGCCGAAGGACGTACACAGTCGACCTGAACAAGCCACAGCAAATGAGGCGGATGGCACTGGAAGCTCTGACCGCCTATTCGCAAAACTCTCAAGAAAGCAGTTGGAGGCCATGATCGAAGATCTGGAATCAAAAGTCGAAAGGCTCGAGAAGCAGAATGCTGCTAATTTCTCACCGTGGGATCATGTACATCAGGCAACACTCAGACATTGACTTGCCAAACGTTATCAAGTTGAAATTGAGCCATGGTCAAGCCACCATTTCTTTCTTTCTTCCTTTTTTTTGGCCTCCCGAGGGGGGGGGGGATGGGGACTTTAGACAGTTTCCGTTGCTTTACCCTCAGATAGACAAAACCAATATGCGATGCTTTCACATAATTAAACCGCGTTTGATCATGGGCCAGACTGTAATGAGCCTGTTGTGGTGCCACCCAATTATCATGCATTGTGTAATTCCGTGTTCAGAATCTCGGATAGCTTTAACAGTGCGCACTCATTTTCCCTTTGTTACTCTCGCCCGGGAAGAGAGGGATGATACACTCAAATTTCGTAGACGGTCCGCTTCGGCGGAGGAGAGAGCTGCCTTACTTGTCAAACACACACGCAAACGTCACTCAAGCAGGGTTACATTGGAGTGGTTGGAAACATGCAATATTCTCATGAAGCAGCAGCCCATATTAGAACATAGCTGTCGTTGATGATGTAAATCTCAAGGTCTTGTTGTTCATAAGTCGTGAACCATCGTTACCATATCAAACCACCACAGTCAACGATACATAGCCTGGGCCATCCTCCCTTTCCTCCTGTCCTCCATTTTGGTGATCGTTATGACATCTAGTGCGTAATATAATTATCGTCTCCCGCTATCATGACTTGGATTGGACGGCCCAACTCAATGACATGATGGATATCCGAAAGAAGTAAAGAAGCCGCCCGAATCGTGAGAAACAGAATGACAATGCAGGTCAAGAACAAAGATGCGTCAAAATGGGTCGTCAAATCATCACCAAGGCAGACAGAGGCGAGCAGGTGGTCATTCCACCTCCCGCCTCTTCCGTCGCCTCCTCCTCCTCATCCCGTCGTCCTCGTCAACATCGTCCGTGTCATCATGGTCGTTCACCCTCCGCCTCCCCTTGCCCCTCTCGTCGCGGCTGATCTCGCTTCCACTGCCGCCATACCCAACCTTGTCGACGTCCCTGCTCCTTCCACCACCACCCCGACGGCCGCCGCCGTTGTCTTGCTCACCATTATCATACTCGTCGTCATGTGGGCCAGGGAGACCGTGAGCCCCGAGAATACCACTCCCCAGCAACCGCCCGGCCAGTCCGATCCAGCCGCTGACGCCCTTTGGCGGGCCATCGCCGATGATCCCCGTGACGTCCTGCATCATCCTCTCGACCTGGTCTGGGTCCGTCCCGCCGACACTCCACATGCCCCTCGCCTGCGTGCCTCCCGGCCGCGGGGACCGATACTCGAAGTCACCCCGCCGCTCCGTCCACCCGCCTCTCACCCGTGCGCTCCGGGAGCTGGACGGAGCGTTGGGGTCGATCGGCCGGCCCGTCCCATCGAAGCGATCAGGCAGGACCTCGATCTCTTCCTCGCTCCCAGATTCCGACCGGTCGGACTCTGGAAGCTCGTTTCGATGCCTCCCGACCACGGGACGGTTGGCGCTGGGGTCTGAGTTGCGCCGCCGCTTGCGGAAGCGCCGGCGAGCCGGCACAATGGCGCTATCGTTATCGGCTGCTGCAGCGTTCTCGTCGTCTACATTCTCGCGTGACTTGGTGGCTCGGTGACGGAGGAGTGTCTGAGAGGATTGTGGTGATAGTGGAACCCACTGGACGTGAGACGGTGTCCTGGGCGGAGATGGCGATCTCGAGGGCGCACGTTGTCCAGGTTTCGACAAGGCAGAGGATGCTGCTGATGGCGTTCTGTCGCGGGACGGAGAGCGTTTCAGGGGTTGGCTTATACCATCTGCGTAGGAGAAATGACAGTTGTTAGTTCCCACGCGGATCGACATCCCATGTTGGCCAGATTGGCTCCCATGGCAAAGAAAACATCAATTTCAAAAACGTAGAGCCCGCTTAGGCCAAAGGCGTAGGTCCTTGTCCATCCTTCCTGGTGTCCGACGAAGGTGGTTGCTGGCTAGGCCCAGAAGGCTGTGGTGCCTGTGCTTGATGTGTTGTTGTGTTTTGAGGAGGAATATTACCGAGACCAGACGCACCCTCAGCTTCGCGGCGAATGTTGGGTCGCCCGCGTTCACGGTTGTGGCCGTGGTCCCCATCCTTTACATTGACATTGGCGTTGACAGAAGAATCAGATATTTCGCTACTCACTTGATCGGGGTCGTTTCGCCGGTATCCCCCTGTTGGCGGCGGTGGCATTCCAGTCGGAGTCGACGCAGAATTTGGCGGCGGTCCTGGTGGTGGCGGTGGGAAAGGGTGATACTCTTGAGGGTTGTACGGCGTATAAGTGTCGTGAAGGTTCGTAGAGGCCATATTAGGATGTTGTGTGAAGCCCTGTTGGTATGTATCGGTGCCAGGGGCGGGACCTGGTGGGCGAGGATCGAAGTAGCCGCCGGATGCGTGTGGTGGAGACGGAGGCCGCTGCGAGTCGTAGGCGTCATGATGTCCGTCCGCGACGGAATCCTCGTAACCTAATGAAAGTAGTTAGAAATCAGAGCCCGTCAAAGGCCAGATGCTGTGTGGTGAGTGGGCTGGGCTCGGTGTCACTCACTTCTGCGATCTCTCTCCCTGTCCCTACGATCCCGGTCCCTCTCAGCACGATCCCTCGCCCTGGCCTCCCTGTCCCGTTCTCTGTCTTCCCGGTCTCTCGACCTTTCTCGAGACCGTTCTCTGCTCCGTTCCCTCGACTCAGCCCTCTCCTTGTCCTTCTTAGCATCCCCATACTTCTTCAACCCGATCGCTGCAGCGCCCGCTGCGGCAGCACCAGCAGCCATGTCCCTGAAGCGACTTCTACTCCTAGCCCTCTTTTCTTTCTTCTCCTTCTCATCATACACTCCATCATCTTCTGAGTCCAGACCCCTCGACTGCGACCTCTGCCTGGCCAGCCGCTCCCTCCTCCGTCTCCTCCTGTCCTCCGCCGACTCGTAACCCGGTTCGGCCGCTCGTGGCCGATGGTCCCCGTCTCGGTCGGAGTACAGGGGGTGGCCGCCATACTCAACCAAACCTAGCTCAGGATCAGCGGCTGCGGCAGAGGTCGGGTTGGGGGGTCTAGAGCGCGACCTGCTACGCGACCTGGAGCGGGATCGCGATCTAGACCTATCCCTCCGAGATCTGGACCGCTCCCGCTCCCGGTATTCGCGTTCATGTTCCTCGTCCGAGAGTTCCCTCTCACGCTCCTCCTTCTTGTCCTTGGAACGGTCATACAGCTTCTTGCCCGCTGCGCCCGCTAGCCCAGCGGCAACGATCTCAGCGCCGGTCCGGAGCCGCGACCGTGAGCGCGACTTGGATCCACCCTCTTGGCGGGCGCGGGATTTGCTTCGGAAGTGCTGAACTAGACCGGCGACGGCGGCGGTTCCAGCCGCGGCTTTGGCGACGCCTGAGCCACGAGATGGGGACCGCCCTCCGGGTCCTCTGCTGCGGGAGCGGCTGATGTAACTGTCACCCGAGTCGCTGTCGTAGCGGTGCAGGCTACGTCCACGGCGCAGTTCCTCCTTCTCGATCTTCTGGGATTGGTAGTACTTAGCTGCTCCAGCCACAGCCAGGGCCGCAGCCGCGAGCCCGAGCCCGGTCTTGATCTTGTGGTGCCTATCATGCTCTTCTTCATAGTCGTCATCACGGCCCCGGTACTCACGATAGTCACGGTAGTCACGGTAGTCACCCCCGCGTGACCGTGACCGCCCGCGCCTGTAGTCGTCCCGGTAGCGATCTTCATCATCACCATATCGGTCATTGTAAGCAGAGCGCGCGCGTTTGAATACTTCGGTGCCCAGGGCACCCAGGGCAGCTCCAGCAAGAACCTTGCGTCCCCGACCTCCCTGAGGGTCACCATCACCATTGCGCCGAGAGGCCGCAAGAGCGGCCAGACCAGCGCCGGCCACCGCACCCTCCGCCAGATGCAGCTTGTGGTGATGCTCTGGCGACTTGCTCCGTTGACGCCGAATAATTGTCCTCCTGACGTAGACGTCATCATCGTCAGATCTATATCCGTCAGAATAGCGGTCCCTCGAGTGCGAACGGCGATATTCAGCGACAGCGTAATCATCACGACGGTCGCCATACCTGTCTACCTCCCTGCGCCGGTAGTAGTACTCATCCTCGCGGGGCTCTTCCCGCCGCGCGACCACTGTGTTCTGTTGCTGCCTGTACGGAATCATGATGGGCGCTGGCTCGGGGGCTTCCTGCACGATGATCCTCTGCTCCGGAGCGCGCTGGCGGATGATGATGGGGGCGGGGTCTGGGGGTGCCGGCTCGTAGTACTCGGTCTCCTTGCGGTACCGCTCCACTTCGCCGTAGGGTGTCTCGTCGCGACGCTCTTCCACGCGGCGCTGCATGGTGACATCTACACCATCGTCACGCTTCTCAACACGTCTCTCGACCCGGACATCGACGTTGTCACGGTCCCACGGAGAGTGTGAATGCCGGTCCCAGTCGCGCGGAGAGGTCGGGCCGCGGTCTCTCTCGACCTCCTTTGTCTTCTCGTAGACGAGTTCGCCGCCCCTGGGACGTTCACGCTCGTCCCACCAGTGGTCACCCTCTCGCTCAACAACCTTTTTCTCGACCGTTGTTCGTTGTCGGTCCCGGTCATCATACCAGCGGTCGTCGTCACGTTCAACTACGCGTTTCGTCTCGACAGTGGTTCGTTGGCGGTCTGCGGGCCACGGGTCTTCGCGCTCGACCTCCCTGGTCCTTTCGTAAACAGCACTGCGACCGTCGTCGTGGACAACACTCCTCTTGCTTATGTCGTAAAATTCGGGGGTTGGCGATCTGCCTCGCTCCCTTTCCGTGACCTTCTCCACGACATGGGTGCTCCTCTGGGCGGGCGGGTCGAAGGCGGATCTCGGCCTCTCGGGCAGATAGGTCCTGTCCACTCGTCGTGTGGTATCGACCTCGACCAAGTCGCCGGATGAGCGCCCGGGGTGCAGATGGTGAGAATGCGTGGAGAACCTGGAACGACGATCATCCTCGATGAAGTCGTTCTCGACAACACGTTCGGTGCGCTCGATCCGTTCTACATGCTCGACGGGCGGAGGCGGGGGAGGAGGCGGCGCACGCTGGGTCTGAGTGACCTTGTAGCGGCGGACGGTGGGTGCACCTCTGTAGCGATCGTCGTCGGATTCCGGGTCGTCGCGCTCCCGCACGTAGCTGCGGGACTCGCGGTAGACCGTGTCAGGCATCTTGGGGCCAGATGCGCGCACACGGGGTGAGGAGGTGACGAAGCAAAGAGAGGAGTCGGGGCTGAGAGGGGGTTTCGAACAGGTGCTGTAGGGAAGGCTGCGGATATGTATGAGATGATGTGGGGAAATGACTCGGGATGGGAAGACGGAAGAGCCAGGCCAAGAGGAGAGAAGATGGGCTCAAAAGGCCGGATGAGGTCAGCTCGGGAGAACAGGTGGTGTTGTTGGTGTTGGAGGGCGGCGAGGGGGGGGGGGGGGGGTGTTGTTGGAGTCGCTGTTGGGTGTAAAATTAGGATGGCTGGGCGGCCGGTTGGCAGGATGACGGACTCAACCGACGGTCGAGTCCCCCCGTCCCAGTCACAAAACTCGGCAGCTGTCCCAGGATCTGGCCGGTGGTTTGCAGGGGAAACGTTGGCTAGCACTAGACGAGGCTAGCATTAGATGATGGACCCAAGTGACTGTTTGTTGCCCATGTGGTTGAACAAGGCCGATTGTCTCTTAGTGCTGTTGCCCTGTAAGGATGACACCTGCTGGGCCACGAGACAGCGACGAGCGGTTGGGCCGGGGCGAAGCGGACAATGCGAACGAAGCCGGCGAGGCCAGACAGGGCAACGCGGGCAAAAAAGAAGAGAACTAGACGCACCTGTTCTTAGACTGCCGTGCTTGTTGTTGTTGTACTGCAGCACGGTACGTATGCAGTATAGTGGCCGAACGGATCCGCACCAAGTGCAATACAACAACACAACACTGCACTGCACTGCACTGCACTGCACTGCACTGGGGGAGAGCCCACGGGTGCGGGTGCGATGGGAAGGAGGCACAGCTGACGACATCAACAGAATCATGTAGAACCTGTGGCCACGGCATGCACCTCACAGTATGAGGTCTAGCGCCTGCGCCTGCACAGCTGGATGGGCATCACACGCAGACACGCAGACACCACCCAGACTGACAGACTGGCTGTCGGACAGAGGCTGAGAGGTGTTGTGCTTGCCGCTGCAGTGTAAGACCGACCCCATGCTCAGGTCTAGGCCCCACCTCGGAGACAAATCCACCCTGGGGTGCTTGCTGATGGCACTGGCCCACTATTCTTGGGGCGGTCTCTGTTCCTGGCCTCGCGGGCGTGTCGGACCGATCAAGTCCTCCCGCCTTGATCCGCAGGACGTAAACAAGAGGGGAGAGGCAGAGGAAGCGGCAGCCAGGTGTTTGGATTGCTGGAGCACAAGATCCCCCTCTTCCTCCCCCTTCAGCATGCCCCTCTGGATGATGTGTTCCGGCATTTGCTTTTTTGGAAACATGGAAGCCAAGCAGAGTCCCGGGCAGAGTTCCACACCATCAGTCTGCTCCTTTGCCTGAGGGCCTGTCGTATCAGAGACAAGGGGGGCTTGCTGCATGGCATATATGCAACCACTTTGCAGAAACCAGATCAGAGCCCACACGGCCTTGATGTGCCTCTGTCAGTCAGTGGCTCGAGTGGGTCGGTCTGTCTGTACACGAATTCCACATGGGCGGATGGGTTGCAGAAAGCTCGATCCCGGGGGAGCGACGCGGTGGTACCGCTGCAGCGCCTTGGCCGGGCTCTGACTGAGGAGCTAAGCCACCTGCACAGACGGTAGGGCTGGCTACGGCGGCAGCATCGGAGTAAGAGCAAAGGTTTCTCTTGTGAGGTCAGTCCACGGGTTAGCCTCGCTGCCCAATCACCAAGACTCGTCTCAGACAACAGATAAGCCCGCAAAAGCCCTGTGACCGCTCATGGTTTTCCCATCACAGAGGCGGGGCGCCATGTATCACGCAGTAGTTGTGATGACTGGATCTGCTCGAGATCGATCATCGCCCCCCAGATGGAGAAACCAGAGCAGCCAAGGCAACCAAGGTGCACGTACACCGGCTTCTTGCCCCGCCCCCTCTTGTTGCCCCCGACCCCTCCTCCATGAGGCTGGCCTTGTACCGGCAGGCTCGGCCATAACCCCAAGGAGCTGTCGCACTCAGCATGGTTCTGTCTCTCTATGAGTTAATGGTCGCTCCCGCACATGGCATGTCCCTTCATTGCTGCATGACTCCAAGCGTTGATGCGGACAACCAGAGGCACACGGCCCATCTCGTGTGATGACGTCAAAGGGTAGTTGCCGAGGTGGGACCTTATCGATACTGTCCGAACCTAACCTGGTAATGAGCTCCCAGACCAAGGCTCGAGCATTGGGCATTCTTAACGCTGCGTTCTTATAGCCCTGGTGGGATTTCCAACATTCAATGGAATTTGTGACACAGAACAACCCGCAGGCAATGCCCTGGTGCGCATCACAGCACAACCAGTTGTTGTCTGGCACTAGCCAGCTTTCAGCAAATCCATGGTGGAGTCTCATTCCGTGGACCTAAAATCCGTCAGGCACGCGCACTGGAAGTGAGGGCGCTTCCGGACTCTTCGAGGCGCAAAAGCTGCTGTTCCCCTCTTGACGCGAGCTGGATTGTCGCCGGTGTTGTGTGTCTGTAGCAGGCTTGAGGCCCGCGGGGACGGCGCCTCGAGCCCAGCCGTGCTGCTTCTGCAGCCTCCCGCTAAAAGGCCGGTACCTAGGTAACATCGCCTGACGCTATTAACTTCATGAGGCTCTCTTAGTCCCGAAGCTGTCATGGGTCAATGAGCTGGCACGCGAGCTGAGTTGGGAATATTTCCAGTGTCCCCTCAGCACCAATGGGAATGGCCTCTGAGAATGGAGCACATATCTGCTCGCACTTAACTATTCTTTTAGCTTCAGATGCATTTTGCAATCCTCTTCTATTGAAAATTTCTTTCTCCTTCTTTCCTGAGGCTATACTGATCATGCACAGGCTATTAACACAAAGACATAGTGGTGGAGCGACGCACACTGACGACAGATGCAAGATGTCCTTCAGGGGTCGAATCTGACCCGCATTCGGCAGGCAGCTGTGCAACTGTTTTCAGCTGAACTCGGCTCGCGAATCTTGGAGTGCTGCCGATCAGCTCCTTGAAATCTCCATCAGATTTCGGTATCCTTGGCGGCCAAAGAAATACGATCCCAGCATGGCTGAAGATGAAGCAAAAGAGTCGCGGCTCCGGACGCACCTGCGTACTGCTCTCTTCTACACCGGCATCTTCCTCGTCGTCTTCTGCGGCGGGGTCATCTTCTTCATGCCCTTTCTTCTGGCGACAAACTTCTGTGTCTCTTTAGTCCTTATCGCCCAGAGCCTCATTCGCGTCGGGCCGTTGTCGAGACATGGCCGGCTTGGAGGGCCATTGGCTGGCCTGCTCGCCCGAACCCAAGGCCTAGTACAAATGGGCATCGCGGGCGGGGCGGGGCTGTCCACTTGTGCCTCATCTTTCCGGCGTCCATGATATTCACGTTCGTGCTTCCGAGTTACTTCGTCCTGTCGGGAAGGGTCCGCGATGCCGTCCTAAGTCTGCCGAAGCGCTTCGGCTCGCCTAAGGATGCAGAGCACGTGGACTCAACTGAGAAGGTCGTGATATGGCTCGCTCGATCTTCCTGGAGCTACTTTCTGAGTATGGGCACCCGGACCGGCGCAACAATTGGCTCCTGCTTTTGGGCAGAATCGGGATCGACTGGTCGTGTATCCTCGACGAATTCGACTACCCTATGGCGTACCGTGAACTCGGCAATTGTCGACTTCGTGGTCTTGCGCAGCATGAATTTCGAGGCCAGGGTCCTTCGTGTACTCCGATGGGTGCAGAGCCTCATTGCTGTCATCGTCATCGCCCCAGGCTTTTACTTCGGATCAGAGCCTGAGGGTTCAGGCGTTGTGCCCATGTTTTTCTCATTGCAGCTTCAAGTCTGGCTGGCTCCAGTGGGGTTTCTGATGTACTTCTTGGACCGTCTAAAGACAGCTGCTTCTGAATTGGACTCACTAGAGTACTCGGACAACAAAATCGCAACGCCAGCATATATGCTACGCTGAGCGTGAAGGGGGCCAGAGTTTGATACTCTGAGTGGTACGCGCAAAGAAGGTTTGGTGATAGTTCTGGTCATAGAACCGGGCCATCGCGAGCAACCAATCTGTTGCCGCCTCAAGGTCAACGATCTGGCTTCGACACAGAGCATTCAGTATGAAGCTCTTTCATGCGTCTGGGGTCCGCCAGGTCTGGCTGAGGCAATCCAGATCAATCACAGTGCATTCGCGGTGTCTACCGCTCTATTCCAGGCACTTCTGCACCTTCGCCGCCGCAGAGAGCCACGAGCAATTTGGATAGACGCAATTTGCATCAACCAAGCAGATCTCGCTGAGAGGAGCGCCCAGGTCCTACTGATGCAGCACATCTACTCGATGGCTTCCGGTGTGGTTGTGTGGCTAGATGAAGTTCAACCTTGGGGGCTGGGGAATCTGGTCGAGGCGGCAAATAGTTCTCTCGAGGCACATAACTGCATACACTACGGAGCTGTCAAAGTGTTGTCAAACCTGCTCCGAAGACCCTGGTGGACCCGAGTCTGGGTGACCGAGGAACTTGTCTTGGCCCGCGACGTCACGGTTTGCTGTGGCTCGCAGACTCTGGGCTGGGATCGTTTCTGCTGGTTTATGGACAGCAGCGCATTGCTGCCTTTGTTCCCGAGTACTGGTATATATATTGACGAGTTTCGAGCGTTGCGGGACAACTGGAGAGCCAGGACGACGATTTCGTCACTTGGTGATGCACCAAAAGCCACAGGCTCCGAGGATGTCGTCCAACCCCGCGAGGCTCGGGCGTCAGACCTATTGTCCCTGATCTATGACTTTCGCTCTAGACGGGCCACCGAGCCTCGTGACAAGGTCTTCGCTTTCCAAGGACTGGCGCAGGGGATCGGTGGCCTTTCCCTAGCCTCAGGCCAGCCGATTGACTTAGAGACACTCCTTGTACGACCTGATTACGAACGCCGCAGCTCGCTCATGTCTACCGACCTGGCGCGAAGACACATCCGGCGAACAAAGAGCCTATCGGTCATGGCTCTAGCAGAATGGGCGAGGCAGACGAGCCCATCAATGCCTAGTACTACGAATGATGAAAGGGGCGCAGTATCTGCCCAGCTGGTGTCCAGCCTTTATGGACGTTGAAGCAGTGGACACGGGCCTGCGCTTCCGGCCGTTCTGGACTGGACTACCGGGCGAGGGGGACGATAATTTTTCCTCGGCTGGAAATATTCCGGTCCAGGCACTTCCGCCAGAGCCAGATTCTCTCACAGTTCCTCCAGATTGGAAGCATCTTGATCTAGATGGCTATGCAAACTATAATGGGAATCCACACAAGCTGGATGTTCAGGTGTTGTCTCATCTGAGCGATAACGTAGTGGAAACTGGGCCGTTGGCCGGAGGATCTATCAACGCGCTGGTCAACTCGACCATGAAAGTTATCAGCAGGCAAGCATCAACGATGGTGAACTCATTCCAGGGCCGGAATGCATGGGACTCGGTATTGCCTACCTGGCGACGGATGGCAATGGAAGCTCATAAGAGCCGCAAATCTGAACTGGGACAGGCAACATTCGAAGAAGAATTCCAACTTAGCATCACGGCGGGAGAATTCTCGGCTGAGCCTTCCTCGGCCAGTCAACAAATTGGCTACACATCGTCTCGGACAGCCGAAGCCAGCACAGCATCGGCAAAGAATCAGGCTTATATCGCAGCCCGCGAAGCCACCTGCGCCAACAGGGCAAGCTTTGTCACGGCAGGCGGCCACTTCGGAATCGGGCCCCCGGATGTTCAGGTCGGCGACGAGGTATGCGTGGCGATTGGGATACAGGTTCCCGTTATCCTACGGAAAGTAGGGAGCGCGGATGATAGGGACCAATGTCCGCAGTATGATCCAAACGACTGGCTGTTCATCGGAAAGGCGTATTTACACCAGAAGATGGTTTACCATGGCGATCTTGCTGAGGAGATTCGAAGTGGCTCGGCCGCTGTTGAGACGCGTGTTTTGACCTAACACACTCTCTACCTACTCTTGAACATATGGACCAAGTTCAAGTTACTCGGTGGCTTTGGCAGGTCAGCCACCGACTCGTACCGTTAAGAAAAGTATTTGCCAAACTGGAGGACTACTGCCTAGTGCTCATTAGCTTGTTCATCATGAACACTCGGCTCCGTAATGCAGGATCGAATAAAATTACCTGAGAAGTTCAGATGTTTCTAATCATCCACCGTTTGCCAACAGCTACGGGTTCCGAAAACAAAAACAATCAATCACATGATACCACTGACACTAGCCAAGAAGTCCCTAATCCTCAGATTCCTTTCCCCTGGGCGTCAACCCATGAAAAGCTCGAAATATGTTGGGACCAGCAACGGAAGCAACATCAGCCCACGACCCTTCCAAAGGTCACGACTTCGCCATCGTACAGCAATGGCTGCGGATACTACCTCCGCCTGGAAACAACGGTTCTCTGCGCTATGGCAGTCGTCTCTGCCCAGCCGGAAATTTGCCTCCTCGTTCAGCGGTAAATTGTGCCGAAAGGTCTGTTGAAGAAGCTTGAGAGTTGCTAACCCGAGACGAGCTAACCGTGTTTTGAAATTTGCTTATTTCGGGGGACCATTTCTTCCTGGGGGCAGTCGGACCAGAAGTCTCCGAAGCGTGATCGATTCAAGGTCTGCGCCTTCACCGTCACACATAACCAGGGTGAACGAAGGCGTCGCATTCCCTGCCGATGGTGTCGACACATTCCTCACTCGCATTCTACCATCGAGTGGACGTCGGCGCAATCTTCTCGTTGAAAGATCGTGCCTCTCTTTCGTGCTCGGCCCGATGATCCGCCATCGGCTTGCGGGCGAGGTCGAGCACGGATCGGGTCGAGAGGCTCCGAGTCCATAATGGCTGGAGTAACATTGCGTCGTATTGCGCTATTCTTTATTGTCTTCACGGACCGAAGCGGATGTATTTGTATTTCGTGGGCAGTGCGTGCTTTCAGCTGGTTATCGCGACTAGAGTTGAGGGAGGGCAGGAGCTGTCTTGTTCTCGAGTCTTGGTAAAGGCTGGGGCGATGTATGTTCATCATTCTCATTGCGGTGGACATCATGAGGTCATCGAGATACGGGAGTAAAATCTTCTCACGTTTACGAGTGGGAAAAGAACAATTGAGACTTTTTCTGTATCAGAGGTGGTGCCTACCTCAAGGGCGACGATAAGATTGTTACGGATCGTGTACCCAAGAAGAATAACAAAGGGAGTCATTATTCGTCCTGAGTATTCAGACTACCATTGCAAGGCAAAATGTCCGTCCATTCGGTATCAATTCGTCTAAATATTCTGTGCCGCTGCGAAATGACCATCCGGTAGTGGTTGATCAAATGACTAGGTGGGGTGACGTACGGATGAGCGGGAGGGACTTGCACGAAATTCCGAAGAGAGAGACTGGAGGAAATTCAATCGCATGTGACTCTCACTTGAACCTGCTGTCAAGGAGGCATGTGCCACAAATTCTTTGATTGCTTACTCGTGCGTTTTGAGGCAGAAGCAGCCAAGCAATTCCGCGGCATCGAACAGCCATGTCATTCTACAGTATTAGACTATTACTTCTTGTTTCTATGGGTAAAAGCCTAAAACCATATTCATCACGAGGACTTTGCGGAACCGTTAAGCTTAAATAGTACGGTGTTTTGGATTTGTTGGTATAGGTAGGTGGTCCTCAACTAGCTAATCGCTCATATATACAGAAGAATAGGTAGACACCAGTAACAAGGTAAATCCTCAGTCTGATATCCAAATCAAGCCTCGAATCAGGTGAAGGGGATAGGTTGACGCGAATGGGTGTTTAATGACGTTTGTCCAAGGTGGTTTCTGACGCTCGCCCGCCGCCGAAAGGTCCGAGCTGAGGTGACCGAAGGAGGCTGAGTCGTGATGTGCAGCCGAAGTAACTGACATACGTACGCACTGGTTCATTTAGCACGGTGAGCTGATCGGACTTGCGCGTCCGCATTCGTGGCCGTCCACACACTTAGAACTCAGCCTCCGTTACACGACAGTTGAGTCTTTACTCATCACCGCCAGGGCGGCCAGTCGGGATGGGACCACCAGGCCCGGTGGGGAAGCCAGTAGGGAACCCTGAGGGGAGCCCAGTAGGGAACCCAGATGGAATTCCGGTAGGGAATCCAGGGAAGCCAGTTGGCTTTCCAGTGCCCTTGCCCTTGCCCTTGCCGGTTGGGCGAGGATCAGCAGCCTCATCATCTCCACTCTCGACGTTGAACAGAGAGTCGTCCTCGTCCTCGCCGCCGGGGAAACCACCGGGGAAACCACCGGTGGGGAACGGGAAGCCGGATCCAGTGGGGAAGCCAGTAGGGAACCCAGAGGGAATTCCTGTGGGGAATCCAGTAGGGAACCCAGAAGGGATTCCAGTTGGGAATCCAGTCGGGAAGCCCGGGAAGCCGGTAGGAACGCCGGTTGCGGTCTTGCCCTTACCACCTCCGAATTGAGGGGCGGCGATGGCAGAGGCGGCGAAGAGCGCGACGAGTGAGAACTTCATTGTGGCGGCTTGTGTTTTTGGTGGTGTCTTGTAAGTGTTGAGGAATATGAGCTTCTGATGGATGCGGTCAGACTGCGCGATGAAGTGAATGTCGTGTCAAACGATTTGTTGACGTTGTCGAAACGCGGTTGTTAAAAGAGGGAGACTAGCTAAATACTCTTAGAAGTACTTGAGTGCTGATGAAAAGGGTAACCAACACGAGGAAGGGCAGCTGTGGCCTCTTATATATTTGAGCCTTCGAGAATACCTTTGTGTTACTCCATCGATCGGAGGCCATTCAGCCGGATGTTTCTCACCCAGAATGTGGGTAGCTCGATCTACCCGGCATTCACATATTAATTTAGATTGACGATTGCCACCGTGCAGTCAATCGAACCATGGGCCTCGACCCAAGAATAATTCCCCCGCGGCTACAGCAGGGGGGAAACCGCGGACTTTTCTCCACCGTGAATAATTAATACATCTGATGTGATCTGGACCAAGATGTGGTCAATGGCCGAGGCGCGCGGTACCCCCGTATCCCAGGGTGACATGCCAGCTGTGACATGTCCTCGACGGCCTTGGGAAGAGTCTTGCAAGGGGCTATGGGAGAATGGCGTAGCGGCCCGCGATTGATTAATACATGGAGCACGTATAAGCCGTCATCCCTGTCCATGACTACCGACACCAGGCTGGACTTGGACAGACAGCGGCATGAAACAGCGACGGGGTGGGTCCGAAAGAAACTGGTGTCCGTGGCTAGCATTGGCCGGGCGTCAGAAAACAAGCAGGGGAAAGGAGTTGTTGGGGGCCAATGGCTGAAAATTCGTAGGTCTGCCATGGCTCAGACTCAGGGATCGACAGAGCGACGCGTTCGTCCAGAGGCTTGGGTGGTGCACAACCTGCCCTCGTCAGATTATTGCAGGACCAGTGCTACCCAAATGTCCGGACAAACGCCAGAGCCTCCGTGACAGGCTGACAGCCCGTCACATCCCCATAGCCCATACGCCACTGCGCTTGCAACGCGCGGTGACGCCAGAGCACATCATCCTCGAGGATGTTTTCGAACGAGCCAGGGTCAGCCGAGGCTTGTGGCCTTGGCCCATTGGGGTCTGTATTGTTCACATACTGCGGTCCAATGGGCGCATGCACCCAATTGACTGGTCAGCACCTATTTCAGGGTCTGTGATCTCGAAACAAGTCTCGCGAGCCTTGGGTCGAGTCATGTGTGGCTCGGTGATGAAACAAAAATATTAAGGCGTACCGGTCCTACGGGCTGGAGAGACCCCCCGAGAGCGATTGGCGGCCATGTGTTTCGGTTCTGCAGAAGTAAGCTTCTGGTGGTCATCTAGGCGAGGTGCCAAGATGCTTGCAAGCCACAGCCGACCGTAGGTGCAGAGCCGCGTGAGCAATGAAAATTCAGCAGGTACTGGCAAACCAGCCCGGCGTATGGGAACCTTTTGCCTAACGACTGGTTGTGAGTCGTGATCGACAATGCCGGCTCAGGGAGAGACGACGTCAATATAAGTGAGAACGTATTGGAGCCGCAAAGTCTGGGGTCTGATAGATTAAGGTTGCAGCAGCGGGGCTCCAGTGGATGGGTTTAGCCATATTGAACGAGGGTCATGGCAGACGCGCCAAGGATTCCACCACTCAGGTTTGACAGGAGCCCCAGGCCAGACCACATCGGACTCCGGACGACCCCCGATCGTCAGGTCAGGGACCGCAGCTGGGCAAAGGCTTGACGGCTGGCCGCCAAGCCAGCTCGGGCTCAACCCAAGGCCCAGACTGGCTTCGCATGCTGATTACCCAGGACCCCAGAGGGCTGAAGGGGGCCTCGGACGTGTTTACTACAAGCGTCTCCTCGGAATGTGGCATGATTTCCGGACCCGCATAAAAAGAAGCTTAATGTTAGTACCATCCAGTTTTCGGAATGTGGTGCCGCATGGGTAATCAATCTGACAAACCGCAGTACTTGGCCGGCTATGAAGCTCGGGAGCAGAGGATGAGACGAACATGGATGGGAAGAGATCAAGTTGGGATGGGATTGCGCCATCTGGTGACCTTGGAAGCAAACGGCGAGGGTGATTTCTTCTTTAGCCTTCATTTGTGGGAAAATATGCCGCCTTGAGGACGTTGTGATCACGCACCCAACACTCCCGGTCTCAAACCGGTCTGCCCGTCCGATTATGAGAATGAATTAGTCTTCCACAGCGATTCGAGCGCCCAGTACGACCGGAAGGCACTCCTCGGCTAGCCTCCATCAGCTTCAACTTCCCGACTGCGCCAACTATCAGTGGATAAGCCACGCCTTTACTAAAAGTTATTGTTTTTTTTTTTTGGGGGGGGGGGGGAATGGGCATGGATGGTCAGTTGGGGAGTTCCCAAGTCAAAACATCTCCATAGGAGTATCAACATGCAGCCATGATTCACCAAATATATCTGTTCATGTATTCCACTAGAACCTAGACATTTGTGCTTGACAAGAGGCACTGAAGAAGCCATTGGCATGACCCCGCACTATATGATCTCTTGGAGCCTGCCAGCTATTTTATCAGTGCAGACATGAATACAATGTGGATACTGTTCTATTACACTACTATAAGCCTTCATAGGGTATTCACACACTCAGACTTACCTTTGGTTAGCCTGAAGGGTCATCCGCAATAGCACCAAAGTAAAAGCACATAGACTGACGCCGAAGAGCACCGCGTTGGGGGCGAAAATCTATTAGGGAACAAGGGTTATCAATATCTACTGCATCATTTATCGCTCTCAAGGGCCGCAATAGACACCATATCCTTGAATCAACGTGAGCTCTACCACAGGATCTCCGACTCACATTTGAATATCATCACTAGGAATGAGGTAGGCGGGATTAGATACCAGCTATGAGTCTTGTAGAGAGCTTAGCAGCCGTGGGTATATGGGTGCTGACGGTGATATTGCGCCCACAACAAGTGCCAACCCCTCCTACAAGTTCCATTGAGCTGTCAGTCATATTGGGAGAGGAGAGAGTGCGCTAGTTACGTCATGAAAAACTGAATGACTCCTTTCATCTGTACGCCACCATGTCCGCAATGTCCCGTCTCGCTGCACCGTCAATCTGATTCGCTTCTAAAGTTGTCTCTGAGACGTCTGTCGCTACATTCTAGGTGGCTGTAACCTTGGAAGCTTGCTCCAGCGGATGGTTACGTCACATATGAGCTACTGTCCAGCCCTTTGCTGTCTTTGACTACTAGTGAGGAGAAGAATACCTCAGAGAAAATTTGTGAGGCGAAAAGATATGTACCCAGTAAAATGAGCTGCTAAGCCTGTGACTTGAGCTCAAAGCAAAACAAATCTAGTTCTTGCACTATACATAGACTAGACTATTTCTCACAAATCCAATACCTATTTTGATCAGTAGATCTCTTACCAATTCCTCCTCTGATTCACTACCCGTGAACGGCCTCCAATGTCAACTAATGCTCAGATAGTGACCTCAATTTTTCTTGGTAGTCAAACTTCAGCTCAAGATAGAGATTCAAATATAACCCTCATTTGATGTACAACTATCTCAGAAAGACAGAGGAGGAGAGTGTGCAGAAGAAGTTGCAGAGCAGCCAACCTATACCTCCAGATGTTACATCTTTTACCGCAGACAGGAATACGTTCACCTCGTAGGGCAAATAGGTAGTCTACATTGTACTTGTCTGATTAGATAATGGGAGAAAGGTGGGGCCATTTATTGCACCTAGAGGCTTCTCACCGACATCAAAACCCAGAATCTCACAGCCAGAATTTCTAATTGAGCTCTTCTTCAGTCTCTTCAGGAGGCCAGCGCGACGGGTCGGAGACAGATCAGCACTCTACGGCAAATACCGTGGGTGAAAATGGTGTAAGAGGCATGGGGGGGCACCTCAATTGAAGTCGCCTTTTCTTCACATGCAAGCGAACTTTTGTCGGGGCACAAGGTGGGCGAGAGTGACCGTCGATCTAGAAGGCACACAACTGACGGTTGTTAGCAAACCCACTGGACACAGCACCGCACAGCATCACAACATTCTGAGACCAGTTCAACCTTCCGCAAGGTCTTCAGTTTTCTGGGTCAACGCGAAGTGAAAAAAGTGCACTAGAGACAATCAATCGATAAGACTCACATCTGGCAGGAGCGCCGCTAGTAGGTCTTTCGGGCATAAAACCGCAAATCTCACAGCCCTTCTGAGCTCAACTCAACCTTTCCTGCAACACTTTTTCTTCGGTCGGCACCAGAGAGCGGCCGGCGACGACGATCCGAGCGACTAGACAGCCACGTCGATTCTGCTCGTCCCGCACAAGAAAGTCTCGCTGTAAAGTGAACGCAACTCGATCTTACCGAACCACTGATTACATTACCAAACCTCTTACTACATTACCAAACCTCTTACTACACTACCAAACCTCTTACTACATTACCAAACCTCTTACTACATTACCGAACCTCTAATTACAACTCATCGCTGAAGACAAATGACAATTCTTCTTCGAGTCTAGCAATGCTGAAACACTACGGACGCGAGTTTCTGCCTATCTAAAGTCAAAGGGATTTCGATACGACATGGCGTCTGACGACAAGGCTCCCATGGCTATGGCCGCTGATGACGGAGTCGATATGCATAGGGCTGTCAATGGCGAAGTCGCTACGCCCGCTGCGCCTGAGATGGGCGAAGATCACGTGTCTGTTGAATATGCGAGCCAATCTCCGAGTAATTCAGTCTCCCACGGCCAGATCGATGGGAACACGGATGCCGTCTGGAAGCGCTACGTTGCAGAGCCACAGACACCGGACTACGCGAAGGCCCAAGGCATGGCAAAGCTGAGAGAGGTCCTTAACGACCCGGACGGAAAGATTGCCGACCACATCAGGAAGATCAATGGGTTCAACAATCAGCTTGCCTCGAACGAGAAATGCAAGAAAGTTGGAAAACTTCTTACCGGGGACCCTGAGACACCAATAACGGACGACACAGTGCCGTTTATCTTGGCGGTTTGGTGCATGCTTGGTGGCAACATACCAAGCATGTGGCGTGAGCGAGCCCCAGGCGAAAAGAGAGGATCAAGACTGCCTCTGACGGACTGGGGAAACACGGCGATACAGGAGCTGGATCACATTGGAATGACCGACGGGCACGACTTTGATATATTCCAAGATCACGCTACGGGAAAAGAAGGCAAGAGTTCGTTCAACTGGACTGAAGCCAAAGACTATATCTTGAATCCGGAAGATACTGCGGAACAAACGAAGAAGTCAAAGCGCAAGGCAAAATCGGCATCTCTCGGAAAAAGGCTCGGCATCACCCCTTAGCAAACTACGCGCAGCGAAGCGACGAAAGACGAAGACATCTCAACAGGTCCAAGAAACCGAAGACTCAGTCTCATCCAATGAAGAAGATGACACGGAACAGGCCACGAAGAAACCGAAGCGCAAGGCATCTCCCGGAAAAGGCTCGGCATCATCTATTAGCAAACTACCCGCAGCGAAGCGACGAAAGACGAAGACATCTCAAAAGGTCCAAGAAACCGAAGACTCAGTCTTATCCAGGGAATGCAATGAAGAAGACCCTGTCGATGATGACGAGACAAGTGAGGATGAATCGCTAGAATGCTGGGACAATGAGAGGGCTGAAGAACCAAGTTACGACGCCGATGCGACATGGCGTGACAATGCGCCTCCTGATGCGGAAGGACCAAGAGCACGCTACAGTTTACGGGACATCGAATACTTCGTTAAAGAAGTCTCAACCAGGCCGACAACCACAAAGGAAAGGCAACGCCAAATTCAAGACTGGAACGACCTCGTGCTCAAGGCCCACGGATACATCGACAACAGCACCGATCCAAAGACCATTCAGGAGGTCAAGAACTTGGTTCATGCCGCGGGCCAACATATCCCATCGCCGAATGACGAAGACCCCTTGCTAGACGCTCTTGAGCATTTCTCTGGGCAGGGTGGAAATACCCTCGCAATGCTTGCCCAGTCAATGGGTGAAATTGGCTTGTCATCAATGCCGAGTAATTCTGCGTCATCTGATTCGCCTTCTTTTCCAACTGTGCCTTCACGACAAACTATCAAAGCCATGAACGAGAAAAGCAGATCCATGCAAAGCAAGTCGCAGAGCAGGAACGAAGAGACAGAGATGTTGCGGGCCGAGAGGTACAAGCTCCAATTGCAGAAGACGAACGAAGAGCTGTCAAAGCGTCTTCAAGAGATTGAGACTACGAATCAACTGGTGAAAGAAAAAGAGGCTCTCATCACAGAACTCACGAGCCAGAACAACGATGACGTGCTCTCGGATCGTTCAAGGGCCCAAATCGTGTATGAGAACCAAAAACTCAAAACTGAGGTTGAAGAGCTCCAGAGGGACAAGAAAACATTACTCGATTGCAGTAGAATCGTTACGAGGGAACTGGGTGTTCACAAAGCAGCCCTGGCTCATTCATCTGGAATCGGCGCGAACATGAACGACATCCTCCGAGAATACACTGCCCAAGATGACAGACTCTTGAGTCTGGAAAAGCAAAATATCCAATACAGATCAAAAATCGACCAACTCGAGAATGAGCTCACCGCCGCTGCCGCCCAAAACCGAAAAGCCAACGTCAAGATCAGGGCATTTGAATTAGAGGACAAGGTTCGAAAGGCCGCTGGAGATGACAGGGGACAACTCGCGAGAAAAATCGGGGAACTCCAACAAGTTTTGACCGAAAATGACCAATTCGCGACGCTGGTCAGAAACACTCAAGTCAAAGACGTCTTGTCTATCTCGAGCAAATATGACGATGGAAATTCGATGTCGATCGGGCCCATCATTGAGAAACTGTACGAGAATAATGACCGGACAACCTCGGAGTCTGAGGACAGTGAAGAAACCTTTGGCCAACATGATGGCGTGAACGAAGGAACGCTTGCAGTCATGAATGACGAGACCGGCGAGAATGTCGTCGAGTCTGCGGGCCTCGGAGAGAATGAAGATCAAAAGAACGGTGAGGGCGAGAATTGAGAAGCACGCCGGAATTGAACGAGTCGGCATGTTCAATGGCGACAGCATTTCCGAGTTGTACATTTAGAACTTTTTGGCGGATCCAGCATTGACGGTTGATGAAGCTGGACCGTGGCCACAACATTGGCACTCTCGAGACATTAGTTATTTCTCCGTTGCTTTAGGCTCAGACAGATAGCCAAATTCGCGTTGCATTCACATAAACGACTCTCGTCCTTGACTCCACAGTATGCTCAGCCTGTGTTCCATGACACCTGCGTATACTTGGCTTCGAACGCTATCCGGTAAGTGTTCCACGTCAAAACCACATTCAGCGCATCCACATTAGGGTATACAAACACTCATCAATTTCTCACGTACGCTTGTCACATGCTCCTTGAAAATCTAGTGAGGTTGCATACACCTGCTATTAACGTATGCTATATAATAAACCATACTGGACATTTCCCGTGCTGAAGACGATTCAGCTCAGAGCGTTCTGTACAGACCAATCTTCACAGTGAGCTACAGCCAATGAACATGTTCAGATCAGTCCGTTGTTGCCGCCATGGAGATCACCGGCTGAGAAATGACCACCGGTCGTGATGCCCTCACACCTCACATTATCAATAGTTGGCGAACATTACACAATGGTTAGGCTGTTACTGATTTAATGGTTTACTTCATTATGATAGCGCTATTTAGGCATTAAAATACCCCATCTATCCTATAACTCCTCATGTGGATGCGCATCCTCCTGGACCACGACCTTATCCGGCCTTCCGCTGTCAGCATGCAAGTCCACGCCCTGCTTCTTCCTCCATTTCTCCCAGATCGACCAGAACTCCTTTTCCATGCCGCTCTCCATCTGGTCGGGCAGAACCACCACATACTCGACGTACAGGTTGCCAAACTCGGTCTGGTGGTAGACGCTGTCGCCGTCCTCGTGCCATTTGGGCATACCCTCGCCCTGCACCCTCTCCACGTGGCCGGGCTGGATGACCTCGCCCCGCTTGCGGCCGATCTTGACGACGTGGCCGTCGAGGTGGGTGATGTTCCTCTCCCAGTCGCCCATCCACGCCTCGCGCAAGCTAATGACCTCCCTCCAGAAAAGATCGTCGTCCTTCCTCCTGAAGAAGACCCCATCGACCCGGTCGGGGTTCTCCTGCTCCAAGTCCGGCTCCTTCTCGGTCAGCATGACGATCAAGTCGCCAGCCTCGTAGTCGGGGCTCGCGTCCGCCTCGTTCTCGTAGACTAGCCGCGAGTCCCTGGCCGCGCCACGGGCGACGTTGAGCTGCACGGTCGTAGGATTCCGCACGACGCGGGCGCCGTTGCACACGGGACACCTGTGCTTGATGACCTTGCCCCGGCCGCCGCACTGGTCGCACTGCGACTGGACCTGCTGGAACATGCCCGGCGCGAGCTGGTGCTTCGTGATCCGCACGCCGTGCCCGCCGCAGTGCCCGCAGGTGTCGACGACGCCGTCGGCCGAGCCCGTGCCGCTGCACTCCTCGCAGATGTGTTGCTTCTCCCACTGGAACTCGGTCGTCCGGCCGTTGTAGAAGTCGCGCAGGGAGATGCCGATCTTGACCTCGACGTTGGGGCCGCGCCGCACGCCATGGCCGCCGAAGTGACCGCCTCCACCGAAGAACCTGCTGAAAAGGTCGAATGGGTCGTGATGGCCGCCGCCGCCGCCTTGCTGTCTTTGCTTCAGACCCTCGTGGCCATACTGATCGTAGATCTTGCGAGACTGGGGGTCGATGAGGGCTTCGTAAGCTTCGGAGACTTCGACGAACTTGTCCTTGGCGGTATCGTCGCCGCTGTAAGTTGTGGTATATCAGTATCTTGGACGTGGGTGGAGTGCGTGTATTGTTGGCTGTTGCGCGGGCTGGACTTACGGGTTCTTGTCAGGGTGGTACTTCTTAGATAACCTTCGGTATGCTGATTTTATTTCTTTGTCGGAGGCTTGTTTGCTTATTCCAAGGAGCTTGCGAATGTTAGTGACCACGGACAAGTGACAAGGACAGAATGTCGTACATTGTAGAAGTCCTCTGCGCAAAGGACAAGCTGCAGGAGCGCAAGCAGGAGCAGCAAAGCTGCCCCTCTGATGAACATCTCGGCTTCGTTCCCTCTCCAGCCAGATAAAAGCAATCTTCTCTAGAAAAGTCGGAGCAGCATATGAGGAGGAAGTAGCGAGAGGGAGGTGCAGTTCCAAGGAGTGACGATGGGTGGGTCAGGCCGGGTCGAGTCGAGGGAGAAAATGGAAATGGCTGAGAAAGGTGTTCTTATTCCTAGACGGCCGCCCGATTTAGACGGTTGGAAAACACCAGCGTGTTAAAAAGATGGGTGTAAGTCTGGCAGGCAGGGGTTTAGATAAGAGTTCAGCTGATAGTAATGACCTCGGCTTGACACCCCATCTGCTGTCTGAATCTGCTCCCCCTTAACAGATAAGAAGCTCTGCTTGAAGGCCCAGAACATTTTTGGCAATGCTTTGGTCGATTAGACCATATTCGTATCTGACATCACTGCTAGGCGTAAATAACAAAAGATGGACTGAGAATTCAAGCCAAACAACTGTCACATTCAACTCATTCTTTATTTCTGCTTAAGATGCCTGCTGTTCCCAAGCTCTCAACTCCTAGGTGGTACCTCGCCCCAAAGTTGTAGGAGCTGTGCTGCCTGCCAGTGGGAATAAGCCGTGTCGGCGGCCCCACAATAATTTCCTCGGCAGCGCTGCAACGTCCCGGCCATTCTCTCCGCCATCATTCAACAGCCGTCAAGCAGGACATCCAATCAACACATCGGGCTGTCTGCGAAGCCGTCTTGATCTGAGATCCTTCGTTTGTGATCTCGTGGCACCCCATCAGACGGGGGATAAGGGCCTCGCTGTTGCATAATCACCCGCCACAGCTTAGCCGGCCCAGCGAGAGGCGCACCCAGTTCGCCATGGCTTCCAAAAGATACGCCTTCATCCCCATGGACGACCCAGCCGAATCGCCCAGGGAGAAGAAAGAGAAGAAGAGCAAGAGGTCGTCCCGTCACCACCGCCGCCACCGCGATGAGGACAGATGGGCTGATGAGTCGCCAGTCGAAGAAGAGGATGAGGCTGAAGCCGCTGACTTTAAAGAGTCTGCATCCAAACGCGTCAAAATTAGCCATGGCGACGACGATGATCACAAAGACGACGGCCGCCGTAACCGCGATTCTGCAGAGCGTGATAGGGAGGAGCGCGATGCCCTTGACAAGCGGCTCCGAGAGAAGGATCGGGGAGATTCTCGCAGGAAGGTCGAGGCTTCGAAGAGCAGGTTGGACGAATTACGGGATGTCGAAGACCTGCGTATCCGCTCGAGGCAGAGCTATGTCGCAAAGAGAGAGACGGAGAAGATCGCGCTCCTCAGGAAACAGGTGGCTGATGAGCTCGAAGAGGAGCGGTCGAACCCACGTCTGACGGAGAAAGAAAGGCAGGAGTTCCGGAAGAATCGGGAGCTGCTTCGTCTTGCTGAGGAGAGGCTACGCATCGACGATCACAGGGAGGGCTACTACATGCCCGAGGATTATATCACGCAAAAGGGGAAAATCGACAGGAAGAAGAAAGAGGAGGCATTATACAAGCGGTACGTTGAAAGGGACGAGTATGGGCAGGAAAAGTTTGTCACAGAACATGAGGAATGGGAGAGGGAACAGGCCCAAAAGGCCAAGGCCCAGATCCTCAGGCCCGAGTTGGAGGACGATGGCTCATACGAGCATCTATTCGACGAGGACCAATACGTGCAATGGATCCAGGCTGCCAAGCTGGACGGTGTCAACCCAGGCTTGACTCAGGAACAGGCATATCTCGCCGCTCAAATCGACGCCGCAGAGAAAAAGCAGCTCTCCATCCAAGAGACGAGGAAGACGCTCCCCATATACTCTTACCGAGACCAATTTCTGGCTGCATTGGAGGAGTATCAGATCCTTGTCGTGGTGGGAGAAACAGGCAGTGGAAAGACAACTCAGCTGCCTCAGTACCTTCTGGAGGGGGGCTTCGTGAAGGACGGTGCCAAAGTTGGTTGCACACAACCGCGAAGAGTGGCTGCAATGAGTGTTGCTGCTCGTGTCGCCGAAGAAATGGGAGTCAAACTAGGAAACGAAGTGGGCTACTCCATCCGGTTCGAGAACAACGTCTCTGACAAGACGATTCTTGAATACATGACGGATGGTATGTTGCTTCGACACTTTATGACGGATCCCATGCTCAACGACTTTTCTGCGATCATGATCGACGAGGCTCACGAGCGAAGTGTCAACACGGATATTCTCCTGGCCTTGCTAAAGGACCTGGCAAGAGAACGTCCAGACCTCAAATTACTCATCTCGTCGGCTACCATGAACGCAGCCAAGTTCGCGAGCTATTTTGACGACGCGCCAATCTTCAACATCCCCGGGCGAAGGTATCCCGTCGACATCTACTACACTCCCCAGCCAGAAAGCAATTATGTTGCAGCGATGATCTCAACCGTGTTCCAGATTCATACCACCCAAGGAAAGGGCGACATATTGGTGTTCCTTACCGGTCAAGATGAGATTGACACGGCCGAGCAGCAGATCAGCGACATCGCGAAGAAATTGGGAAGCCGTATCAAGGAGTTGATCATATGTCCTATCTATGCCAACCTTCCGAGCGACCTCCAGGCCAAGATCTTCGAGCCAACCCCTGACAACGCACGCAAGCTTGTGCTGGCTACGAACATCGCGGAAACGTCCCTGACCATCGACAACATTGTCTATGTTATAGATACCGGGTACGAGAAGCAGAATTACTACAACCCTGCCACTCGCATGTCGTCTTTGAACGTCGTACCATGCTCCAGAGCAGCTGCGAACCAGAGAAGTGGACGTGCTGGCCGTGTAGGACCAGGCAAATGTTTCCGCCTCTACACCAAATTCTCATACATGAACGAAATGGACGAGTCGCCGACACCTGAGATCCAGCGCACCAACCTCAACAGCGTCGTCTTGCAACTCAAGTCCCTCGGTATCGAGAAGCTCCTCGATTTTGACTTCATTGACCCGCCGCCCACAGAAGCCCTCATCTCTGCTCTCGACAACCTCTATGCCCTCCAAGCTCTCAATCACAAGGGTGAAATGACTCGCCTTGGTCGACAGATGGCCGAGTTCCCAACCGCACCCGAAGTCGCCAAAGCTGTCATAGCAGCCGACAAGGAGGGTGCAGTCGAGGAGGTCCTCAGCATTGTCGCCATGCTCGACGAGGCGTCGGCACTCTTTTTCCGACCCAAAGACAAGAAGATTCATGCGGATTCTGCACGCAGAAGATTTACAGTCAAGGAGGGCGGGGACCATTTGACGTTGCTCAACATCTGGAATCAATGGGTCGAGAGTGATTTCAGTCCTATCTGGTCGAGGGAGAACTTCTTGCAGCAAAGAAGCTTGACCCGTGCGCGGGATGTCCGCGATCAACTTGCCAAGCTGTGTGACCGTGTCGAGGTGCAGCTGTCCAGCTGCGGAGCCAACAATCTCCGCGCGATACAGCGCGCGCTCACGGCGGGCTTCTTCAGCAACGCAACACGCATGGACAGGAGAGGCGATGGGTACAGGACAATGAAGAACAACTCAACTGTCTGGGTCCACCCGAGCAGTGTGCTCAAGGAGCTGCACCCACCACCCAAGACGGTCATCTACCACGACCTGGTTCAGACTAGCAAGGAGTACATGAGAAGTTGCCTACCGATCGAGGTGGGCTGGTTGAGAGAGCTGGCGCCTCATTTCTACAAGAAGCACGAGATTGATGCGATAGAAGATAAGAAGATGCCCAAAGCGAGGAAGTAGATATACCTTTCAATCCAGCATACTGATTGGTAAATTGGAAAGTTTTCCATTGCGAGCGTCAAAAAGGAGAACACATCCCTTCAAAGTCTGCTTTACAATACTGAAGAAGCTTGCTTTCACATGGTGACTCTGAACTCCAGTCTTCGATCTGGTGATCCTTCCCTGTACAGGCCAGTCTGACCAATTGAATTTCCAGGATCATAGTACTAACGGGCTCAGGTTGCCGATTTCAACGAAAGGCAGCAGGCTCAGCAGACTCAGCAGGTTGAGGGAACTGTAACCAGAATAACGAGCTTCTCTTAAGTGTTCGCTATGCAGCCATGAACTTTATATAATAAATAAATAAGAAAATAAAAAGAAATAAAAAGAAATAAAAAGAAATAAAAAGAAATAAAAAGAAATAAAAAGAAATAAAAAGAAATAAAAAGAAATAAAAAGAAAAAAAGAAATAAAAAGAAATAAAAAGAAATAAAAAGAAATAAAAAAATAAAAAGAAATAAAAAATAAAAAGAAAAAAAAAAAAAGAAATAAAAAGAAAAAAAAAAAAATAAAAGAAATAAAAAGAAATAAAAAGAATAAAAAATAAAAAGAAAAAAAGAAATAAAAAGAAATAAAAAGAAATAAAAAGAAATAAAAAATAAAAAGAAATAAAAAAAATAAAAAGAAATAAAAAGAAATAAAAAAAAAAAAAAAAAAAAAAAAAGAAATAAAAAGAAATAAAAAGAAATAAAAAGAAATAAAAAGAAATAAAAAGAAATAAAAAGAAATAAAAAGAAATAAAAAGAAATAAAAAGAAATAAAAAGAAATAAAAAGAAATAAAAAGAAATAAAAAGAAATAAAAAGAAAAAAAAAATAAAAAAAATAAAAATAAAAATAAATTAAAAGAATATTAATTAAAATAAATAATTTATTATTATTTAAAAAGTATTATAATATTAATATATATATATATAAAAAAAAATAATAATAATAATAAATATAATAAATATATAAATAATTAATATTAAAATATTAATAAATAAAAATTATATATAATAATAAAATATTATTTTTAAATAATTTATAATTATAATTTTTTTATATAATTAATTTAAATATAATTAATATTAATTAATAATTATTTTTAAATAATTATAAATAATAAAATAAATAAATAATAAATTTATATTATTATTAATTAAATAATAATTATTAATAATAAAATTTTATTTAATTAAATATTAATAATTATATTATAATTAAAATTAATAAAATAAATTAATAATATTTTATTTTTTTTATTATAAAAATAAATTTATTAATTAATATATTTTTTATAATATTTTAAATTTATTAATTATATAATATATTTTATTATATAATTAATATTAAAAATATTTATAATTATTTTAATTTAATATAAATAATAATTTTTATTTATTTAAATTAATAAATATTTTTATATTATATAATTAATATTTTTTTATATTTTAAAATAATTTTAAAATATTCTTTTTAATTATTCTTTTTATATATATAAATTATTTAAATATTTTAATAATTTAATAAAATAATTAAATTTAATAATAATTTTAAAAATATATTTTTAAATATTAATAATATTTTTATATAAAAATTTAAATTATTTTTTAATTTTAATTATTAAAATAAATAATATAATTAATTAAATAAATATATTATTTTTTTAAATTTATAAAAAAATAATAAAAAATATTAAAATATAAATAATAATTTATTTTAATATTTATAAAAAAAACTTATTTTTTTAAAATATAATAATATTTAAAATATTATAATAATAATAATAATAATAATATTTTATTTATATTATTTTAAAATTATTTAAAATTAAAAAATTATATAATATATAATTTTTTATAAATCTTTTTTTTAAAAAAAAACCTTTTTTATAATTCTTTATAAAGTTTTTAAATAATAAAATTTATTTTTAAAAATTTAAATAATTATAATACTTTATTTCTTTTTAAATTATTTTTCTTATAACAGCTGCCACGGAGGCAATGCATTGCAGGCATTGCTAGCAGGGCATATAGGCCCTATAAGTTATATATTAATTAAATAAGGCATATAAAGCCCTTAAATAGCCCTTATTAAAAACCTTTAAAATAAAGCTAATTAAGCCTTATATTTATTATTTAACTATATTTTAATATAATTATTATAAATAATAGCTATAATTTTATATTATAAAGAGAATTTTTTTTAATTATTTAATGCCTTTTTAATATAAAGAATATAATATATAAGTAATTAAATTATAAGAATAAAATAAAGATTAATTAATATTATTAAATCCTTAAGAATAAGTTAATTTAAGTAAAGCTTTATTATAATATTAATTTTATTTTATAATATAATTATTAATTTATAAATATAATTTTAATTATTATTAATAATAATTTTTAATTATATTATAATAAAAAATATATTTATTAAGGACTTTTCTTAAAATAATATAATTATATATTATATTTACTTAAAATAATATATTATAATACTTTTTTACTTTATAATTATTTATATAAATAAAATAAGTTTTAATTAAATATTAATTTCTTTTATAATTAAATAATTATAATAATTATTTTTATAATATTACTTTAATCTTAAATAATTTATTTATTATAAATATTATAAGTTACTTTAATTATTTTATGCTTATTTAAAAAGTTAAAGTTATTTACCTTATATTATTTTATTATTTAATTTTATTATTTATATTTCTTTTTTATAATATTTAATAATTATTTTAATTTATAGCTTTATAATTATTAAAATCCCCTTTATTTTAAAAAAGAATTTATAATAATTTACTTAAAGCCTTATAGCTTAATTAAGCTTATTTAAGCATTATATATTTAATAATATAAAGCTTTTTAATGCTTTTTTAAATAAAAACTTATTTTAATTAAAAAGTTAATTAATTAATATAATTAAAAATAAAGTAAGTTATTTTTTTATATATAAAAATATAATTATAAAGGTTAAATGCTTATTTTTATTAAAAAAGTTATAATTTATTTTAAATAATAATATATTTAAAAAATATATTTATTATATTAAAAAAAGTTTAATAAGTTAAAGGTAAGAATTATTAAAGCTTAATAAATTAATAATTAAGCTTTAATAATAATATAAAAAGTTAATAATAAAATAAATTATATAAATAAAATATTAAAAATATTAATTAATAATTTAAGTTTAAATATTAATAAAGTTAAGAATGCTTTAAATTTATATTTTAAAATAAGCAATATTAAAAATAATAATCCATTTTTAAAAATGCACCCCTTATATAGCTATAAAAATCCTTTTAAAGAAAGAAAAGATAATAAAGGTAATAAAGGAAATAATAAATAAGGAGGAGGTAATAATAATGAAAGCTAAAGAAGAAGAGCTTTAAGAAATAACCTTAATAGCTTAAATTTAAATAACTTTAATAACTTTAATAATAATAATATTAATTAATATTAATTATTACTTAGCAAGAACTTAAATTTAAATCCTTATAATTAACGTTATAATACTTTTTTTTTAATAAAGATTAAACTTACTTTTTTTTCTTTAATAAAGCTTAAAAAAAGGAAATTACAGTTTTTAATTTAAAATATAATAACCTTAATAATATTAATATAATATAGTTTATTAATAAATAATGTATATTAATAAGTAGCATACTTTTATAACTTTTGCTAACTTTAATTAATTTTAACACTTATTTAATATAAATAATTTAATTAAATTTAGCATTACTTAATGCTAATTATAATTAAATTCTTATTTTTAATTAATTTGTTTAATTTAAAGTAATATAAGTAGTTGCAACTTAAATAAAAGTAATTAAGTTTTAATAAAGGAATTATTTTTAATGGGAATTGCATTAATGCTTTTTATATTAATTCTTTATTTATTTACTTATTTAAATATTTAATGCATTAAAAATTAATAATTATAATGTTAAAACCTTTTAAAGAAAATAAAATACTTTTAGTTATTTAAATAATTAAAAACTCTTAAAAAATGCATTAAACCTTTTAAATTATATAAAGCTATATAAATCTTTAATATTCTTAAAATTATACTTTATTATAAAATAAATTAATAATACTTTTATAAAGAATTATATATTAATATATATAAACTTAATTAAATTAAAAAGTAAATGCTTATTTAATATATTATTAATTAAAATATTTAAGGATTTTCCTTATAACTTTTTAATATAAAAAATATAGCTAACCTTTTATTAATATTGCAAGATATTAAATTTATTAATAAATATTAAGCTTAATGCTTTATAAATTAATAAGTTAGCCTTAAAACTAAATTTAATTATTTTTATAATTATTAAAGGGCCCTTTATAAAGATTTAAAAATTATTAAAAATTAATTTAAATTACTTTATAATATAATAGCTAAGTATTAAATTATTAATAATAATCTTTATAACTTTAATAATATTAGCTTTATAATAAATATAATTATTGCATTAATAATTATTATATATATTAATAAATATAAAAAGGTTAAATTAATTTAGCTTAATAATTAAAAATAAGTAATTATTATTAAATATATTAATATAAGTAAATTATAAATTCTTTTATTTATAATTATTTAAGGTATTTAATATTTTATAAGTTAAGTAATAAAGATAAATTTTTTAAATAATTAAATTATTAAACTTACTTTTAATAAATAAATAAATAATAAAATTAATTTAAAATAAATTTAATACTTTAATAAATATATTAAGTTAAAAGAAATATTAATTATTAAATATTAATTATAAATAATTATAAAAGCTATATATTAACTAAATTTAATTAATATTATAAAAATAATAAAATTATTATTATTAATATATTATTATATTTATTTTTAAAGTATATATATAATAATTAAATTAATTTCTTTATTTAAGCCTTTATTAATTATATTATTAAGTTTAAGTTCTTTTTTATATTTAAAATAACTT